ACTATATTGTGAGGCGTAGTAATCTGAGGAGCGCTACGTCCGCGCACTAACTTATCTCTGTACTACAAGTCACGCTGCTTCTATTGACTGAAGTGAGCGAGAGAGAAGTCTCCGGACAGAAGTTAGTGCGCGGACGTAGCGCACCTCAGATTACTACGCCTCACAATATAGTACCCGTTTTATCCGCTGAGAAAATCGACAGTTACATTTCTGTGTTACTATACTTTGCAGTGTAACACGTCACGTAACTATATACATTTAATAGGGAACACTTGGAAGAGTTTGGTAGCTTCTAGCGGGAGCTACCTTTTGGTGCTACACAGTATACAGAGGAGGCTGCATTTGTCCTCCCGTTTTTGCTCCGTTTGCATGACAGAGCGCACGGACTAAGATCACACAGGTACGTATTAACTAGTCTAAGGTAAGGTAAGAACATATGTCAGTATGTAAAAACGGTGAACTATTCCTTTAAGTTTCTCTCAAGTTCCACTGGTTTCCTCTGTTTCTTTCTCTCAGACAGAATAAAGGCAGTACACAGTTTATATAGTCATTGTCACGTCACACATCGAAAGACATACGTGTCACAAAGAGACAGTCACATCATAGTCATAACATGGAGTCCTTGTAGAGTCCTTGTAGAGTCCTGCACGTAGGCCATATTGCTATCTAATACTAATACTGGCAATGTTTTTTAGGTGGTAAAAAGCTGCTGATGTTACTGATTTGATGTGGCTATTAAAATTTAAGTCTGAGTCCAGTATTACCCCTAGATTTCTGACCTTGTTTGAAGGTTTTAGGGAGAGGGACTGTAAATGACAGATGACGCTCTCTCTTTGTTTCTGGGGACCAAAAGCAATCATTTCAGTTTTGTCTGCGTTTAGCTGAAGGAAGTTGTTTTGCATCCATTCACTGATCTGTTGGATACAGTGAAGGAGTGAGTCCACTGGTCCATGTTCTCCTGCAGTCAGTGAGACATCGGAGTGTCGTCTGCATAGTGATAGGACACTTCGTTTCTGCATTAACTGACCTAACGGCAGCATGTAGAAATTGAACCGAAGGGGTCCCAGGATCCCCCTGTCTTACCTTGATCGTCTTCAAGGTAAGACAGGGGTCTTCCTGTCTTCAAGGTAAGACCTAAACCAACTTAGGGCGGTGCCAGCGACACCAACCCAGTCCTCTAGTCTCTGTAAGAGGATCTCATGGTCGACGGTGTCAAAGGCAGCACTTACAGTGCCTTGCGAAAGTATTCGCCCCCCTTGAACCATTCAACATTTCGCCACATTTCAGGCTTCAAACATAAAGATATAACATTTTAATTTTTTGTCATGAATCAACAAGTGGGACACAATCGTGAAGTGGAACAAAATTTATTGGATAATTTAAACTTTTTTAACAAATAAAAAACTGAAAAGCGGGGCGTGCAATATTATTCGGCCCCTTTACTTTCAGTGCAGCAAACTCACTCCAGAAGTTCAGTGAGGATCTTTGAATGATCCAATGTTGTCCTAAATGACTGATGATGATAAATAAGATAAGATTGCTTTATTTATCTCACAGAGGAGAAATTTGCATGTCACATTTGGCATGGATAGAGACACTCAGATTGTGCAAAGGGAGGAAATGTGCAAACATGTTACATGCAGGATATATGTACAATAAAGTGACAATAATTATGTACAACAAAAGTGACAAGTGTCAATTGGAAACAGTGTCAATAGTAGTGCAGGTTTTCACACAGTGATCATTTAAAGTGACTTATTGTACAGTCTGACAGCGGTGGGGATAAAGGCCCTGCGGTAGCGCTCCTTCCTACACTGAGGGTGCCTCAGTCTTCCACTGAAGGAGCTCCTCAGCTCCTCTACAGTCCTGTGCAGTGGGTGGGAGGTATTGTTCATGATGGAGGTGGCTTTGGCTAGCACCCTCCTGTCCCTCACCTCCTCCACAGAGTCCAGGGAGCAGCCCAGAGTGGAGCTGGCCCTACTGACCAGCTTGTTCAGTCTGTTTCTGTCCCGCTCTGTGCTGCCCGGGGCCCAACACACGGCAGCGTAGTAAATGGCAGAAGCTACCACAGAGTCATAAAAAGTCCTGAGCAGAGGCCTGCTCACTCCGAAGGACCTCAGCCTCCTCAGAAGGAAGAGGCGACTTTGGCCCTTCTTGTGCAGGGCGTTTGTATTATGGGACCAGTCCAGTTTATTGTTAATGTGAACACCCAGGTACTTGAAGCTGTCCACCAGCTCAATGTCCTCCCCCTGGATGTTCAGCAGCGTGTGGGAAAGTGGTTTTCTCCTGAAGTCGATGACCATCTCCTTGGTCTAACTGGTGTTCAAGCACAAGTGGTTGCGCTCACACCAGTCGACAAAGTCCTTGATAACCAACCGATATTCCAGTTCGTTCCCCTCAGACACACAGCCCACGATGGCGGAGTCGTCGGAGAACTTCTGCAGGTGACAGCTGTGTGTGTCGTGTGTGAAGTCTGAGGTGTAGATGGTGAAGAGAAACGGTGAGAGGACAGTGCCCTGAGGGGCCCCAGTGCTGCAGACGACCACCTCAGACTCACAGCTGCGCAGCCGCACGTACTGTGGTCGGTCTGAGAGGTAGTTGATGGTCCATGAAGTGAGGCTACTGTCCACTCCCGCGTCCTCCATCTTAGGACGCGGGACGCAAATAGAATGTACCTGTGTGTAATCAAGTCTCCGTATAAATGCACCTGCTCTTTGATAGTCTCAGGGTTCTGTTTAAAGCACAGAGAGAACCATGAAGACAAAGGAACACACCAGGCAGGTCCAAGATACTGTTGTGGAGAAGTTTAAAGCCGGATTTGGATACAAAAATATTTCCCAAGCTTTAAACATCTCAAGGAGCACTGTGCAAGCAATAATATTGAAATGGAAGGAGTATCAGACCACTGCAAATCTACCAAGACCCGGCCGTCCCTCCAAACTTTCATCTCAAACAAGGAGAAGACTGATCAGAGATGTAGCCAAGAGGCCCATGATCACTCTGGATGAACTGCAGATAACTACAGCTGAGGCGGGAGAGTCTGTCCGTAGGACAACAATCAGTCGTGCACTGCACAAATCTGGCCTTTATGGATGAGTGGCAAGAAGAAAGCCATTTCTCAAAGATATCCATAAAAAGTCTCATTTAAAGTTTGCCACAGGCCACCTGGGAGACACACCAAACATGTGGAAGAAGGTGCTCTGGTCAGATGAAACCAAAATCGAACTTTTTGGCAACAATGCAAAACGATATGTTTGGCGTAAAAGCAACACAGCTCATCACCCTGAACACACCATCCCCACTGTCAAACATGGTGGTGGCAGAGCATCATGGTCTGGGCCTGCTCTTCTTCAGCAGGGACAGGGAAGATGGATGGAGCCAAATACAGGACCATTCTGGAAGAAAACCTGTTGGAGTCTGCAAAAGACCTGAGACTGGGACGGAGATTTATCTTCCAACAGGACAATGATCCAAAACGTAAAGCCAAATCTACAATGGAATGGTTCACAAATAGACGTATCCAGGTGTTAGAATGGCCAAGTCAAAGTCCAGACCTGAATTCAATCGAGAATCTGTGGAAAGAGCTGAAGACTGCTGTTCACAAACGCTCTCCATCCAACCTCACTGAGCTCGAGCTGTTTTGCAAGGAAGAATGGGAAAGAATTCCAGTCTCTCAATGTGCAAAACTGATAGAGACATACCCCAAGTGACTTGCAGCTGTAATTGCAGCAAACGGTGGCGCTACAAAGTATTAGCGCAAGGGGGCCGAATAATATTGCACGCCCCACTTTTCAGTTTTTTATTTGTTAAAAACGTTTAAATTATCCAATACATTTCGTTCCACTTCATGATTGTGTCCCACTTGTTGTAGATTCTTGACAAAAATAATAATTTTTATATCTTTATGTTTGAAGCCTGAAATGTGGCGAAATGTTGAAAGGTTCAAGGGGGCCGAATATTTTCACAAGGCACTGTAGATCTAACAAGATTAAGATTTAGACTTTGCCGGCGTCAGTGTTCAGCCGGATATCGTTTGTAACCTTGACGAGAGCAGTCTCAGTGCTGTGGTGGGGTCTAAAGCCGGACTGAAACATATCCAATGAGTTGTTGATTATAAGAAATCTAGTAAGCTGTAGGTAAACAACTTTCTCAAGGACTTTCCCCATAAATGGCAGATTTGAGATGGGACGATAGTTGTTAAGTACCGTAGCATCCAGACTGCTCTTTTTTAGCAAGGGCCTGATGACTGCAGTTTTCAGGGCCTTTGGGAATATTCCAGAATGAAGGGACATGTTTACTATCTGTGTGAGTGAAGGTAACAGACTGCTCAGAACAGACTTCAGAAATCTAGTGGGTAGTACATCCAGGCTGCATGTGGAGGAGCTCAAACTGGAGATTATGTTTTGGACAGTTTTATCATCTACAGGTGCAAAGTGAGTTAGCTCAAAGAGCCTTTCTGGCTGTTGGATGGTTATCTGTGGATTGGAGACAATGGCGTTTTTGATGCCTTAAACCTTGTCATTGAAAAAATGTGCAAACTCATTACATTTACGTTTAGAAGTTAGCTCTAATGGAAGCTGAACAGGGGGATTTGTTAATCTATTAACTGCTGAGAACAGAACACGCAGATTGTAGCTGAGTGGATAGCACTCTCGCCTCTCAGCAAGAAGGTCCTGGGTTCGAATCCCGGTTGGACCAGGGCCTTTCTGAGTGGAGTTTGCATGTTCTCCCCGTGTCTGCGTAGGTTTCCTCCGGGTGCTCCGGTTTCCCCTACCACTAAAAATATGTACAATAGGTATGGCATGTGCCTCCTGTACTGGCACCCCCACCCAACAATTGTAAACCGCTTTGAGACTCTGATGTGCAGTGAAAAGGCGGTATATAAATAAAAGCTTACTTACTTACTTACTACATTTGTATGTCCTCTTTTCAAAATTAGCTTTAGCAAATTGACCGTGACACTTCCCAAATACATAACTAGTGTGTAACTGTGTTTTCAGATCATCTCTCGCTGTGACGTGTGCTTACTGCAAGAGATCCGGGACAGTAAGCAGAAGGCGCTGCCCGCTCTGCTCGCTCAGCTCAACAGGTGCGTGTCCTCTTAATACAACACTAGTAAGTAAGTAAGTAAGTAATCTACAGTACTACAGTATTCTGTTACAAACTAAAGCAGAGAAAGAGGAGGATGCGTGCACCTTCACATTCACTATACACATGCAGAGAAACACCACATAAGCTGAGGCTCCACAGTCTTCGGCTCTTCTCATGGTTCTCTTGTGTCCCTCAGAGGCAGAGGAGCAGAGTATGACTTTGTGGCGAGCGAGAGGCTGGGACGATCTGACTCGTACCAGGAGCAGTACGCATTCTTCTACAAGTGTGTTCATGTATTCAAATATTTATGAGCTTTCAAAACAGGCTTTAACCTACATACTTGGTTAATGTCGTTAAAGTGTAATTACCACTTCTTCCACTGGAGCAGTGTTTTCCACCCACTGTACTAGTGTGCCTTATGATATTGTCTGGTGTGCCATGAGAAATTCGCCTACTTTGTCAAAAAATAAATGCATCCACAGTTGGCAAGTGCTGACTTGTTTTGAACTGTGGAGTAACCACGTAATACCTTTTCATATCAGTAGGTGGCAGAAGATAGCTAAGTACTTTGAAACGTAAGAATTGGATGCGACCAACAAATGTAAAGCCGCGTTCAGACCGGATCATGCGTTGCGTTGACTTTCAATGCAAAGTCAATGGTGACATGCGTTCGAGCGTGGAACTGCATGTGCGTCTCGGACAACATTTACTAATTTAGGTATCCGAGCTTTAAATTAGGGAGCGGAAAATTGACGCACGCAGGAGATAACTATTGCTGAACGTTTCCTCGGACGCTCGTGCAGCGACCAATCAGAGAGCCGCAAAGTGTTCACGCGGACATTCGTGGTCTGAGTGAGCAGACTGAACATACTGTAAACAGCCAAAACAGAAGCTACATCAGGACTAAAACGAGGGTTGACAATGGGGGACATAGTGCTTGTGCGTTTTCATGCTCCCGTGACCTTATGCAACTGCTTCGAGCGCCTTCGCCGATGCGGAAGAACAGTTTAATAATTAAATTAAACTCATACTGCTGTTTTATAAAGTCTCTGGACACAGAGAGGCTGCAGAGCTGCATTATTGGAGAAGAAGCCGCTAGCTTAACTCTGTTACCATCAAAGTCCGGCCGCTACTTCCGCCACTTCTGGCAGGCAACGCCACAGGCCAGGACTTCTGGTCTGAAAATTAGAGAATGTGCGTCTGGTGCGCGAGGCGTCAGTGTTTCAGCGTCGCCAGTGTGAACGCACCATAACAGGTAGTGGGAGCATTGTGGCGAGAAACGAAAGAATTGGACGTGACCAACATATGTAACAGGTAGCGAGGTGAGAAGTGAACGTGATGGAGACGTTTTTAAAAAGGAATTATGCCATTTCTGAACAGGATTTACATCCTCCGCTCTGACCCGGGGACAGCTGTGATCCATAACGTGGTGCCCACCATAGACCCGTGGACAGAACCATGGACTCGTGTTCAGGACCATCTCCCGTATTTCTTTCGTGTCTCCCCCGTATCTCCTCCCGAAGCGCAACAAAAACTTCCTTATTGAAGGCTCGGATACCTAAATTTTCCCCATGCATTAACAATGCATGTTATTTGTGCACTAAAGTAAAATGTTGTGAATAAATCAAACAGAACACACAACAGGCCATTTTTTTATTATTATTTTGCATACTCAAGAGCCCTGTGAGTGGATTTTTTTGTTTTTTTCACACGGCTAGTGCCTCTTTATTCCCAAACTCCTGTCAACTCTTTGATAAATATTAAATAAAGCTTAATGTCAAGGCCTGAATGTCTATTTAAGTACTTTGATGAGAAGGACTTTTTATTGTGAATATAGGCTACAGAGTACATATTTTAAATTTTCTCCTGGTGGTGTGCCGAGAGATTTTCTCTATGAAAAAAGCGTGCCTTGGCTCAAAAAAGGTTGGAAAACACTGCACTAGAGTTTGTTTCATTATGAATGTTTATTTGACCAGAAGAACAGAGAACTTTGTCTAGATGCACGAGACAGTCCCAGAGAATTTAAGAAAGAAAGAATCCAGCCTACTGTAATGCTGCGTGCACATGAGCAACCATTTGAAATAGGTTCGGCACATCATGGGAGTGCCCAGGAACTATTACATACAGTGCCTTGCTAAAGTATTCGGCCCCATTGCACCTTTCAACATTTCGCCACATTTCAGGCTTCAAACATAAAGATATAAAATTTTATTTTTTTGTCATGAATCAACAACATGTGGGACACAATCGTGAAGTGGAACGAAATTTATTGGATAATTTAAACTTTTTTAACAAATAAAAAACTGAAAAGTGGGGCGTGTAATATTATTCGGCCCCTTTACTTTCAGTGCAGCAAACTCACTCCAGAAGTTCAGTGAGGATCTTTGAATGATCCAATGTTGTCCTAAATGACTGATGATGATAAATAGAATGCACCTGTGTGTAATCAAGTCTCCGTATAAATGCACCTGCTCTTTGATAGTCTCAGGGTTCTGTTTAAAGCGCAGAGAGAACCATGAAGACAAAGGAACACACCAGGCAGGTCCGAGATACTGTTGTGGAGAAGTTTAAAAGACCCGGCCGTCCCTCCAAACTTTCATCTCAAACAAGGAGAAGACTGATCAGAGATGCAGCCAAGAGGCCCATGATCACTCTGGATGAACTGCAGATAACTACAGCTGAGGTGGGAGAGTCTATCCATAGGACAACAATCAGTCGTGCACTGCACAAATCTGGCCTTTATGGAAGAGTGGCAAGAAGAAAGCCATTTCTCAAAGATATCCATAAAAAGTCTTGTTTAAAGTTTGCCACAAGCCACCTGGGAGACACACCAAACATGTGGAAGAAGGTGCTCTGGTCAGATGAAACCAAAATCGAACTTTTTGGCCACAAGGCAAAACGATATGTTTGGCGTAAAAGCAACACAGCTCATCACCCTGAACACACCATCCCCACTGTCAAACATGGTGGTGGCAGCATCATGGTTTGGGCCTGCTTTTCTTCAGCAGGGACAGGGAAGATGGCTAAAATTGATGGGAAGATGGATGGAGCCAAATACAGGACCATTCTGGAAGAAAACCTGTTGGAGTCTGCAAAAGACCTGAGACTGGGACGGAGATTTATCTTCCAACAGGACAATGATCCAAAACATAAAGCCAAATCTACAATGGAATGTTTCACAAATAGACGTATCCAGGTGTTAGAATGACCAAGTCAAAGTCCAGACCTGAATCCAATCGAGAATCTGTGGAAAGAGCTGAAGACTGCTGTTCACAAACGCTCTCCATCCAACCTCACTGAGCTCGAGCTGTTTTGCAAGGAAGAATGGGAAAGAATTCCAGTCTCTCGATGTGCAAAACTGATAGAGACATACCCCAAGCGACTTGCAGCTGTAATTGCAGCAAAAGGTGGCGCTACAAAGTATTAGCGCAAGGGGGCCGATTAATATTGCACGCCCCACTTTTCAGTTTTTTATTTGTTAAAAAAGTTCAAATTATCCAATAAATTTCGTTCCACTTCACGATTGTGTCCCACTTGTTGATTCTTGACAAAAAAAATAATTTGTATATCTTTGTTTGAAGCCTGAAATGTGGCGAAAGGTTCAAGGGGGCCGAATACCTTCGCAAGACACTGTACAGTATGCTTATTCCCATATTTCCGAAGGAAGCAATGATCTTTCATCATCTGAGTGTAAGGGACAAAAGCCTGTTCTTTGTCCTGTAACAAGTTATTGTTCTCATGTGTGACATAAGTGTGTGCATGTGCAGCTTTTTTTTTAGGATATAATCATCCTATCTCTTCTTAAAGATATATAGGGATCGAACATGTGAGACTGCCTTCTAGAGGAGGTAATCTGGATTCTCTCCTGTAAAAAAGGGAGCATTCCTGGATTCACCATTTAGGACTCTTGCTCCACATGGACTGAATGTTGACTTTGATTTGAGATGATGTCTTTAAAATATAATGTACATATTTTTGTAAATATTTTTAAATATTAATTTATTCTCTCATGTTTGTAAAAATGGGCTGACCAGGTGACCTCAGTGGGACCTCCCACTTATTTGGAGGCATATGAGCACCTGGGCTGGCAAGCACTTTGTATTTTGTGATGAAAAATATGATCTGATGAGGGCATAAAGCCAAAACGTCATGAATAAATAAGATTTTGGACATCTGAGCGTGCAATGATACCCTGTTTCCTGGAATTTTGATTCTCGCATCTGCGCCTCATTAATAGATTTTTTTGTGTGCGATGCCTGCTTCTTTCTACACAGGACCAGCTCCGCCTCGGTAACAGGAAAGTACCAGTTCTCTGACGATCGTCCCGGAGACCAGGACGCCTTTGCCCGTGAGCCCTTTGTGGTGCGGTTCAGTGCTCCAAAGACAGGTATATGTATAAGTGGACAGAATGTCTATTCTACCAGTTCCAAGTTCTGGACTTCACCATGGAGCTCTCGCTTTTAAGTTTAAAAAAATCTGCAGTTGTGTTTGAGACTGGGCTCTAAAGCTGTGTTTTGTGTTGATCAGAGATTAAGGAGTTTGTGCTGATCCCGCAGCACACAGCTCCGACCAACGCCACCAAAGAACTGGACGCTCTGTACGATGTGCTGCAGGACGTCAAGAGGATGTGGAGGACCAAGGTGCACATGTCTGCATATTCATGACAGCAGCAGTGTTCACATGCATGTTAGACACCAGCACAATGGTTATAGAGCCACACAGAAACACACACACACACACATGCCAATCATCTCTTAGCTCTAGAAGGCCTATCAAAACTCAAAGGCTCAAGTGAGCAACAGTTGTGAAATGTCATTGTGAATTATTAAGACAAACCCTAACCCTGTCTGATGTTGTCAACAACTGAGTAGCACACATTTGTGGTAATATAGTAGAAGAATAGTAAGTTATAAATCTATTATAATTTGTTTGGACATGTACTGAGTTATGTTTTATAGCACAAACACAAAGTGCAATGTTCTGGTACAGCTCAGTGTTAAAATGACATGGATGGTTGTGTGCATATCTTCAGTCATAGTGGCCCTCATTATCAAACTTGCGTACGGCCAAATCAGGGTGTAAATGAGGCGTATGCAAAAAATTTACACTTTTCGGCATTTATCAATCTGGAAGTGAGAGTGCGGTACTCACAAAAAATACGCCGACTCTGGAGGTGGTGTACATTTTACACCCATCTCAACACGCAAATGAAATTTGCGTGATGAAACACGCGTGAAATTCAAGATTTGGACGACAATAAACATATTCCCACTCTGGCAAGATAATAGGCACACCTCTCACATTACATAAATTTATAAATCTAACTATTGGCCCAATATATCTGTCAACTATTTGACATAATATATGGTATATTTCTTCAAACATAAATAAACTCACATCTTCAGGATTGCGTCTTACAGGCCCTACGCTGTTTACAGATGTTATCATCTCCATATTTTCTTTTCTGAGCCCCTTGATGCCACTTTTGAGGCTTCGAAATAGTAAGACTTTATTTTTTATCCACTTTGTTCATAATGTTCTCAATCTCGTGCTCTGTGAAGTTTCCTCTCAATTGTTGTAAAAACGGGGCGTGAAACAGGCGTGACTTTCATAAATACGTTCGTTTTCAGCCGTGGCATTAATCAACAGCAGCAGCTGCGTACGCTCAGATCTGGGCGTATCTTGCACCTTTATAAATCCCGCACCCTTTTCTGCGCAAGTTTCATAAATGAGGGCCAATGTCTTTTACAACTGCCTTTGGTTAAACTCCACCACGTTGGATTTAAATATAAATCGTGCAGAATGTAAATTCTCACATCCCGTACTGCCTTTTTTCATGTTATAGGTATACATATATTTTCCTAGCCTGGCCTTAGCCAAGGACGGCAAATGCGATAGTAATCCGTTCTGGTTTGGCTACAACTATCAAGAAATTGAAGCCAAAGCAAGAGGAATGCTTAGCAAATTTCATTGCTGGCAAAGATGTTGTGGCTCTTCTCCCTGGGCTAAATGCTCGGCCGCATGCGTTACGGAAAACTCAACATTTCAATCTGCAAAAGGAGTTGACTCCTCCCACCTGTAACCTCACCTTAGTATGAAATGATATGAGTATGAGGGTATGGTAAGACCAGGCTAATATGGGTTATATGGGATATTAAACACATAATTTTGCATTCTGAAATATTAAAAGCCCTTGATATTATTCTCAAGATCTTGTTGAAGGGATAAAATGGACACAAAGGATGGCCCAGTAGAACGAGCGGTAAACCTGACTTGCATTTGTCTGTGTGCCTCCTGAGCAGAACGTGATGCTCCTGGGAGACTTTAACGCAGACTGTGGGTATGTGGCCAAAAAGAACCGCAAGAAGATTCGACTGATGACGGATCCCGATTTGACGTGGCTGATCCCTGAGGGCTCCGACACCACCGTGAGGGAGAGCACATCCTGCGCCTACGACCGGTACCAGCACACTCAAAACACACACATGTGGAAACATGCAGCTTACCACTGTTTTATAGTGCACTTATACAGTCTCACTCCAGTGAAACCCCTGGAGAACATACTGTATTTAGGCCATACCTGCATACCAGTTCCCGACAGCTGTGCAGGGCAGGGCCGGGTTAGTACAGTGATGGAAGACCAGGTGCCACAATGAGGTGGCTATGGCTGTGAAGTGCTGTAGATAGATAGATACTTACTTTATTGATCCCCGTAGGAGAAATTCAGGTGTCCAGTAGCAGCAAAAATAAAATTGATAATTCTAAAAAGCTAACAATAGTAATAATCAGCAACAGCCCTTCAGGTCACAGCAGCAGAGATGGAGTAGCCTCTGGGTGGAGCAGGACAGGTCACAAGGTGGAGTAGCCGCTTGGTTCGGAGCATTTTCTCTGCTCTAGTCCAAAGTAAAATGCATAATGCTTCATTAGCATTTTTCAAAAAGTTAGCATTCCTCCAGTGGATTTTCACCTGATCTACTTGGGTCAAGCCATGAATCCTCTCCGCTCCGGTCTGGACCAGTGTAAAACCATGAACACTGTACTGCAGCAACATCTCAGATAGAAAAAAGCAAGAAAAGATACAAATTGTAAAGCAACAAAACAACTGTTTCAGAGCTACTTAAGACTTGCAGCTGTTTGCACTTTGGCAAGACACTTCACCCACATTGTCTAGAATGAGTGAGAATGTGTGTGTAAATGGTTGGTGATGGTCGCAGGCGCCGATGGCACATACTGGTTTCCTTGCTTCTGTTAATGTGCCCCAGGGCAACTGTGGCTACAGTAGGCTTTTATCACCACCGTGTATGGCAGGGGTGTCCAAACCGGTCCAGAAAAGGCCACTGTATCTGTCGGTTTACTATCAGAACAAGCAGGAGCAGCGCAGACTCCACCCATTTTTTACAGTCTTAACCAAAAGATTTGAAGAAATGGGTGGTTTGCTCTGCGACTACTTTTAGTCTGATAGAAAACCCCTGGTGTATGGAGTGAATGAGTGCCATAAAAAGCGCTATATTAAACCAATTAGTGTGATCTTGTGTTGTGTTTAAAGTAGCAATATGTAAGATTTTCATGTCATATCATCATTAAATGGCCCTAATCTGTCAAAAGGTGTTAATAAAACATACTTCTTTAACTGATAACAGTAGTTCAGCAGAGATATTTAATTGTCAAAATTTGTTTTACAGTCCCTAAATCTTGTTGTTGTTTTCATTTCGATGTCCTGCCCTCCACCGTTTAACCAATCAGAAAGTCTGATCTGGGTTGTCAGAACTCACCACGTCAAGCTTATCTCAATGTTAAAGTACCATGTGGCCGCAGAACTAAAAAGACCTTGTTATGATTCTCAAATAATTCATGACAAAATAAGGAATAAAAGGAGGATTTCTATCGGGGCCTTTGTGAAAAAGGTTTTGGTTATAGATTTGTTGTTGACAAAACTCTTGTCTATTCAGTTAATATGGCCTCAGCTGGATTCGTCTGCATATCTGGCAACCTGAGTCAGGGCGAGTGGGAGAGGTTGCAGTACCACTGTTGGTCATATTTTTAAATACTACTGTTTTTAAATGAAGATAACGGGATTCTGTAATTATTCTTAGTGATACTACTCCTCCTGAGGAGGGCGCTGTGTGTTCATTGCTTTACCGCTTCTATAGAATCATGCTAAGTTCTAACAGCAGTGAGAAGAGCGAAGGAGCTCCTTTCCTTGTCCTCAGACCAAGTAGTAGGAGGGAGATGTGTTTAGCGATTTTCAGACAGATCCTTTCTGTCCTATTTATGCAACATAAAAGTTAGGTACCTTAGCTTTAAATTCACTACACTGAGATTTAATCCCGATTAATCTAATTTCCAAATTGCTATTAATCAGATAATAAAAGTATTGACAACACTGATTGTATTGTGCTCCCAGGATTGTGGTGAACGGCCGGGCTTTTCTGGATGCGGTGGTGCCGTCTTCAGCCAAACCCTTCAACTTCCAACAGGAGTTCAGACTGTCAGAGGAGGAGGTGCGTGTTAACTCAGGCCTGGTTCAGTCCCAGTCCAGGTCTACAACGGCACGGTGGCTGAGTGGATAGCACGCTCGCCTCTCAGCAAGAAAGTCCTGGGTTCGAATCCCGGTTGGACCAGGGCCTTTCTGAGTGGAGTTTGCATGTTCTCCCCGTGTCTGCGTAGGTTTCCTCCGGGTGCTCCGGTTTCCCCTACCACTAAAAATATGTACAATAGGTCTGACATGTGCCTCCTGTACTGGCACTCACAAAAAAAAATAACAATTGTAAACCGCTTTGAGACTCCGATGTGCAGTGAAAAGGCGGTATATAAATAAAGATTACTACTACTACTACTACTACTTACAACCCATCTCAGGGGCTAGGTTTTTTGGAGCTCATAAAACGAGGGTTACGTATGTAACCACGGTTCTATGAATCCCGGATGACCGCCAGAGGGCGGTGCATAGCACTGAATGTTCCCTTCGCGCATGCGCAGTTCGAGTAATAATACCAAATGAGTCACACCTGTGACCCCCTGGGTGACACACCGGAGGTAATAAAGTCCAGCGTCATCCAGCACTCTGTTCCTGCAGAATCTTCTCGCGGATGCAAGGACCCTGAGTGACAGAGCGCCTCTGGCGGTCATCCGGGATTCATAGAACCGTGGTTACATACGTAACCCTCGTTCTATTTCATCCCTTCAGACCGCCAGAGGGCGGTGCATAGCACTGAATGACCTTATACCAGCTATGTCACGAAGGAACTTGACCACACACCTCACGGAGGAGAGCCAGAGGATTCCTGAAGGACCACGCCAAGAGGAGCCGGAGTGGCCACATTGATGTTATAGAATCTGGTGAACGTGCTCGGTGTAGCCCAAGACGCAGCAGCACAAATAGTTCCCAACGGCACCCCGCGCATAGCGGCCCAGGAGGTAGAGACACCCCTGGTAGAATGGGCCCTCACCGTGGCTGGCGGGTCGCGGCCGGCCGAAATATACGCCTGACTGATAACGTCAACCACCCAGTGGGAAAGGCGTTGCTTCGAAAGCGGACTCTAGCACCACCATAAGCAACAAAGAGCTGGTCTGAGCGCCTCACACCTGCCGTCGCAGCAACGTAGGCCTCCAATGCCCTCACAGGACACAGCAGGTGCAGTCTGTCCTCACCCCCATCCAGGGGGGACACAAACCGCGCCAACCTCAAAGGCCGGTTACAATAGTCACGGGAAAGCACCTTAGGGAGGAAAGTGGGATTAGGCCACAAGACCACGCCAGCCCTCTCAGGATCCCAGTGTAGGCATGAGGGACTGACAGAAAGTGCATGTAACTCACCGACCCTTTTTGCAGAGACCACAGCCAACAGGAAAGCAGTCTTATAGGAGAGCCACTTGAGGTCCGTTCGGGCCAATGGCTCATACGGAGGGCGGCAGAGAGACTCCAACACCAAGGCCAGGTCCCAAACCGGAGACCGCGCGGGCACGCGAGGGTGCAGCCTACGAGCTCCGCGTAAAAAGAGAGACACCAGGTTATGGCCCCCCACAGTACAGTTATCAACCAGGCCATGATAACATGAAATAGCAGCAACATATACCTTCAGAGTAGATGGGGCCCGACCTTCATCCAGGAGAGACTGAAGGAATTCCAGGACAACCGCCACCGGGCACGACACGGGATCCCGACCGCGGGAAGAACACCAGCGGGAGAACAACTTCCACCTGTTCTCATACAGCCGCCGAGTAGAGGCCGCCCTGGCATTCAGGAGTGTACGCCTGACAGGGCCAGTGACATCGAGTGCCCGCAGCTCGGGCCAGCCAACGGCCATACCCATAACTTGAGGCGGTGAGGACAGGGATGCCACACCTGACCGTCCAGCTGTGAGAGCAGATCCCGCCTGGGAGGGAGAGGCCAGGGGGGAGCCCAACAAAGTCTGAGTAGCAGTGGAAACCAGGGCCGTGCAGGCCAAAACGGAGCCACCAGTAATAAACTGTGCCCCGCCCGAAGGACCCTCTGGAGGGTTGGCCAGATCAGAGGAAAAGGGGGGAAGGCGTACAGGAGGGCCTGAGGCCAACTGTGCGCCAGGGCATCCTGGCCGAGAGAGCCCGGAACCCCGTCCAGGGAAAAAAACTGAGGGCAATGAGTGGAGGCCACCGAAGCGAACAGGTCCACCTGTGCCCGACCAAAGAGGCCCCACACCCTCTGGACCACACCGGGGTGGAGACACCATTCCCCCGGGGCAGGCCTCCCGCGAGACAGGGAGTCCGCCACGCGATTGCAGTCCCCTGGCAGATACGCTGCACGCAGTGTAGCCAGGCGAGGCGCAGCCCAAACCAGCAGAGCCTGAGACACCTCGAGGAGCCGAGCCGATCGGACACCCCCTTGATGGTTGATGTGATACACGACCGAGGTGTTGTCCGAACGAATGAGGACATGTTTCCCCAGCAGGTGAGGCAAAAACTCCTGGAGAGCACGGTGGACGGCCCGAAGCTCCAGTACATTTATGTGGTCTGAGCGCTCCGCCCGAGACCAAACCCCTCGGGCCAACCTGCGCTGCCACACAGCACCCCATCCCGTACGGCTGGCGTCGGTGGTGACCACTTCCCTGCGGCACACTACCACCCCCAAGGGGACCCCACGTGACAGGAGACCGCGGTCCCTCCATGGAGCCAAAGCACGAAAACATGCCCACGTCACCTGTAACCGTCTGTGGCGGTGACGAACGGCATCCAAACGAAAACCCGTTCAGCCACCTCTGCAACGGGCGAAGCGAAAGCAGCCCGAGTGGAACCACACGAGAGATCGAGGCCAGCTTCCCCACCAGCTGTAGAAAGCTGACGTAACTGTGCAGGGTGCCAAGACCGAAACGGGACACCACACCGTGGATGTCGACCAGGCGGCGCACCGACGGACGCGCCGTCATAGTCACCGTGTTCAGACTCAGGCCAAGAAAAACAGCGGCCTGCGAAGGTACCAGGCTGCTCTTTTCGAAATTGACCCTGAACCCCAAGCGGGCGACATGAGTCAGAAGGCGCTCCGTATCTTCCAAGGACCGTGCCCTGGACGGGGCGCAGATCAACCAATCGTCCAGATAAGGCAACACCTTCATGCCACTGGCCTGCAGCGGAGCAAGAGCCGCCTTCACGCATCGGGTGAAAACCCTCGGAGAGAGAGAGAGGCCAAAGGGAAGAACCCTGAACTGCCAGTGAACGCCCCGATAGGCGAACCGGAGGAACCGCCGGTGGGGCTGCGCAATGGGCACGTGAAAATACGCGTCCCTTTAAATCTACGGACGTGAACCATTCCCCGGCCCCAACAGTCTGAAGGACTTCCGCAGTCGTCAGCATGCAAAATGGAATGACCTTCAGGAAATGATTCAAGCCCCTCAGATCCAGAATTGGTCGAAAACCCCCCGTCTTCTTGGGCACGAGAAAATAACGGGAGTAATAACCCCTGGGTTGCAGCAGCGGATCTACCGCCTCGATGGCACCCTTGGTCAGGAGGGCGGAGAGCTCCTGATCCAAGATAAAGGCTTTTGCCGGGTCCGAGAACAAAGTAACCTTGACCCGGCCCGACAAGTGCGGCCGGCGTCGGAATTGCAGACGGTATCCGTGGGTCAATGTGGCAACCACCCACGGATCCCGAGCTCGAGCAGCCCAACACTCGAGCTGCTGATGGGAAAAATGTCCGACGCTCGGCCCTGAGGCGTCAATTCCGTGCCCCCCGCCCCCTAGGGGCTCTGGGGGGACCCCGCCCAGGACCAGCCGCGGCGCCACTTGGCTGGCGGGTCGGGCGCCTATGTACGGGTGGGGCACGAAAATTCCCGGCAGGCCTGACCTGGGGAAAACGCTGAGCACCAGACCAATCCCGAGGAGGCTGCCGAACACCGGGGGCCACCATCGGGCGCAAAAACTGCCGGGGAGGGCGCACCACCCTGCTAAGGCTAGAAAGTTGCTGTCTAGTCTGACCAGCATGGACAGTCCGGTCCAATGCTTCCTGGGCCGCCGTCCCAAACATCTGACCCGGCTCGACAGGCACGTCACGGAGGGTCCTACGACAGGCCTCAGTCAGGGGAGACTGAGCCAGCCATACCTGCCGACGAGCCTGTACAAGGACCGACATGACCCGTCCGAGTTCCCTGGTCATCAAGGCAAAAGCATGCAGAGCTGCGTCGCTAAACGCAGTAACATCAGTGCCCACAGCACTACCCTCTTGGAGGGAGGCAGACAGGGCAAGCAGCAGATGCGCTAAGGAGTTACCAATACGGCCAGCTCGAGCACCAGAATTGTAGGCCTTTGTTAGCAAGTGATCCGTCGCACGACACTGGCTCCGAGGGCACCTCACATTCTCCCGCAAGGACTCCTCTGGAGAAACAATGAGGGAGGCAACCGCCGGCTCAACAGCCGGCATGCAATCCAGACCAGCCGAAGAGGCATCGTGCATCGCGGCCAAAGCCCGACCCTCAGCCGACAGCTTAGAGAGACGGCTGGGGTCCCTCCAGCACGCGTGTAGCTCCTTCAGATACTCCGCGGACGGGGGCACAACAAAAGCAGGAGACGAACCACCACGCCTGAAAAAAGCACTGCCAGGGTCAGCCTGTCCCGACTGGGGAAGTTCCACCTGCAGACAGGATAAGGCCCTGCGAAGAACCTCCTGCATTGAGCCGTCACCAGACCGGCTGGACACACTATGTGCGGAAGAATAAGCATCGTCCCCCGAAAGGGACCGCGCGTCATCCTCGTCCCGGAAGCACGAAGCAGATGCCGCCAGAGAAAGCACATCCTCTTCCGGATGGAGGGATGGCATGGAGCAAGAACCAGCCCCAGAGACGGCATCAGCAGCACAACGTGCCTGGAATGCAGATTTCATCGCCTCCAACTCTGCAGATAACTGCTCCACCCTCGACACCAGGACAGTATCCGGCTTGGCCTGCTTGGAAGGACCATGGCCATCAGACCGCTCCCCCGAAGCACAGGCCTCAGCACGGCGCTTAGAACGCCGAGGGGGCGGAGCCACAGCAGGTCCCACTGGCAAACTACCACCGTCGCCAGACGAAGGCAGCTGAACCAGCCTCGCCACCCTAACAGCCCAGGGCAAGCAGCTGCAGTTCATGCACGGGTTATCGGACACTGCCTCCCTCAAGTGAGTGGGGCCGAGGCACGCCGGACACAGGTCATGGCCGTCATCAACATCGAGTGCTGACCCGCAGCCCACACACGCATGTGACCCGTCCATAACAAGGTTGTTTTTTTTTTTTTTTTTTAAATTAAATTATTATTCTTGTTTCGTCTGTCTGTGTCGTTAATTCAATATGGAATTAATCCCAACCGGTATACAAACTGCAGAACTGAATCAGCGTACTGCAGTTTCACAACAGAAAAGCCAAATATAGCACGGTGGAGGAGCGGACGCGTGAACAGCAGCCTTCACACCACACAATGCACCCGCAGCAAAATGCCACTCGAATAAAGTAGTGATGGAGGAGAGGGCGCGCGAACAGCAGCCGTCACACCACACAATACACCGGCCACAGAATAAACACAGGCAGCAAATGCTAACCCAAACAAGAACTGATGGAGGAGCGGGACAACGAACCGCAGCCTTCACACCACAGAGGACACCGGTAACAAAAACTAACCCAAAGAAGAACTGATGGAGGAGCGGGCGCGCGAACAGCAGCCTTCACACCACACAATACACCGGCAGTAAAACGCCAACTCAAAAATAAAGTAGTGATGGAGGAGAGGGCGCGCTAACAGCAGCCTTCACACCACACAATACACCGGCCACAGACTAAACACAGGCAGCAAATGCTAACCCAAACAAGAACTGATGGAGGAGCGGGACAACGAACCGCAGCCTTCACACCACAGAGGACACCGGTAACAAAAACTAACCCAAAGAAGAACTGATGGAGGAGCGGGCGCGCGAACAGCAGCCTTCACACCACAGAGGACACGGGTAGCAAAAACTAACCCAACTAAGAACTGATGGAGGAGCGGAACCGCAGCCTCACACCACACAATACACAGGTAGCAAAATGCTAACCCAAATAAGAACCGATGGAGGAGCGGGCTAACGAACCGCAGCCTCACACCACTCAATACACAGTTAGCTAAGCTAACTCAAACATGCACAGGCGGAGGAGCAGGCCAACGAACCGCAGCCTTCACACCACGAAATGCATGTACCAAAAGAAAGTACTGACGGAGGAGCGGGCGCCACAGCAGCCTTCACACCAACCAATACACACGTATAAGACAGAAAACACCAATAAATACCCGAAGGACAACGTCACCGTCGCGCCCCACGGAGGGCGAACCGCAGCTCCGATGAAGAGGGCTTTCAGCGACAGACGTTGACGAAGTTCAAGCAACAACGATTCGAACCGCACGCGAGAAGAAAAAAGGAACAGAGTGCTGGATGACGCTGGACTTTATTACCTCCGGTGTGTCACCCAGGGGGTCACAGGTGTGACTCATTTGGTATTATTACTCGAACTGCGCATGCGCGAAGGGAACATTCAGTGCTATGCACCGCCCTCTGGCGGTCTGAAGGGATGAAATAGAACAACAGTTCACTTGACAATAAATGTGAATGTGTGTGTGTTATTACATGCAATTAAGAAAAGCTATAATTTCATTCATTTTAATTCAATTCAATTTATTCTTCTACAGACCTTTATCAGGCGGCACGGTGGCTGAGTGGATAGCACTCTCGCTTCTCAGCAAGAAGGTCCTGGGTTTGAATCAGTCAGAACGGGGCCTTTCTGTGTGGAGTTTGCATTTTCTCCCCGTGTCTATGTAGGTGCTCCGATTTCCCCTACCTCTAAAAACTGGACAACTGTGGCTCAGTTGGTAGAGCATTGGCCTTTGAGCCCGAAGGTCGTGGGTTCGAGCCCACCACGAGACCTTCTCCATCGACTCTCACTGATGTCTGCTGTCATTGTGTCCTTGGGCAAAACACTTAACTCACTTTGCCTTTAAGGAGCGCGGAAGTGATTTGTATTTGATGTACTGTGTGTGTATGCATCAAACTGAAATTTCCCCATTATAGGATGATTTATTCTTCTGAAAAAAAAAAAAACACATGTACAATAGGTCTGGCATGTGCCTCATGTATGGTGACCTTATTCCCACCTCTGTGTGGAGTGAGAGACAAATGGCCACAATTGTAAAGCGCTTTGTGACTCTGGGCAGTGAAAGCTGCTATATAAATAAAGTTTACTAAATCACAACCGTAGTTAGGACTTTACAAAACTATTGAATTCACCAACACAGATCAGAGAATCAAACACACCACCACATTATATGAATGTTATTGTTGTAATAAACAATAATATTAATATAATTTGATGGTTGTTTGGTAAGTGTATGACTGCTGTATGTATTTGAATAAGTATGCCTATGTGTTTTTTAGTTTATTTATTTCACTGTGTTATATACTGTAAATGTGTGTAACACATCTATATTTTCAGTGTAACAAATAGTGTGTGTTTGTGTGTGTGTCTAGGCCTTGGACGTAAGTGACCATTACCCAGTGGAGGTGCTGCTGAAGGCGGGCGTCTCCAGTCTGTCATGCCCCCTGCTCCTGGTGCTCCTCTGTCTTCTGTTTAACTAAACACAAGCAGATCATGTGCTCAAAACCTTTTAAAGCACAGGGCCTCTGTGAGACTGTGTCCAAAACGGTAAACTCACTGCGTTTAGCTCCAGCCATTCTCATATCTGTCCGATCGATTACATCAGGAGTGCTCATAACGTTGGTCACGAAGGTTGAAGTAAACAGTAAATAAGGTGCGAGAGTTCCCAACTAGTGAATCTGATAAAACATTTCACTAAACTAGATAATATGAGCTCAAAGCAGTTATGAGTGACATCACCACATGAGAAACTTTTATATCTCTAGCATCTTCAGGACGACGCACTGTCCTTCCTCCTGTCGTGCCTCGTCCCCTGTTCTCCTGATCCTTCTGAATGACTGAGGGGCTTTTTGTCGGCAAAAAGAGGTGGAAGCGCCCTCATCTCGTTTACAGAGTATTAGTAAAATTAAAAATATATATGTGTATAAAGATATATTATAAATATTAGTATATTAGATTATATAGTTATACCTGTTATTGACATTGCCTACTTAGAACTGTCCATGGCAAGTTTGCACAATGCCAAGGAGTGTGCCATCAACATATGGAAAAAAATATATTTCTGTGTTATTTTGTTCAACTTTCAGTTGGTTCATTGTGTGATTTTATGTCCCAAAGGTTCAAGTGTTTTTTTTTTTACACAGACATTTTAAAACATGATATGCCAAAGTAAAACTTCAAGGCTTGGGGCCGTTTACAAATTTTGGCCCCTCCTTCCCGTCGCTGTTGGACTTGACCACTGTTTTCGAATAGAAGCGCTGTGGCCAAACAGAACCTGCACTGAACTCTTTTAACTCATGTGCTTGTCGAGCTTATATTTATAATGGATTCAGAGTGTGTACGTGTGCTTTGTTTGTTAAATCAGAAGAGTAGCCTCCAGCATAGGGCATCTAATAAAAGTGGATCTGGTCGAGTTACACTTGAATGAAATAAAATATTGAGTCTGAAATTGTTTTGCCTCCACCATTTTGTGTTTCATCAAATATAAATTTCTACATGTGAAACAAAGTAAACCTGTCTCTCACTTTTTCAAATGGCTACAATAGCGCCACATTTGGAATTTTGTGACAAAAACAAAGTTAGCTGGGTTTAATAGGTCCTGAACTTTAGCACAATGTGTAGAGTATAACTATACTGGTGAAGCTTAAGTTGGCTGGATGGCAGTTCATTGGTAAAGATTTAGCCCAAGGTCATTAGGAGATCCCTGATTTAGGGATACAAAAAAGGGAATTTACATGTATTCTGTCTGGATAGCTAATTTATATATTTATTTATCTACTTTTGATCTATATCTATATAGATTATATATATTTTAACTATTGCAACTAGCTAAATCCAATTTTCAGTTAATTATCCTCTGCTGTAACTTCCCTCTGAGCAGAAGCTGTGACTAATAATTAGAGTCAGAGGCCAAAACTACAGCCCAAAACTACAGTCCATTTGTTTGTTCTGTGAGTTGCCTTATTCTTGCAAATTGACAAAAGCAAGAATAAGGCAATAGACGATTATTTATCATGGTACAAAATAAGAGTACGAGTAATTTTGTAGGAGTATAAAATTAATATTTTTAAACCCATTGTTACACAAACAAAGATAGAAAGATAATTCAAATTGAAGAACTTTATTGATTGTAAAAAGCAGAGGCCCAAGATTGGCGTCACAAAGTCTGTTTCCTGTTGACCCTGGTGTCAGCAGTGGCTCCTCCCACAGGCTGGGGGTGGAGAGTCACGCTTCATTAACGGTAAAAACGGAAAAAGAGCCGCGTGACGACAGACCTAACGGACCGATCATCGCACATCTGACATGACCGCAGCCAGAGGAGGACTGCTCACATCGTCCTCTGAGCTGGGACCACATCTCATGTAACACAAACAATTCATTGATACTAAATGTTCTTTTAAGACATGGCCGTCACCACAGCCGGGAACGCTTCATATGTCAAATGTGAAATCACGTTCATTCAGATGAAATACTTGTACATCAAGTAACATTGTGTGATGTTTCTCTGATCACCACATGGTGTTCTTTTTCCTTCGACAAATAATTTGTTCAGATTTTTACCGCTGGTATGATTGTTTTATTATATAAATATCAATCTATAAATATATATTATTTAACTCAAGTTCCAAAAAAATAAAAGTTATTGTTAAATTAAGTGTTGGAACAAGCGAATGTCAATGTAATTGTTGTAAATATTTTGGGTTCGCAATCTCAAATCATTTGGCAATAACAGTGCTAGAATGCCAACAGGCATTTTCAGCAACTTTAATACATTTGTGAGGAAAATTGGAAATCAAATGTTTTTACCGGCTGCACTAAACAAGATTCATAGATTTTCTAATCCATTTGCAAATCAACATCTCTTCTTCAAGACGACTGTTCTTGGGACTTTTGGATGTAGAAAAAAACACTTTTGAGGATTGAGTTACATCATCTGATCTAAATCTCAGCCCAGACTATGGACAATAATTATTTCATTGCTATAAAACGCCTTCAGAGGCTTCTTTTGTCCAGAAAATAACAGCTGGATTAGATTTTTTAAAATCCTACTTGCTCATTGGCTCAAATATTCCTCATTGCAAACTGTTTATGGCATTCCTGGTCACGGAACACTCGCATTAAACTATATTCCAGAAGTTTTTAATTGTGTGAAAAAATGTGGAGTGCAGCCGGCTTTAGACGATGTATGGAAGGCGTAAATTGAGTAAAAACCACATTTGACGAGTTGCAGGCCCCAGTTTAAATATTGGGGCTTGTGACGGGGCTGCCGTCCTGGCTGGCAGACTGACTCCCTCGCGGTGGCACTTCGATGATTCGTGGTTTGTCGATGATGCGGGCACGTCGGTCACCTTTCTCCACAATGCCAATGATCCAGGCTCCGCCCTGTCCCCCGCTGGACACCCGCTGACTTTTCATCTCGGAGCAGAACTTGGCCGCCTGCTCCCGGGGCAGACACATGAGCAGACCACCTGAAAGAAAACAGGAGACAACTATTTTAACACTTTTTCCGTGCATTACATCAAGTTCTTAAATAAAAATCATTTTCAAATGTACTCTGGTATTTTACTCTGGAGTCCAAACGCAAAAAAATCATGTAGAGTAAAAGTCAAATGAAGACCTGTCACCGAACAAGTGTATCAATGCTGCATGGAGCCAAACCGGTCGCTTCAGCGAAACCACAATATAACATACCATCCTCGCTGACAACGCCCATAATGTTTGCTTCATTGAAAAGAAGCCGATTAGAACTAACTCATCCAGCTCCTTGAGGATTAGAGCTAACTCAAAACAGGAATTTGGGTACAGAAGGCATATAAATTTACACAAGACATTATCAAAATAAGACCATCAGGATCATACATTAAGTGGTGAATGTAAACGGTTCCAGAGTGAAGAGAACCTACAGTATGCACACACACAGTCTCTACGTCACCCACCTGACGTCTCTGCGGAGGTGCCCTGGATCAGGTTAAACAGGTTTCCACAGGCCTTGCTGACGGCGGCCATCTTGGCGATGATTGGCAGGTTGTGGATGACGAAGGCGACGTCGCTCTTCTGCTGCGATGCCAGGTTGTTGGCGTGTCCGAGCAGACCAAAGCCCGTGACATCTGTGGCTGCATGTGCCTGGAACTTATGCATCAGGCCGGCCGCTGATGAAGAGGAACGCACACAATAGTATCATCTAAGCTGAAGTACCGAACTTTCAAACCACAACATTTAACGTTGATCTAGTTCCTGGCTCTGAAACAGTCTAAAGGTGTGACAGAGGCCAGATATACATGCACGTGAAAACGAGTGATGAAACCAACTAAAGAAAAGTGAAAAATAAGAGCTCCCTCACTCAGCCAATCAGCTTTAAGCCCAATCAGTCAAATAGTAACTCAAGTGAACAAAAATCAAGATGTAGACGGCATGTTGTGGTCTTCAAGAGTCTCTCTACAAACAACTTGTATGTATAAGTTATAACATTATAAAAATCAAGACAAAATGTGGATTTATATTCATTTGGGACTGTAATTAACAATTATTTTATCAATAAGTTGCTCGGATCCCAGGAGGTCATTGAATATGAAATTTTTTATACATTTGACCAAAACAAAGCTCGAGTGGGATCCTTGGAGAACATCTTCATAAAGATGACTTGTTTCACACTTGTTTCAATCATTATAGGGTCATAAAACTTCTCTTCAGCCCGTTTAAGTCTATGGTAAGTACAACACACAATTACTAAACTTTTCATAAGAAATTCTATAAAACAATTGTTACAGTGCCATATTCATTAAACTTGATTTTGTACGAAATAATATTTACAGAAATCGCTATAATTACGATGGATTGCATGTAGGAAAGACTGACATTATTTTATAAAGCACATTTCTACATAAATCCAAATGTGTGCTTAACAGAAGCATATCAACAAAAAAATTCCAAAGGCATTTAATAAATCGACACATCTAAAACTCTAGACAAACGTCCAAATAAGTAATTCCTTAGTCTCATCTGCAGTCATTGGGCAGAGCGTTCCATGTACAAGGAGCATACTGGGAGAAGGCTCCAGTTGACTGAGTTGGTCCTTACCTGTGCGGTTTAAGGTGGCCATAGAAAACATGGCCTCCTGATACGCCTCCTTCACCTCCTCCTTAGATATGACCAGCTTTATCTTGTTCCATCGCTCTGGCTGACAATACACACATGTACACACCATTAATTGGACTTTTGTTGTTTGCAAAGAAATTAATAACTTGTAGTCGTTGCGTATTTTGACTACGGTATATGAAATGTACAAATAAAGTTGTACTGTTTGGAAGCCTCAAAAGTGGCATCAAGGGGCTCGAAAAAGAAAACATGGAATGAGATGACGACATCTGTAAACAGCGTGGGGCCAGTACACGGCACTCCTGAAGAGGTGAGTTTATTCATATTTGTTATATGCAGAATAACAAATATAGAAATATACGCTATTATCATATATCATGTCAAACAGTAAACCAATAATATATTGGGCCAATAGTTAGAATTTATGCCTACAGGTAAAAAAAAAAAAGGGCATGTTGCGAAAATGGAAACAAAAAGGTGTTTAGCGCCCCATAGAAGTGCTCAGCAGCCGAGGGGAGGACCACCAGACCAAAGCATCCAAAAGAAAATATTTGGAAATAAAATGATCTTCAAATTAGTGTTTTATTACTTAAAATTGTTGAATGAGAGCCTGTCTGAGCTGTACAGGCTGAATTTAGTGAAGGCGGTGCTGGCCATGGTCTCTCATCCATGGTCTCTCATCCATGGTCTCTCATCCATGGTCTCTCATCCATGGTCTCTCATCCATGGTCTCTCATCCATGGTCTCTCATCCATGGTCTCTCATCCATGGTCTCTCATCTATGGTCTCTCATCCATGGTCTCTCATCCATGGTCTCTCATCCATGGTCTCTCATCCATGGTCTCTCATCCATGGTCTCTCATCCATGGTCTCTCATCCATGGTCTCTCATCCATGGTCTCTCATCCATGGTCTGCTGCACCAGTGCATCCAATAGCACACCGTACCAGTGCATCCAATAGCACACTGTGTACATTGTGTGCGTATCATATGCTACTTCTAGGCTGATAAATGCTGAAAAGTGTAAAAAAAATGTTGTACGACTCATTTACACCCTGATTTGGCCGTACGCAAGTTTCATAAATGAGGGCCAATGTCACTTGGAAGTGGAAACCCTGTGCATAAGGATAATGAAGTTCACTAGTGTTGAGTTTGAGCTTCTCACCTGATCAAGCCACTGATGTGCGTTCACAGCCACCTGAGTACCCAGAGGTTTAGTGAGGACCAGCACATCTCCTGGAACAGCACCATCCGGCCTGAAACAGCAACAGATTCATCTATCAACATGTTTATTTCAGAACATATACAACACAAAGCCATCAAACATAATATCATACAGTCGCACATGCATGTCCAAACTGTGCGGGTCAATCATTTTTTATCCATGTTAGAAGGACTTTACAACCTTGAGGAAAGAATTGAGAGCATTATTTTCAAGTGGGATGCAAATCCAGATCATTGTGACAATCCTCTTAGTTTTAGAAAGAATTGAGGTCAGACTTGGGTGTAATCTTAGTAGCGACCAGTTGTGGGCTTTTCACAATTAGAATTCAACAAAAGACAAAAAGTATAGAGAATCAATATTGTAATCTCAGGTCTTGCAGGTGGAAAGTGGCTCTCATCCCCTTGGGACAAAGTTTTGTAACAGTTCTTGTCCCAATCTTACTTATACCAAGCTACTGACCATATTCATTATTTTACCATCTAAAAAACATTGCCAGGATCAAAAACATAGTGTCTAAAGCAGACTTGGAGATTCTTAGCCATGCATTTGTCTCCAGTAGGTTAGACTACTGCAATGGCCTGCTCACAGGTCTGTCCAAACAGGCTTTAAAACAGCTGCAGTACATTCAAAATGCAGCAGCTCGAGTCCTGACAAGAACCAGGAAGTACGACCATATTAGTCCGGTCCTCAGGTCTCTGCACTGGCTTCCTGTGGCTCAGAGAATAGACTTTAAAACAGCTCTGCTTGTGTACAAGTCTCTCCATGGCCTCGCACCAAAATATATTAGTGACATGTTAGTACCATATGAACCAGCCCGGACTCTGAGGAGCACAGGGACTGGACTCCTGTTAGTGCCCAGAGTCAGAACTAAACATGGGGAGGCTGCTTTTCAGATTCATGCTGCTAAAATCTGGAACAATCTTCCTGAAGATGTGAGACAGGCCTCCTCAATGACAATGTTTAAAACCAGGTTAAAAACAGTTCTGTTTAGCTGTGCATACAACTGAGGGATTTTATATTTTTATCTTTCTTTTTAATGTTCTGTGATTATTTATGATTTTAATGCTATCTTGTTCAGCACTTTGAATTGCCTTGTGTATGAATTGTGCTATACAAATAAACTTGCCTTGCCTTGCCTTGTAATAGTCCCACTATAGTGGATTGAGATGAATATGGACAAACTTGGACTCACATGATGAACTCGTTCGGCTGACAGACCACAGAGGCCACTCCTCCGACAATGATCCAGGGATTGACCACAGTCTGTCCCCCAGTCACTGACGTCCCACCCTCCTCCGCTGCATCCCGGAAGCCTTCTATCATCAGAGGCATGACACGCTCACGGTCCTGCACATGGAGTTCTGTTAGTTAAACAACCATAGTACGCACAGCCTAAAGTCGTTCTACTGATCAGAGTTGCTGCTCTTTCACACTTTCAGAAATGTGTGTGCTTCACTTTTTGCTTAATAATGTATTGAAAATGTTAGCCTTTATATCAAGAGAAATTACGCTTTCATAGAAACCACTTCAGCCCAAAGTTTGGCGCTGACCACAGTGCTGAGGCTCCATCCTCCCTTTTGCCGTTACTAAAAGTCATTCATGTTTAATATCTCGCTCCTCCCAAGTTCCATCGCCCCCTCTTGAAGATGCTTAGTGTGAGAGGTCAGAGGTCCATCAGATCTCCACATGGTCCATGCTCCGGGCATAGACCTTGTTTTTCAAAACACTTTTAATCCAGCTGGGGGCCACATGTCAGTTTTTTATATTGCCATTGTAAGTAACAGGAACACAAACTAGGAATTGTTTTAATAACCTGTTTGCACCATATACCAAAGTAAAAGAAAATAGAAAAGGCATTCAGAAGTACAATTCTAATATACAGGGGAAGAAACTGTTCTTATGGCGGGAGCTTTCAGCTAAACTGAAAGATAGATGTTTGTGCTAAGCTGCCCTCACAGAGCTTCACGGAGTCGTGGCTGGAAGTGCAGTACACTTCAACATTTATCAACATGTGTTCTTTTATAAATATCATTTATACAATATTTATCGAAAACATTCTTTTTTGTGTCTTAACTGTGGATTCTCTGATCTGTGTTTGGCGATTTCAATGGTTTTGTTAAGTCCTCTGAGATGACTACAGTCGTGATTTAGGGCTATACAAGAGTAAATTGTATTGTATTGTAGTGGTTGATGTACAGAGTAAAGAGCATAGGAGAAATAACACAGGCTTGTGGAGATCCTGTGTTTTTAATCTGCAGGACTACAGATCTACTGAATCTGTAGCCAAGCAGCTAGGACAACAACCTGAACCACCTGTATTAATGTTTCACTTGTAGTAGAATATGAAATACGTTTACATGAATAATTAAATGAAAGAGAAGAGGTTTCAGACCACCTGTAGTCTGTCTGATGTCATTAGAATGTGTTTAATGCTGCTTTGCACATTTTTTGTGAATAAAGTCTGCATTATATGGATCTCTGCTGTATACTGTGTCCCAAGTTCATGTTTTCACATTGGTGCAGTTCTTTATCAGCATCATCTTAATCATCATCAACATCTCACTTGTATTAGTGAGTGTTTAAACCAGTGACTAGAATATTCCTAATATATTGAAGCAGTGATATAAATCTGCTAGAGCAAAGCACAGTGGGCTCATTGTGATGCTTCCATGACCAAGTGCAACCTGCTTTATCCTGTCTACAAATGTATAGGATTCCATGGAGGGTTGGGGGGTCGTTTCCCAGCCCTAGTACACATGCGATTAGAGTTGGATGTACAAACTGACCTTCTCGTTCATTTTCTGGCTGACACTCAGCAGCATTAGCATGTTGTCACACTCTGTGATGCCCATGGCGTAAAGGTCACTGAGGACATTAGCACAGGCGATTCTCCCCTGGACACAAGACATACACACACAGGCACACACATTATTATCAATACACTATATGAAATATCTAAATATTACACAAATCAGCATGTACAACCAATAGGGCTAAAGAAATAAACTGCATTTTATCAATTCGAGTAGGAACCAACCCTATGTTTTTGGACAGTTCAAAGTAAGAAACACTGAGCAGAGCCCAGCCCTGGTGAGCAGTGACTGATGCTCATTCTAAACTGAGGACATTGTTCTGAATCGATACTGATTATTTTTAGCTGAAGTCTGCACATCTTTCAGAATGCCTCCAGTGCAGTGAACAATTATCCACTACTGTAGAAATTTGACAAATGATTATAGAGGGTAATTTCATTAAACTCTCAGTAAAGCTGGCCTTAGTACTCCACTGTGCGCATGAAAAGAGCAGGTGGCTCAGTGGTTAGCACTGGTTCTGAGTCTGATTCTAGCTCCAGACAGGGAGTTTGTATGTTCTCAACCCACAATGTTTTGTGTATGCATGTTAATTATTATTTACAGAATTGTCCAATTATACAATAGCTGCACATTGAATAGAATGACATGATGATTCACAAATAAACCTTTCCCCCAGGTCTATCAGCTCTGTCCACTTGCACTCACCATCATGTAAGGGTCCTCCACCAGTGGGTAAAAGAAGTCTGTGGTCTGGACCAGAGACAGACCTCCATGTCTGAGTGGGATCACGCAGCAGTCCATCCCCACGCCTGAAAACACACCTCACACTTATGAATATTGGGAAAGCTTTCACTCTTACTCACATATCATGAAATGGGACATTTTTGGCTGTAATATTCCTTGGTAAAAAGGGCGGCATGATTTTGGCTCCAATTGTGATATCTCAGATTAACATTACGATTGAGATGAGATTAAGGGAGAAGATGCAATAATTAAGATAAGAAAACATTTATTGGTCCCACGCTGGGGGTAGTACAATATATTTTTAATATATTTGTTTTTAATTTGTTCTCTTTTTTTCAACTCAAACTCTGTGTGCCAAAATAAGTTAAAAACTTTAAACACAACAACTGTGAGCGACTTGGCGTGACTTGATGACCAAGTTGTAACTTTGATTGAGACTTTCATTTCATAGTCTCTTTTTGTTGAGCGTAAAAAATTAAAATAGGCGCAATAATAATACTATGATTCTAATTCAGAAAAATATAAACTATAATAAATTAAACCATATTATACACAAGCATGAATCTGCAGATAAATAACTCTGAAATTGTATCATACACTTCTCACTTGGAGGTCTAATGTTTCCTCTCTGTAGTGTCCAGCTCTCCTCGGAGTAAATCATTTTTACTGTGACCAGGACAAGGGGTCAAAGAGCATTTGTCTTGTGAGATACGCATGTCCTTAAGTCCAGTTCAGTTGCAATAATCCTTTTACTATCCTCTTTCACAGTCAAAAATACAACTACTGTGCAACTTCCAATATGCCCTGTGTTCCCATTCTCTTCAAAAGTTTCATTTGCATTGATTTTTGCATGTTTGAGTAATCCCGTGCATTCGGTGCTTCAATGCTCAGAGAGTCTTTGTTAAATAAAAACATTTATGTATTATTCATGATGTGGCCCCTTTCCAGCTGATATGAATTTATACAAGCATGCTAGGGCTGTAACTATGTTGATTATTGATTATTTAATAATATATGTTTATTAACTTTATATTATCAAGCACAAAGTTGAGATTTCTTTAAAGAAGACATTGTGTAAAATCGATTAATTTCTTAGCTTTAAAACCATGTAACAACATTGTTCTCTCAAAAACAGACCTAGAGTCGTTTTCAGCTCCATCCATGCCAATATTGAGAATGAGGAGTCACATGATAATTTGGGCGGGGTCTAATCCGGTCGGCCATGTTGATAGGATCCTCTATCGGTTGCCAGGGGCAACGCCACTAACGCTCAATATATACAGTCTATGCTAACGCTCCAGAGGTCTTTAACTTGAGCGGCCGTTTATTATTTTGGCAGTAGATACATCTACGATCACAACACTAGCAAGACAGTTAATGGAGAAAGTGAAGGCGAAAGGAAATGGACCGTACAGGGAAAAGCAAAACAACGTTATTTGGAGAAGCTCTCAGACATACAACAGGTAGACCCATACGAGCTTCCTGCAGCGGAGTGGCAAAAATACCTTGACTTTTTGCCTCCGTGCACGTACATGGATATAGTGAATTACCTTGTTTTCGGTGTTAGTTATTATACAATGCAGGAGTTTAGAAGTCACAAGTCACTGGAGAGTTACGAGGCTTTCTGCTGTGGTTGGGTGCAGGACTTGGCCATCTACAAGCCTCCAGGCGGTGAAAACACCGTTGTACTTGCACTATCAGCAGTATTACTATTTTATTATGTTGTCCGTCTTTTCATGCTGAAATATTTATACGTTGACTGCACACGTTCTTTTGCACTGTTAACTTTTCCAAGAGATTACACCCCCCTCCAAAAAAATTTTAATTTCTCAATAAATATTGCTTTGCCACATGAAGTTGTTTCAAACATTTATTTCAAAGAAATTAAAAAGGCAAGGCAAGTTTATTTGTACAGCACAATTCATGTTACAAAACAATTCAAAGTACTTTAAATAAAACATTAAGAAGCATTACAGCTGGGTGCAGAAGAAGCATTAAAAAGTAACAGAATAAAAAGCATGATTTAAAATTAAAAACAAAAATTCATAAGAAAAAGATAACAGATAAGTAATTCCAGCTTAAAAGAAGCCGTGCAGATTTGTACATTAGAATAAAAAATATTCAAAAGCAGCTGAGAACAGGTGGGTCTTTAACCTGGATGTAAACAAACTGAGTGTTTCAGCTGATCTGAGGCTTTCTGGGAGTTTGTTCCAGACATGTGGAGCATAGAAGCTGAATGCAGCTTCTCCGTGTCTGGTTCTGACTCTGGACTCGGATCCAGATGACATGAGGGGTTCTGGTTGGTTCATAAGTTATGAACAAGGCACTCAAACAACACTTTTGCACATGTTCGTTAAGGCACAGCAAACAGTGACAATCTTATCTAAAGGCATTAGGTTTTCACTAGGGATGTAAAGAACTATGAATTTTCATGACCGACCACCGAGCCTCATTAACCGGTTGAAACCGGTTAACCGGGTAGTTTAAAATATTCCACGTTCTCTGAAATAACAGCCATTTCGAGCCGCGTACTTCTCATAAGTGCAGCTGAGCGTTCTACTGGATTAGAGCTGAGACAGCGGCGCCAAAACCCGCAACAGCTTCGGCACCTTTGCGCACAGAGAACTGCTTTTTTAATCTTCCCATTATTCTGTGCTACGGGTTAAAACCAAAACTTTTTAGCAGCAAACAACGGCTCGTCCACATGGTCAGAGCAGCGAAAGACGCGCCGCGTCTCGCCAGTCTTTGCTAAAGTTTAAGTACAAGTGATGTGTGTGGATCTGATCTAATGCTAAGGACCATAAACACAAACATGTTCCATATGGTTTGACTGAAGCAGCGTATTTGCGCGGATCCTTTGGGCTCTGTGTGTGTGTGTGAATGTAAGCTCCAATGTGCAACTTTGGGTAACAGAGGGGAGAGAGGATGCGTGTGGATGTTACGTTTGGATAGGGGGAAAGTGTGTGTGTGTGCGCGCGCGCGCAAGTGTGCGAGCATATGTGCCGCGTGCGAGTCGTCCCGGAGTTTACTGATACATTTGCGCACACAGCTAGAGACAGACCCGCTCGTCACACCGTGCAAATAGGGCTTAAAATGGCGTTATTAAGAGACCTCCCCTCTCCCCCTTTTATTTTTTTTAACCGACAGTTTTGACCGGTTAACGCTGTGACGGTCAACCACCGGTTAAACTGTCACCGATTTACATCCCTAGTTTTCACCCTCACATTTGAGAAGCATATGCACAGGTACAGTTGAATGTAAGAATTTGAATTTGTTGCGCACAACACCAATCACCCTCTCAACGTGAATTCTGAGATGGAAGGTCTAATCTGAGGCGCATTACAGTCAATAGGACAAGCTGGAAGGGTGAGAGCTTCCTCATCCTTCCTTGTGGCAGCTGCTGGGCCGGCGATGGAGGCTGCTGGGCTTGGGCTGGCGATGGAGGCTGCTGGGCTTGGGCTGGCGATGGAGGCTGCTGGGCTTGGGCTGGCGATGGAGGCTGCTGGGCTTGGGCTGGCGATGGAGGCTGCTGGGCTTGGGCTGGCGATGGAGGCTGCTGGGCTTGGGCTGGGAGTGATGACTGCTCCAGATGCTGGGTCCTGCGCTTTACTTGCCACTGATATCGCGCTCCATCTGTTTCTTTAACATTATTGTGGCCTAACCGCAAGGATGGTGTCCAGTCAGGGTGATTCTCCAACATCACATATGATAGTTTACCTAGAACAGAATAATCTATGTAGTCAATGCTTTAAACTGGCAACAAGGTAGCATAATGTCATGAACAGAATCTCAACTATTTTTAGCAATCTCATATAATGGTTTACTTACATCAGATTAATAAGATTATTAAACAATCTGGAATCTAAAGAAATATTAAACAAGAAGGTAACGCTATTCATGGTTTCATAAAAGGGCTCAGGGGGTAGTGGAAACACAAGACAAAAAAAAAGTATGGGCACCACTGGTTTAGAGAACATAAGAGACAGAGACAAACGCACTTTGAGTGCCCATATTCCACCAACAAGGTAGATAGATAATGAGCAGAAACTTAAATATTCTTAGTTAACATTAATGGTTGGCCATTAAGCATTTTCATAGAGGCAACAGTTTGTTAGATAGTTAGCTAGGCAGCTAACTTAAGATGCACTTCAGTGTTTGCAACATTAACAGCTAGGTAACCTACACTTCTTAACTTTAAAAAAACAACATAAAGACATTTTAGGACGTACCCGAGTGAAAATGCAGAGAACACACTCTCATCGACAGTAAGGTCCTTTCTTCTTATTGCAGCCAACCAAGCCATCCGGCGTCTCTTCGTCAGGTCAGACACTTGCGCTCCCTGATGTTGTATCCATGTTTGTAGCCTAAACAATTGTAAACCGTTGTTCCTACGTTTTCCTTTCTTATTGTGTGAGGTACTGGAGCAGTTTTTCACACAGCAATGAGCTCCAGGCATGGTAAAACAGAAATAGCGACGACCTCCTTTGCTACCGAGTTAACAACAAGTGTTTGCCGCTGGGATCCTACCAACATGGCGGAGACGGGGAGGGGCTCTGTGCTATGACGTCAGCTCCTCACTCTTAAATTCAATTCAGTTAAATATTTTTTGTACAGCCCATAATCACAACAGCAGTTATATTTGACAACTTTATAAAGTTGTCAATTTTCCCAACACAGATCAGATAATCAAACAGGAATTTCTGGCACAAACATGTAATAGAAGGATGAATGAATGCATGATATTCTCTTTTGGAGCAGAAAAAGTATGTTATATTAGTTTAAGTGACAATATTTGTGAATAATCTTCTCAATAATCCTAACTCTAAAATTGGATATTGTGACGTCAGCTGTTATTACCATTTATGAATATTTGGTTGATGTGTTCCTTCATGTTTTCCTAAGCCGTTTGGTCTGCCGTGCTAATACATTAGTATTATTGTATTCCAGATGAACTTGTCTGCTAGTCTTGTGCACTAGCATGCGTCGCTAACACCACATGTGTTTATTTATCGCTCTTCCTCACCGAGTTTTGGCCCAGAGCCATCGCACTCCTCCTCCCCTGGTCCCCTCACTGCCTCCCCGGCTGAGGGAGACTCCAGTCCCGCCAGAAGCTTGAGCAGAGCCGCCTGCGGGACCTTACAGCCTCAGCCTTTCAGCTCCGAGAAAGCGGTGAGCCTGAAGCCGCGCTCCAGCCCGTGCTCCTCGGGTTTGAAGGCCTTGTATCCGTGGAAGGGTGGCTCCGGGACGGCTGCGGGACTGCTGTCGGACATGGCTGCACGGAGAGGACGATCACCGGGACACGGAGCTCAGGACACGCGGATGTGGAGGTGTCCAGGCGGATGTGGAGAATAGGTGAATGAATGAAATGAGAAGGGTTGCCAGATACTCAGACGGCAAAACGCAAATATACCGGCACATGATTGTTTCGACTACTCGATTCATATTTACAGTCTATGTCGATTACTCATGGTACTGCAAAGTGGATGGAGCTTCGGGTTCCAGAAGTAAACATCCTCTCTCAATATCCCCAAAGAAGATTTAAAAAAAAGATACATTAAGAGCTTGATTGGTGCCTTCATCTACTATGGAACTACTACTGGTAATTATGAGTGTGTTCTTTTGCAGTTGTAAGTAATGGTAGCAACATGATGGCAGAAAGGCTATCATTCTATAAAACTGTTGGAGAAGTTTAATTGATATTAATTTAACATTTTAATTTAATCTAAGGTCTTGCAAAACACATATTAAGTGACAAGTGAGCTCTGATCCTTTTCAGACTAATTGGTCTTTTGACACTTTATCTGATACAAGTCAGTCTGTTACTGCTAAACATTTAGCTTAACTTTATTCATAATTTTTTAGGCCACGTAGTGTGCGGCTCACACATAATAATATCTAGTATACGTATGAATGGCACCGGATGGATGATCGAGCCTATTAATATGAGAACATATAAAAGCTATTTGATACAAAGAGAAAACCAGAGTCTAAAAATAAGCTTATACTTGAGACATCACAACATTCAAGCCCAAAGTGGCTTTGAGAAGCAGACCTGGCAACCCTGTTCACTGACAGGCTTCAGGAAGAGGTTTCCGGAATGACGATGAACAAAAAAAACAAAAATAAAAAACAAACCTTTAAGCTATCTCAGACCTGGCAAGCTATTACGTTTTCTTTTTAAACTTGTAACAGTTCTTTGCTTCTTACTTTTACTCTTCACTTTTAAACACAAATATATGTGCTTTCTGCTCCATACATAAACACATCATGTAATCAGGTTTTAAGTGGTTCGCCAACTTCTAAGTTAATTCATTCATCGATGTTAGCCATTGTCTCTCAGTTTGAGACATTTAGAAATTTAGCATATGGGCGTCAATTATCTAACACAATTTTTTTTATAAATAACGTTTAAGTTTATACAAAACTTGTACGTTCTTACTTTTACTTAATATTTGACAATTGCAGCTTTCTTGTTCTGTAAACATGAATAAATTGCTTGTTTACATTTTTAGTTTGTAAATCATCAAACGAATGAGAAAGTTTAGATTGAAATAGGGCATCTTCCAACCTCCTGCAGCACCATCTCGCCCACTCCCATCTTCACTCCAGTCTTCTCCCTCTACTACACCTGTGCCTCGCTGAATCCAACAGCCCTAGCTTTAGCACAACCCTCCTCCTCCCCATCGAAGCCTCAACACTGGAGCTTTCCTTCAGCTCATCACTTCCATCATCTGTTCCTGCATATGCATCATGTTATTCAAATCCTCGAGCAATCAATTTACATTAAAATAAGTCTTTCCAGATTATAACGACCGCTTTGGAATGCACTTGTGTACCTGACAAAACATATACACATACATGAAAAGGATAAGAGTTTATTCCATACATCTCTGACAGCTTGAAACATGACTTTGCACCAGATTACAGATAATATTCACGGACTGCGAAGGAGGTACATTCAGAGAAATCGCAAAGTGCCACAAATGCAGAAAAAAAGAGCACAGAAAGGCAACACAAGCAGGGTTCTCAAGCTGAGAGAAATGGACCACGGACTAGTTAGTTACTAGTGGTTAGCCCAGTTCAGACCCTGTTTTTCCTGGTCAGTTTGAGAAGCCCTGTTAAAGGAGCAGTGATGTAAACATGTTTATAAAAGGCTCACAGACGCGACATTCACCACTAAATTCAACCTTAAAACAAGTACTAAGAATATTCACAGTATTGTATTTAGTGGTGCCGTGGATTGGATCACTATTATTGTGGTTTTCATTAAGCCATACTCACATTTCATGATTGTGTTCAAATACAGCTGGTGGCAAAGGCAAAAAAACTATTCAAAACTTCATATTATCTAACCATTTCATAAATATTTTGTGCAATAGAATCAGCCATCTATATTTGCCACTTGTCATCCAGCTAAAATTTAACAATAGGTCCTTTGAAATGTGAATGCAACTTATTGTTCAAATGATGTCGTCCATAGATACCTTCACGATACGCACATATAGTTTCTACATACTGCGTTGTTAAAGTGACCCAAGAAAAAGAGCAAAAAGTTAAATACTAATTGAGATATATGAATCGTCCCATCTGCAGAGAATTGGAGACATATATAGTTATTTGGATATATGAATATTGGAAGGGTGTGGGAATAATAGTATTTTCTTGCATGTGAAAACCAAATTTGAAACAGCTTTGTGTACACTGCCCTCTGTCAAAGTTTACACCTCTGGGAAACTCAATATAAACAGCATTATCATCTCATTAGCAACATTCATGTCTTTAGGTCTGTAGCCTCAGAGACTACAGAACTAACCCTGTTAAATCTAGGTATGTCAGGGAAAACGGGCTGACATATTTTTCATGGTATAACATTTTGCGATCATGGTAAAATGTTTTGCTCGGTCGAAAAGCGTAGACTGGGAGTGTCAAACTGGTTCCAGAAAGGGTTGGGGTTTAGTGTGGCTGCAGGCTTTAATTCCAAGCAAGCAAGAATCCACTCATTTCCTCAAGTTTCCAAGTTAAGACTGGACTCAGGACCAGTTTGACACCCCTGGAGTAGACACTTGTAAAATATGAGTATGTTTACAAAGCGTAATAAAACGGAGTGCTACTACTAAATAAAGAGTATTCAGCGTTGCTTCAAACTAGTCCAAATAAAGTTGTTTTTCACGCAGGCTCACAAGTCATTTTATTTTCACAATGCAGTTAAGTGCACAGTGTTTCCTGTTTTTGCCTCATGTAACGAAACCAAATAAGAACAATGAAACACATGCAAAGAAACTAAGTGTTTCATCACAATGATCCAAATGAGGGAGAGGCATATACATCCAAATACATACATTTGTATTATCAGCATGGCTCTTAAATGCATGCGGTGTAAACAGAGTAGAGTAGAAATGGTTTGATCCAGTTACGCCAAACAAACAGTTTTTTCTGTCTAATTAAAATGAACTAGGAGAGTGCTTTGTAAACATACTCTATGTTTAAAACGATTAAATACAATATAAAGAAAGTGAATAAAAATCTATCAATTTTCTTCCACTGTATGCAGGAGCCAGGTCGCAGCTGCTCCTCTTGATGAAGAGGAGTGGTGGCTCAATTTCAAGCTCTTCCTGCATGATAATTTCTCACTTGAAATGAGAAAAACAAGGCTATTGTGCTTGAAATAACATTAAAGCTGTTCTTTCCATTGGCCAACCCTGTAACAACAAAATGAACTCAAACCAAGAGAGTTCAGATTCTTTTGTATAAGAAAAGCCGTGACAGAGGACAGCGCCAGCAGAGAAAAGCACATGTCATTATTGTGTGTGTATAATGTGACTATAGATATGTTTGCTGCTGGTTAAAAGGTGATGCAGTCCATCACGTGTATCTGCAGCGTGTCCATGTCTGGGGCCTGGTATTTGCATTTGGGGCAGCACAGATCGGGGATGTCCTCTGAGGCTGAGGCCTGGTCTCCCATGCCCGACCCACGGGATGGTGGAGGAGCCGTGTTGAACGGGAACACGCCTGCAAAAACAACACACTAATATGATCAAAAAGTAAGATTAAGTTCTGTGTGACTCGTAAGACATGTCTTCAAACTAATTAATTATTCTTTATGGCAGACACATCTATCCCAGTCACAATTCTAGAATGATAATAACCAAAGAAACATTTATATATTTGAACACAGATTTGTCCAGGACTGCTCCACGCTAGAAACTATTGTGCCAATCCACAATAAACAAAAAGAGTCACAAAGTTCCACATCTTCTTTATCAGCACACATTTACACTGTCTTGAAGTGGGGCCAATTTTCAAAAAACCTATGCATGATGATGGCCAGTAGAAAGGGCTTTCAGACATAAAAAAATATGGCGGGTTTGTGAAACTAATTCTGTAACTATCAAATGGTCGTGAAGATTTCGTTCAAAAATTACTTGTATGCTACAAAAAACTGAAATTGTATTCTATTACAGGAATGCAACCTATTGTGATTTTAACTGTCATTTACCCAGTAAGTAACTAACTTGATTCAACTCAATTTACTTTGATATAGCCCATCTCGGAGGACTTTACTTGATTTAGGTAAAAGTTAAAACTCTTTGACATTCTGGATTACAATAAGCGGTTAAATAGTCTCATTATACAAATGTTAAAGCCCAATCAAGACATTGGCTTAATCAGAATCAGAATCAGAATCAGAATCAGAATCATTTTTATTGCCAACGTAAGTAACAGGAGGTCACAGACTTGGAAATTGCTTTGGCTCAGTGCAACAGTCAAAAAGAGATAATAAAAATAAGAATAAAAAACACTTCTAAAGAATAAATTTAAATTTAAAATAGAGTTACAGTTACTATTTACAATATACAAGTGCACATGGTGCACACAATGTAAAGTGACAGTAAGGTTAACCGATATCCGACACAACACATTTCCTTGTATCGGCAGATATTTGATCCCAGGGGGATGAGTCGGCCTACAGGAGGGAGATCGAGCGGCTGCGTAACTGGTGCAGCAACAACAACTTGGAGCTGAATGCTCTGAAGACAGTGGAGATGGTGGTGGACTTTAGGAGGGACCCGACCCCGCCTCTTCCTGTCATGCTGGGCGGCACTCAGGTGGAATCTGTACAGTCCTGCAAGTTCCTGGGGATAATTATCTCCAGAGACCTCAAGTGGGAATCCAACATCACAGCCCTCCTGAGAAAAGCCCAGCAGAGGATGTACTTCCTTCGTCAGCTGCGGAAATACAGACTGTCGAGGGCCATGATGACCCAGTTTTACTCGGCCATCATAGAGTCTATCCTCACTCACTCCATCATCACCTGGTTCCCCGCTGCAGCTGCGAAAGACCTGGTCAAACTGCAGCGGGTGATACGCTCTGCGGAGAGGGTGATTGGCCATCCCCTGCCCTCCCTTAAGTCCCTGCACGACTCCAGGGCACTGAGGAGGGCGAGAAAGATCATGGCTGACCCCTCCCACCCTGGTCACAGCCTTCTCACCCTGCTCCCCTCTGGGAGGAGGATGCAGCACCTGGGGGCTAAGACAGAGCGCTACAAAAACAGTTTTTCCCCTCAGCGGCCAGGCTGCTCACTGACGCTGGTTTCCCTTCTTCCCTTGCCCCCTAGGAACAAGGACTGAACACTATGGCACTTTATTACACTATTCTATTTATATCTCTTGCACTTTTTGTTAAATTATATGTGAAAAAAAGATGAATGCACACTGTCATGCTGCCAAGTCAAATTCCTATGTGTTTTGCACAATGGTAAATAAAGTAATCTGAATCTGAATCTGAGTATTGGTGTCTGTACTTATTGGTTATTATAATACTGTGGGAGTGTCATACCTGCAGGCTGAGCAATGTGAGAAGCTCGAGATGGGAAATCATCCAAGTGTCTGAGCTTCATCTGCTCGATCCTTGCGCTGTAAAGAACAGGCGTTAACAAGAGTCCACCAGCAGTGGGCGCTGTGACTGTATATGTTGTATATTTATATTGGATTATCTGGATCTGACTGTATTTTCATTCATTTTACATTCTGGAGTCATATGCTATGTCTTTCAATGGCCTGGACTAACATGGGTTCATCTGCTCCTGCTCTTTACCGTGAGGTGGCCTCCTGTTTGAGCCGCTCGATCTCCCCCACCGCCTGGTTCAGCTGGTCCTGCAGCTCTTCCTTCTTCTGGTTCAGTTTCTCTCGCGCCTCTCGCTCCGCCAAGAAGTCTGCTTTATAGATCTCTGCCTAAATATGAGAAAAACACAAATTTCTGCCTCAGTCTCTGCCTCAGTCTCTGCCTCAGTCTCTGCCTCAGTCTCTGCCTCAGTCTCTGCCTCAGTCTCTGCCTCAGTCTCTGCCTCAGTCTCTGCCTCAGTCTCTGCCTCAGTCTCTGCCTCAGTCTCTGCCTCAGTCTCTGCCTCAGTCTCTGCCTCAGTCTCTGCCTCAGTCTCTGCCTCAGTCTCTGCCTCAGTCTCTGCCTCAGTCTCTGCCTCAGTCTCTGCCTCAGTCTCTGCCTCAGTCTCTGCTTCAGTCTGTCTTTCTGTTGGTATAGAATTCCCCCTTATGGCTCCTTGGGCAATGGTTATTTTCTCTTCTGTCTGTATGTCTTGTGACTGTTCAGTGTAATTAAATGTTGTCTTTCAAATATTTATTTTGTTCGGGCTTAGCGTGTACAGTAACGATTAGATTTCCATATAACAACGTCTCTGCTTGAGTCTAGATTTTTGTACCTGGGCTGTGAGCACTGGCACGGTCTCTAATGATCCTTTCTGCTGCTCCACCTCTTCCTTCAGTTTGTCGATCAGATCTTGTTTTAGAGCCAGAGCGCGTTCAGCCTCCTCCAGACGCGAGCACAGGTCTCCACCCTGACCACAAAACAGTTAGACACACATTTTTATCAACATCATGCCAGGGAACACCAGTCACACTACAAAGACAGGTACGTAGAAACATCACTTCAGTAAATGCCTCACCTCGGACTTGAGTTTAGAATCATAATCTCTGAACAAACATGTGTATGCGTGCTGCAGCTGAGTCAGCTTTTTCCTGTAAAAAAGTGAATATGAATGAAAATGTGTCTGTAAGAAGCGTGTGGACTGCAGAGTGTTGTGCTTGCTCACTTGTCTTCTGTGGCCGTGTGTCTCTCGGTCTTCAGGGCTTGTTCCAGACTCTGTTTTTGCAGCAGTAGTTTGTCCACAGCCACATGATGCTGAGTCCTCTGCTGCTCCAGCTCACGCTCCACCGCCTGCAGGGCCTTCTGCTTACTGCCCAGTCTGACACACATACACACATATATTTTATAGCAGCAAACGCTCATGGTTCACAGCAATAAAATTAATGAAAATTAGTGAGCAAGGAATGAGTTACATAGATTTTATTACATAGTTAATTTTGTTGTGGTTTCAAAATGAGGTACTCCAGCTAATAACTCCCAATTAGGTACTTCAGCGAAAAAACTAACAACTTTAATGATTAATCGTTAACTGCTTTGTGACTCAAACAAATGTAAGGGTTATGGGTTAAGACTCAAACAGAGTTGTAATTAAATAAAAAAAATACTTTATAATTATGTAAATGTCTAGTTTATTTTATGGTAGAAATGTAAAATGTTCTGTTAAAATGTGTGGGTGGGTTCACTTCAGCTTATACACAAAATATTATACCGCCATTCTAAACAACTTGATTAATCAAAATAATCATTAGTTGCAGCCCGAAATAAAACACTGACTTTTCCTCCAGAACTTTGCGCTCGTGTTCACTCTTGTCCAACCAGCTCTGTCTCTCCTTCAGCTCTTCCAACAAAGACGTGGCCTGGGCCTTCAGCGCCTCGCAGTCTTTGGCCATCTGCAGATAATACACATTTAGAGACTTTAAACCAATAAAACACTATCATAAAACCTCATGATAGCAAGCTGGTACCATTTATTCAATTCAATTGATTGGACATTGATTGGACATTTATAGGACAAATTATATTATAATTTTTTCTTTTCTTTTTTGATTCTTCCAATAAATGAAGTGAAGCTTTTTGTAGGAAGCCTGGATGTGTCATCATGTAACAATTCTGATACTTTGTTTTATTGTACTTTTTATTAACATTGGCAAACAAATTTGAAATGGGCTATTTAAATACTGTCCATTTAAATCTGATCCATATAGTGGAATTCTCATATTAAATATATTTAATTTAAATTTCAATAAAAGATGTAAATGTACCTCCGATTTAATAAGACATTTACTTGAATATGAAAGAGTCTCTTAATTAGAAAATGTTTGGTGAAACACGAATTAGGGGGAAAAATCCCTGTGTACAACCAGAGGAGCTGACATTCTCACATTCTAAAACTACTGGCTGCAAACACAGGCCTGTGATTGTTAAGAACATAATTTCACTGGACAAAACTAATAAAGGGGCAATGACATCATACTATTACAGAACTGAGACAGGATCTTTTAGACAGAAGGAGAGGGGTTAGACGTTTGTGCCAGAGGTTCCCAACATAAGCGTAGATCGATCTAGGAACCATCTCCAGGTCTGTTTTGATAAAGAAAAGAATTACTCGACTCAAAGTCTCCTCTAAAGACGCTTCACATTTCATTATTTATTCACATCGGCCCGCTCTGACAGAAGCGAGGCTGCCAGTCCGCACCATGGGCCCCTCCCTCAGCAGATCCACAGGGGACTTGTGGGTGAAGTGTCATAGAGTGAAATCTACCTGTGCACAGTCTTTGTCCTTCTGTTTGAGCAGCACCTCAGTCTTGTCTCTTTGGGCTGAACTTTTCTGCAGATAATCCAGCTTCTCCTCCAGCTCCCGATACCTGTGCAACAGTCAGGAGCATTTACAACAGGACCTTCAGATGTCTATGGAAATATAAGGAACAAATCCAGATTTTCCACAAGGACACTTCATGCTTCACAAATCGCTCTCATTCATAAATCAACAGTCAGCAAATCAGGGCTGAAAAATACATCTGATCAACAGAAAAATAACTGATTGAAAAAATGAATGCAAATGAAAATATATGGTATAATGCCTCGTTTCACTCAGCATACATATGACATTGACAAAAACAATGACTAGACCAAAACATGACAGCACAGTGAGATAAGTCAAAGCAGGGGACGCATGCACAGACAGAGGAGCACACCTGCCCTGTGTGGCCTGCAGCTGCTCGGTGAGTTTAGCCAAACTAGAGCTGCGAAAGAGCAGACACAACAGCCAGCGCTTAGAACACGTTCAAGGCTTCACATGAACAGGCCAAAGAAGAGGTTAACGTGTGCGGAGAGGAAAGACCAGAGGAAACGCCACTCATTGTGTTAGTGTGACAGAACCAACGGATCACTATTGCAACAACTCTTCATCGGTTTGGTAAAAGTAGTGAGTTTAACAGGAGATATAAGAGTGAATGTGTGTAAGCATGTTGTTACCAGTCTGAGGAGTGCTGTGCTTCAGAGCGGTGTGGGTGTGATTCCTCTGTCGCTGCATTTGTTTGCTGGAAACACAAAAAAGGAGATAATTACAAAGAACATTTGGAATAGCGTTTTTGGGGGGTTATCTGAAAAGAGTCGTTTCAAATAGAAGATTTGTAGCATACATGTGATTTTAAACCAAACAAACATCATGGTCCTCCTCCTGGCATCTGCAATATCTTAGTTTCGACCTTCAGATAACCAAAACATCTCAGCATATTGTTGTAATGACGAGTTCAGCTTTAACCATAATTGTATCAAAGGTGCAATAAAAGATCCATAGTTTACTTTTCTAATGATTGGATTTTACTGCACCACTCAGCCACCAATTCATTTGGTTAAGCAGAATAAAAAAGTAAATAATAATAGAAAATAAAAATATAATATATTGTAGATCACTAAAATGTGTGATTGTGCAAGTTTACTTCAGGGCAGACAGATGGGAGGTCATACATGTAAACAATGAACTCTAGGGGCTCTAATATGGATCCTTGTGGCACCCCAAACACTTTTTACCAATTCAAATGACAATACAGCAAACATTTAAAATAAACAATCACGAAGCAGACTTCAGTGCTTGCGTTAATCGTCAGCAAAAAAAAGCAAAAACTATAGATTTCACAAGTAACTGACAATCACTTTTTCATCAATCACTCTATGAACACGTGTGTTTCTGAGTTGGATTAATGCTGGTACTGTTGGCCAACTAGTATATGTCAGAAGTAGTTCATTTAATTAAAATATTCTCAAATAAACAATGATGACGGTTATTTAGCAAACCCTGAATAACCCTGATCCTAATATGTTCCCGTACCTGTGCCAGTGCTAGCTTCCCTCCGAGTTGATCGATGAACCTCCTCATTCGCTCCTTCTCTTTCTCGCTTTCTTTTCGCTCTCGCTCCAGCTCCTCATTCCTCCTCTTCAGGTCTTTCATTCCTTCTTCCAGCGTTTCTTTGTGACTTTTGAGGAACTGTAGGACGTTGTTTGTGCCCTCCACAGGCTGTTGACACAGACGGTCAGGTTACGTGCGTGTAGAATACAGGTAGTCCGTGTGGACTGCGGCTCACCAGGCTGCGCGCAGGAGTGGTCTGTGTGTGCTGATCCATCTCCTCTGCTCGCTTCTTCTCTCGACAATCTAAAATCTGCAAAATATCAGGCTCCATTCACTTAGACAAATATTACACTAAAGTATCAAGATCACATCACTGGGATAAGAAAGAAATTCATGATAACTTTGTTCTCGCACTTTGGGCTTGTTCTTACAGTAGCGTTTCTTGACACTTGGAGTAAACGTCTATTCATACTTCATAATACTTAATAACAAGCACTTCCTCTTGAGGCGACAGGCACACGAGCAAGATTCTTACTTTAAAATTTACAAATTGGTCTCGAGAGTTTGTAATACATACCAAGATACACAACACCTGTAAAAAACAAAACTTTATTTTTGTTTTTGTTTTCAGAATGAATTAGAATGCATGGTTCAATGTGTCTATGCAAATCATCCATAGTTTTTTTTCACAATACTCAATTCACAAAATTAATTCAGAAGCAGAGCTTTTGCTGTAAAAAAGGCAGAAAGCAGCTATGTTAATGACATAATTGTGTTTGGACAGAGGGGATGGGTAGACGTGCTGGTACTAAGTTGTATTAGGAGCTTGAACTACAGAGAAAGAGTGAATATACAGTAGCAGATGTTGTGTGTGTTTATATATATATATATATATATATATATATATTATATATATATATATATATATATATATATAATAATAAAGTGTTGTTAGCTGGTTGCGGTGGCCCACCTGTGTGGCTTCCAGCGGCCCGTTCCTGGCTGCTCTCTGCTCTTCTGTTTGGCTAGAGCTGCAGCAGTGGCTGGAGCTGGTGTTCACTAGACTCTGTAGTGAATGATTCTCTTGGGCCAGCCTCTCCACCAGGGCCCGTGCCTCGTGGAAGCGGCAGCTCAGGAACTCTCTCTCCTCTTTGGTTTTCCTCTTCCAGCTCTCCATCTCCTCACAGCGCTGACCCAGGGCCACGTTACTGCGACGCAACGCCTCTGAGAGAAGTTCAAGGAAAAAGCAGGGTGTGTCAAAAAAAAGGACTAAGGTTGGGATGAAAACTAATGTGGATTTGTATTATGGCTAATATAGAGCTAATATATCTATCTCAAACTAGTATCAAACTTGTATAATATAATTACAACATATTCATTAGATGTAGGGCTTTGACAATTAATTTGTTAATCACAATTATTTTTTCAGTAATAAGTAATGTACAAATCAATTAATCAATCACCTCTCTATTTTTAGACTCACACAGGTAGAGCTTTTGGGGGTAATTACAAAAGAATTAATTAAACAAGAAATGCATAAATGTCCAAATATCTATTAAAATCTTCCAGCAACTACACATACACTTTTTCTACATCAAATTTAGATTAAAAAAAGAAATAATTGCAAGAGTTATCAATTATCAAAATAATGTATAAGTAAACATTAACTGGAAGTCCTTGGAACAGTTAAACCTCAGTTAGTGCCTCAAATCTGAATCATATCCATTGAGTTTTAAGACCTACACATATTTACAGAAAACTGCTTCGCCTCAGTCATAAACAGAGACGTGCAAGGGTAATCCTGTCAATCAAGTTCAAATGACCGGACTTCTATATTTAAGTTGGGGCTACTATAACTTCTATCTGTAGAAAAAATAAAAGCCTATTATAAATTGATGTATTTTCATGAGGACATATTCATACTTTGCTCCAAATGAGTCCAAAGAACTGTTTATACATTTTAGATTTGAACAACCAATATTTGCTTTGCTGGACTGCAGGCGTACCCCTGAGCTGCTGGTTGTCACACAGGAGTCGCGTCACCACTTCATTGGATGCCAGCTCTGGGGGCACCCTCAGGAACCCCCCACTGTCCTCTGCAGACATGTCCCACTGCATGGTCCCATCGGGCTGGGGCTGCACCATCTGCACCAAACACATAAAGTATGTGAGGTTACATTTGTACACAGTCATGACTTTACTTGATGGGGCAGAATCACTGGTAAAACTTGATATAGTAGTTTTACATCACTCCACTAGTTCAAGAACATTTATTGATCCGTTGTTAGCAAAAATGAAAACTTTGTAATGTCCGCTGAGATGATTCCTGTTGTGATTTAGGGCTATACAACTGAGATGAATAGTTTGTGAGAAGAAGACTCACACGAGAAAAGTAGTTACCCAACAGTCAACTAGATAAAAGGAGTTGTCTCATAGATTTAGACTCTTCAAGATGAGTTTGTTTTAGTGTCCATCAATTTGCAATAGAAAATGTTGACCCATCCACCACCAAAGTTCTACATTATATCCATAATCGATCACAATTCACCACCCCATTGTAATTTAAGTTACCGGGAAAAGCATAATAAGAGTGGCAGAGGACAACAAACACAGACGCTGAATCAATAAACAATAACATTGAAATAACTTTGAGCCTTTGGTACAATTACAAAGCAACAGAATATCCATGAACCATTTTAATTTGTTTTAATCATTAAAAGTAATTGGCTGAAGCAAATAAACAGCAGAGTTAAGCAATCACTCAGCTAAAATTCAGTATTATAAAACATATGAAACCAATTTCAAAGAAAACGTGTTAGTTGGAACACTAGAGTTTACTTATATTTTGGTTTTACAGAAGGGTAAAAACCATTATGGAACATTGGCAAATACAAACGCATTTTGTGCCGGCTTCATTATGAAAGGTAAATAATTTCTGGAGACGGCTATAGAAAGGCTAGTAATAAAGGAACTACGACAATGAATGCACCGCTCATAAACGTCACAGATCACCACAAACACTTCCACTTTCAGAATATTTTCCATCTAAATCCTCCCTCCAAATCCTCCCCCCAGTGACACGAGTATTAAAGATCTTATAAAAATAAAAGATCTCCAATCCACCTGCGAGATGTAACAAACACATGACGTCATTCCAAACCACGAGGAAATATCTTCTTTATTCGACACACTATTACACTGTTATTAAATCTTCCCATACATTTCATATAATCACAGTAATATTATCATGTGCCCCTGTCTAATGTGGTATTTTCATTTACAAAGACGCCTTTTACCTTTTCGAGCCCATTGATTTACACAATTACAAAACCACAACACGATAACCAACACTATTGCTATCAGGAGTTCACAAGTAAACGCTGATCTTACCTTATAAAGAAGCTTGTTTAGAGAACTTCTCCTCCAAAGACCTTTTTTTCTTTTGCTCAAACGAGACCAAAACAAAGCTAGCAACGCGGCTAAAGTCTAGAAGCTAGCGATAACATTGCGGAAAAGGCTAGCTGAACAAAAATAAACAGATTTTAAAATCTCAGAAATGTGTGTTGTCATAAACTAACCTGCTAAAATATGTAAAATGTTGTCTAAAAGCGTTAAAGTCTCAAAACAAAGCTCATTCGATCTGTCAAACCCTAGTCATGAGCTCGAGCCTGTTTTCCCCTCAATTCAGTCTGTCAGGCAGGTGGAAGAGGGGACAAATCATAATATCATTTTATTTACTTTTAGCATTGTATACTCTTAAGAACACTACCAGGCTATCCTTGGGTCAAATTAAATCGCCACAGTGATTAAAAAAAATACCCTAAAGATTTTTCTTGTGCTGAACTTGATCTGCCCTGGGTTATTTTTCTTCTACTTTTAACACTGCCCTCGGATAAATTAATCAATATAATCCCTCGGACAATAAGTTGCACATTTGATCTTATACATTAAAAAAAATATTTTCTGTAAATACGTTTGTAAATACAGTAGCATAAAGTCGCTGTGCAGGAGGCATTGACACTTAACCGCAGTCAAACTCTGGAGAAAAAGTGCTGGCCGTAACCCGGAAACCCCCTGTGTGCTGTGCGCCCTCCACAGCCTCCTGAGCATCAGCAGTGTGTGCTCCGTGAGCCCTGTGTCCAGAGAAGATGCTGCGGCCCCGTGTGTCTGCGTCTCTTTTCATCCTCATATTCTCCTGCTTTTCTCATTCCGATGGCCTCTATTTCCACATCGGAGAGACAGAGAAGAAATGTTTCATAGAGGAAATCCCTGACGAAACCATGGTGATCGGTGAGATGCGGGTTAGCTTAGCCTTTAGCCGCAACCAGCTGTTTCTGATGGGGATCTGATGAAATGTTCCCGGTCTTCGATTATATGGAATATAGAACCATATTTATATTCCGATTTCACGTATCATTATTATAACATACCATACAGAGGTGTGGGCATAGATGTTAACTGCAGGTGTTGCATTACTAACAAGACAAGTGTTTGAAAAATAGATTTCTCTTGGTTTTACTGATTTGGTTTTATATAGTGTTTTTATTTTTTACTATTAAATAGTGTATGGATCGACAACTACTGTAGCCACTGCTGCCCTAGGGGGTAGGCTGATGAAACTCTATTATTAGATTAAAATAATCTCTTTGCCATAGACTTTGCTTTATTGTATTATATACAACATTTTTGGAGTCATTGAATCTCTATAATTATATAAATGTAATCTAAATGTGATTACTGCTCTACTACTACAGAATTTTGGCAATACTAATACTAATGTTAGGAACAATTCGTTCTATTGGAAAAATAAAAAAATCATGATAATTGGGTTTTATTTATAAGAATAAAGATTTTACTAAAATAAATTCCCCCTATTATATGATACAATCATAAAACATTGCCTCCAGATGACGCACAAGTACTGTTCACAAACCATTCTTTACTAAGTTTACTCCTGTGCTAACGGCTTGCTACACACTCCTTGGGTTGTTTGTGTGTGTATGTGTGTGTGTGTGTGCATGTGTTGTGGGACTGGTTCACAGGTAAATACCGCACTCAGCTTTGGGACAAACAGAGCAGTGCCTTCCTCCCCGCCACACCAGGACTGGGGATGCACGTGGAGATCAAGGACCCTGATACCAAGGTGTGTTTTAGTCTAAAACTTGCTTAGAGTGGGAAACAATGCCTCGACACGGATCCTCAGGAGTTGTCGATAGCTTCATCCATAATGATTAATATCAATAATTTTCAGCACTAACTGATCCCATCCCTTGAATCTGCCTGATCATAGATGGAGTTGTCAAGATCTTTTCTGCCTTTTTTTTAAACGAATATCCTTTTGTGTTCATTGCAACTGCATGCATACATGAATGTGGCTTGACTTGAAATATACTTTTCCATACACATTTCATTTAAATGTTCTAAAACATAGGTTCATGTTTAAGAACCAAAAAGTAAGTAGAGAATGTATGCTTTAAAATCCCTGTGTTCCTAAGGTTCTTATGATGTTCCTCAGGTGATTCTGTCGCGTCAGTACGGCTCAGACGGCCGCTTCACCTTCACGTCTCACACTCCAGGAGAACATCAGATCTGTCTTCACTCCAACTCCACCAAGATGGCACTGTTTGCTGGAGGAAAACTGGTACTGTGTCAAAAAGCTTTTTTAACTAATGAAATTTGAGTCATTCATCAATCTTCTTCCCCTTAATCCATTTCTGGGTCGGTGGGGGGATTGAAATTTTGCACCAGCACCAAATTTAAATGAAAAAATTTGCAAACCACAGATTTTAATGTCTCAGATTCCAGGTGTGTCAGATGTGGAGGATAAGGTATTCTTCCTTGTGTCTGGTTGCAGAGGGTGCATTTGGACATCCAGGTGGGAGAACATACCAATAATTACCCCGAGATTGCAGCCAAGGACAAGCTGACAGAGGTGGAGCTGAGGCTGAGACAGCTGCTGGACCAGGTGGAGCAGATCCAGAAGGAGCAGAACTACCAGCGGGTCTGTGGTCCTTCCTTGTTCTGCTCACTTGGATAATGACTGACACAATGACTGTCACAGTGCGATTGGCTGAGGAGAGTTCCATTCTCTGGTTTAGGAGAAAGACCCGAGTCCTCTCCTTTCACATTGTAACAACCATGTGACAGGTTCACTTTATACTTAACCCTTAAAAGACGATGCCATCGCCGACGATGGTGGCGCACATGTTTTACAAATGATCAATTTACTCAAGAACGGTGAACGCTAGCGACTTACTTTTTTTTTATCTCCGTGAAGTACACATTCCAGCCTTTCCGAAACTGCCTTCGGTTTGTCTCTGCTACATACGGGGGATAAACTACGTGTGTATGAAAGTCAGTCCCCCAAACGGATCTTCAAGCGGTGCCCCGTGAGCCAGGCACAGCCGCATGTAAAGTTGTTTACACACACGGGGACTCAGACAAAGATTGTCAGAGAGTAGGATCCCTCACTCCTCTGTGTTTACTTGTTGCAGCATAGGCAGCAGCGCTCAGAGGAACCAGAGGAGTTCGCATTATTGAGAATAGACAATAATAAATACAGTAAAATGATATTATGTGTATATAATGTATTTGTATATATAAATTAGATGGTTTATTTGTCTTTGTTTCTTTTTGTTTTACATATTTTACAGCTGTGATACAGAAGCAACCACAGCCTCATAGACAAACTGCTTGAGGAAGGGCATCAGGAGTACAGCGTTTTTGGCTTTTATAGAGGAATTTTGTAAAAAGTATAATAGTTACGGATTCAAATTTTTTCCCCATTATCCCCAAGACCATAAAAAAACATTTCTATGGAGTCTAAAAAGTTGTTTATAGCATTTCATTGTGTTTTTCAATACATTTTTGTGAAATTGATTTTCCGTTTCGATTTTTTCTTTGTCTTCATGACTCCAAATTTTTTATATAATCGATATGACAGCTCTAAAATATAGATATTCTAAAACCCCAGGTTGTACTGAAAAAAACAAAGTATACTGCTTGACTCTGCATCAAAAAATGACTCTTTTATGAGCAATTATACACAAAGAAAACCAGGCGAGGAAGGTTCCCCAAAATGACCCTAGACCTTGGAGGGTTAATGATGACTCTTGAGACAGAACCTCTGGTATAGAACATGTTAAGAAAATATGCTGGAAGTAACGCAGTGTTTATTTTTAATGTAAATTGAAAGAGAAGGGAGCTCTGATCAAATGTGCTTTCCTGATATCTCACTTGGACTGTTAAGAAGGATTCCTTAGTCCTCTTGCTTAAGTGATGTTAAATGTTCTGGGCAAATAAGTGATGTTGACGATAGTGCCATCTGAACCACCAGATGGCACTATTGAAACTGTCAGCAATAATAATGTCCCTCATGAGCCGTCAGTACTGTCTCTGTCCACACAAACCAAACCGTATTGGTGCAGACTCTTTTAACTGCGTCTGATACAGAAATAATGTATTTCTATATGAAATATTGTTATTATATAAATTATAATAGAAATAATGTTGTAGATTTGTTTATGAATGACTGCAACAGGAAAATGGGTGGATTTTAATTCTGAATCATGTGTAAGCTAAAGTGGCTCATGTTTGTCTGTCCAGTACCGGGAGGAGCGTTTCCGTGGCACCAGCGAGAGCACAAACCAGCGTGTGCTGTGGTGGTCCATTGCACAGACACTGATCCTCATGATCACAGGAATCTGGCAGATGAAGCACCTCAAGAGTTTCTTCGAGGCCAAGAAACTGGTCTAGAACCCACTCCACACCACGAAGTCTTCATGAAGGTCTGCTCACAAGCGTCTCAGGTGGACTGAAGTGTATCAATGGACAAACTTGGACTGTTCCCACATATTTCTCTGATCAAAGATGGTTACCGTGGCGTTGACAACACATTCCACTAAAGCATAACATTGGATTCATGTAGTCAGTCTCATGAAAAGGATTCCACTCTGGTATTAACGTTTCTCAAATCCAACAGAATTTTATATGAATATTGAATTGTTTGACCATCTCTAAAATGTTGGTAATTTTTATTTGAATATTTGTTTTGTTCTGCACAATGAAATTCTGATTTCCTGATTTCTGGAGTTCTCACCAATAAACCTGCAGAGTGTATTTATTAAATGCAAAAAAGCACAGATTATCATCACAAAAGGATACAGAGTTGTTGTAGCTCCATCCATATGAGGAAGATCTGGCACCCACACACGTCCCCCCGCTCCATCTGTGTTTTCAAACCCATTATGCCAACGTTTTGCAGCTAAATTATTTTTGGGAAATTTTCCAGCCTACATTCTTAACTGCGTGCCTTCATTCACACAGATTCCGATTCATTCAGTACCAGGTTGAAATTTGAATACAAGCAGGATGCATTTTTACTTCTACAGCGAGACGGGAATGTTGCTGATTCTAGTTTAATTGAATGAACAATGTTTTTAAACACATTCCGCACATGTCACATTTTAGCAACTCAGGAACCATAATCAGAAATCATACAGGACGACTCCATAAATTAGATCAGATTTTCTGTGTTGTGACTTCTGTGATGCTCTGTCATGTTCACAGATGAGGCTTCATATTTGAAGAGTCAAGGCACTGGATATGTTGAGGTTTTTCTATTTAAATATTGTCTTTGTGCTTTTGCCGTAATTGGCCCGCTTTATTGAATGTGTCAGTTCCATATTAAAAAGCATTTGTTCTGTTGGCTTTGATCTCACATTCCATTAATGTGATTTAAATCCAGCCTTATTTTCCTAAACTGGGCATATTCATTTATTTGGTAGGGATCATGAAATGTTTTTTTTTTTAACCAATAAATCAACAAACTCATTCATTGGTTTTGCAGATTGTTTCGATCACATTTTAGCAGCTCAGGCACCACTCCATTTTCTTCGACTTTATCCGATGCAGTGTGGGGGGGAGCGAGGGAGCAGTTTAGCAGAGACATCCAGACTTCCCTCCACACAGACTTCCCTCCACACAGACTTCCTCCCGCTCAGCCGGGGGATTACCGGACCCTTCCCTGGGTCTTCTCTGGGCTACGAAGCGGATGCCCAGCCCACCTGAACACGCTCCATCCAAGAGGTTTTGAACTCCTCTACTTGGAGAAGGACTTCTACACCACCTGACACAGAAACTATCACCAGAAACAATTGACAAAAACAATTCCTTTCCATGTTCATTAATTCTGTGCTTTCTTCCAAGTTAAAGCTCACAATTTAATTTGTTAATGTTTTACTTTTAAAAAGTTAGTAAAATTGTGTTATCTCTCGATTTAACACTAGACTTCAATGTATTTGTCTTCTCAGAACTCATGAATCTGGCTTCATTCACAAGTAAAGCTGCAATTCCATTCTGTTTTTCAATTATTACTATCGATAATATATAATTTTTAGTAAATGAAAATCAATACTTTCAATGATTTACTAAGATCAACCAGTTATATTTTTGGCCATATAGCCCTGTAATATCAACCCAATTAAATTATTTTCATAAATGACTCCAATATTAGTGGGAGGAGTTAGACCAATAGGCTATCAAGGATTTGAATGAATTACATCCTATCAAGAAGCTGTGGGGCTAGCCTGGCCTTGGCCATCCGTACACTCCGCTCAATTATCATTTCCTGCACTGTAATTCGTTCTATGGTGTGGTACAGGGAGGGTCTAACAGGCCCTTTTGGGTTTGGGTTGAATGTCGATCTCTCTCTTCTGTAGGTCAACATATTTTCATAATTATTTTGGTTTTCTGCCCGGGAGCCGTGTGTATTAGTTTTTATGTTAATTATTTTTTGGGGAAAAATTCAATCATATAATTCAAATGTACATACTGATAAGTCATTCCGGGTAACAGGTGGTTCAACGTTCAGATCCTAAAGTTGGTAAAGGACCAGATGAACAAGCACACATGAAAGACGAGAGAAAAGTCTTTGACCTTAAACCTTTTATTGTGTTACATGTGGACACGTCCCGCCAGGCAGCTCATCTTTGCATAGGCTCCACACACAGAACCACACTTTACAAGACTAACAGTTGAACAGAGCACAGTTTGGTTTTTAATATCAAGAATAAAGATTTGAACACTCAACAACACCTTACAAAAGAAAAGAAAGCACTACGCCACACGTCTTTATAAAGGGATCAGGGTGCGGATAGAGGTGGGTGAACTCACCGCAGCAGGGTACTGCATGCACCACGCACAGCCCTCATTACAATGACTCTTTCTTATGTGGACTGGACTTAGTGAAATGAGAAGACCAGGGATGCACCGATATAATACAATACTGGTATCGGATCTTGTGTCGATAATGATGTATTGTTGGATCCGTTTAATTATATCGGTTAAGACAATACTATGATTAGGCCTTAAATGAATCATTTAACTTTTTCTCAAAGTTGCACTGTAGGGACTTGCACGATAATAGTTAAAAACACACTTGGACACAACAATGTAGCTGTGAGTTTAGTGCTCTACCCTACTAAGATTGGGAGCATTTATCTAAATCTGTTCACCGGCACCGTTTCACTGGCACCAGGTACTTTTTTAGTACCTTCTTGGCTCTGGTTCTAGCCAGAGCCAAGCAGGTACTAGATGGTACTGAAGTGTTCTGCCAGTGACTAAAACCTTCAGGGCTGACATTAATAACATTTGGTTGATTCTTTACTCCAATTTGCAATTTCTGGTCAGTCAGGTTCAGGTTAGGATTATGGTTAGAGTTGGGAACATTTTCTTACAGTTAGGGTTGAGGTAAGGACCAGCGGGAAAATATACCAAGATTTTAGAAAGTCCTGTGATTGGACAAACTGTTAGTAAAAGCCATTAAGAAATTTCCCTGCCTAGTGGTTTTTTGGTGTTAGGTTGCTAGAATTCAGCGCCATATTCTAAAGCATAATGGAAACGCAACCAGGTGGAAACAAGGTTTAACGGCCCAGGATCCCAGTTACAAGTCGATCCAGGACTATTCCGACCAACCCCGACCTTTACCCTAACCTTAACCCAATGAAACCCTGATTCTGGGCAGTATGGAGATCGGGATAGAACATGAAAAATCTGGATTAGTGCATCCCTAAAGAGAAACAATCTTATAAAGGGGAAATATACAGTTGAACTAGACGCACTGAAGAAGATAAACAAGATTAAGACGATCAGCATCTGTGACCAGAGAATAAGTTAAATCTTTATGCTTATATGGACTATATAGTGTTGGTAGTTAAAGCTGGGGTATCAAATTCTTTTCATAAATACTGCACATTGCGTTTGTCTTGTTTTGTTGTATTTATGTTGGGAACAAATCAGAGCACAACATGCATCATCTCAGAATGTTATCTGTTGTGAAAACTAAACTAGTGGCTTAACCAAACTGTTTTAAGAGCGAGGAACTTTTTGTGAAGTTTAGTACCTCAGTTTTGAATATGAAATGTTCCTGGATCTAAAGGCTAGTTTCTTTCCTAGCTCTATTTCATCTCTTCCAATCTTGAGTCTTTGGCCCGGATCTTTTCGCGCATCAAACATAAAAACGTTTTCCGCCCACCTCTATGTAAACAGCTCCAATATCATGTTCCAATCATAATATTTTCTACATAAGAAGTCAGTGTTATTTCAACATGGATGCGCCCCTATGATCACGAATGTTTCATCAGAGGAATCCCCGGTTCCCCCGAGGTAATAGGCTGTTGGACCTTTTCATGTTATTGGACACCCAAGTTTGTTTATGGTCTGATTTAGGTTTTTTCAAATAACAGAAATAAGCTTTCTTCGACTTATAATCCGCTCAAATATGACTTAAGATGCTGAATGGAACATGATAAAGAAGCTGTTTGGCACCAGTAGAACAAAAACAAGAGCTCTGGGTCAAACCCTTGAACTCTGAGCATTAGACAGATGAAATAGCGGCAATGCCCTCTTACAAAAAAATATATATTTACAGAGTTTAACTTACATCAGAACACAGATTCATTGTCTAAAAATGCATTTTTCAATTTCACAAGAAAGCGTTACTTCTTTTTGTATAAAGTCAAACAGAACTCAATAAATCTAGTCTGGGCTACTCAAAGATTCAGGACTGCAAAAAACACCATGGCGTGTTCGATTCATTGCAAATCAAGAATATTAATTTAAAGTAATATCGAATCAGCCATGAATCTTTTGTCAAGTGTAGAGTGATATTCGCCCCTAAGTAAAATCTTGACGCTACAGAGTTATATCTATTCTACGGTTTATTAAAATTAAGTCACTCGTTGGCCATTGTGAGCTAGACAGATATAAGGTGGAAGAATTCAGCCCTAAAGCGAAAAGTCTATTTCTGTACAAATAATCCTTACTGCCGAGCGAAGCTGATACCGATAAGGGTTCAGGGACGTCACGTTTTGGTTTCTGCTCGTGTTGCTCTGTAGTTCTGCTCCTCACTGTGCAGAGACATATACACATTTAAAGGGCCTGTGCCTGATCTGAGAGGAGACATATTCGGAAAGATCTGCTTCTTGGAGCCTTTAACCAGGTCACAACATTGTTCACTGTCTCAAAGCTGGTGGACAATGATGAACCCTCACACCCCGCCTCCAGTGGTAAATTCTATATATTTTCTCCTTTTCTCTATAATATGACAATCAACAATTTAATATGGTTAAGTAAATTGTCTCCTTAAGTTGCCTACCTCCTCCTTTTCTTTTCCACATAAAAAAAGGTTAAACCAGAGGGAGTGGTATGTGCTGGAGTGATAGGACTGAGGGGCGAACAATGGTGGCGCACAACAAAATGTAAACATCGCACTAAAAACAGCTTTGTCTGCAAATGACAAGAGAAAAACAGTATATATGGCTAAAAGCTGAGAAAAATCCATCTTTTTCACATTCCACAACATGACATGCCAAAGAGAAAGCATATTTCTTCAAGCGTGTTGGTAGCGTCTTTAAACATCTTTAGAAGACCAACATGAGTCAGAACGTGACGCGACGATACCAAGAGTTCAGCCCTTAGTTTCCCGCTGGGTAACTCAGATACCCCAGGTTCATCTAATCCTGTGCATTTCGGGCTTTAGCCACATTTAGGCACATTAGCTCAAGATAGCCACAATAGCATCGCTTTTCCAGATCCCTACGTTTCAATACAACTCTCAGTAATCAGATTAAAAACGCAGTAAAAGGACTATTTACAACATCCAAATCTGTGTTTATGACAAAACTGCACTTTTCTCAAAAATATCAATGAAGTCAGGTACAGGCTCTTGGGGGACAAAAGAAAAGCAAACAATGCATAACATGAGGTCCACGTGACATCCCTGAACGGCGCCCCCTGCTGGCCGTGTCAGTGCTCGGAGACTGTCAGGTGCTGCATCTTCTGCGCCGCCTCTTCAGACAGCACTTTGGAGGTCTTCTCAGGGCTGGGGGTGGGCGTGTTGGCTGCACTGTTGGGATAATCTCTGTTCCCAAATATAATACTGCCCACACGCACGTTTGTGGAGCCCACTTCAACCTGATGAGAGACGGGAGACGGAACACATTCTGTGAGCTTATGGTGACAGTTGAAAGTCTTTTGGGGCGTTCTGTTTGTCTGCTAACTGCCACACTAGCAGCTTTCTCAAGTGGAGAAACCTCTTTGCTGCTATAGATGGATTCAACCGGCTGAGAGACAATTATCAACATTATATCAAACAAAGGCTTAATATATCTCACTTTGTGTGTACTGAGTCGGTCATAAACTAGCTTTAGATTGTAAGTGGAATTACAGAAGTAAATGGACTTTTGAACAATATTCTAATTTGCAGAGTTTCAGGAAAGTGTGTTCAGCGATTGTTTGAGGAGGACCAACACTGCTTAAATAAATGAACAAATGAATAAATGTATATTCTGAAGTTTGAAATTATAGATTCAAATGTCTGTTTTTTGCTCAAACACAACAAAAATAGTATTTTATGTATGCATTTATTAATGAATTTATTTGTTTCATTTTATTTTCTGTTTCTACAATCACCTTTCAAATTACATGTACAGCTTTTCATAAATGATTGTTCCGCAAATAAAGGCTTTTAGGTGTTCTCAGAGCAGGTTTAAAAGAGTTTGCTTGTCTAATGTCAGTCCTGCACCACACAGCCTGAGTCCTCGTTCTACAGCCCTCACTTTTTCCCCACTGGGGTTAGATTTGTCCTTTGCCAAAGCCCGTTTAAGGACAGTGAAGATCTGGGACATTTAAGGACATTTATGGACAGCGGTCATTCCGCTCCCTGTGGACTAATGGCTCCTATGGGTTTGTTATTTTTGAATTTCTGTGTTTGCCTCATGGACAACTTTGTAAAGTCCTCAAAGACTGACTGCTACTGTGATTTAAGGCTATATGAAAATAAATACAACTGAATTAACGTGTTCTGGCAGGACACTCCAAAAGGACAGAGCTCGGACCGCAGAACCCAGTCTTTGGGATAGACGTCCTCGCTGTGAGACATTAGTTTGACAACCAGAGGAGCAGAGTGGGCCAGAGGATCATGAATGCATTATGGGGAAGAGCTTTGAAGTGATCATTTGAGTATTTAAAAGTCAATTCGATACGGCACAGCTCACATGTTGATCTTGTTGTATTTATTCGGATCCACGCTGCTTTTTTCAGGATTATTTGAAGGCGGTGTGTTATTTTCAGATATTAATGTTATCAATGGCTTCACGTTTGTAATAAGCCTGAGCTGTAAGGGGCTTTTGTGACTCACACAGCTCTTCCACTCAACTATGCACGCTGTAGTAATTATTCATTTCAAACTTCTCATTACATTTCATGAAAAAACAAACAAGATACAGAGAGTGTGTTTGAAAAGGGGTTGAACGTGTGTTTGGCTCTAACGCCTCTCACTCACCACAAAACACAAGGTGCACACACACACACACACACACACACACACTCACTGGCCCAAACACTCTCTGACCCTACACTTCTCTCTCATCACTTTTTCTTCCATATACTTCAATGGTTCTTTTATTTTAAGATTATTTGAATGAAATCATTCTAAGTCCCTTTACGTCTGTAATTCAACTTACAATATAAACTAATATATGACTCATTACACACAAAATCAGATTACTTGTTAAAATGTTGATAATTGTCCCACAGCTTTTGAAACCCCCAAATTATTTAACTTTAAAATCACAGAACTAAATGAACTCTATGGTGATATTTCAACAGTTGTTCTAAAGAGTAGCTCCATGCACTGAGACACCCATATTGATTTTAAAGTGTTCTAAATGTAGGTGCATACATTTTTTCTTAATCTGTAAGAGGAATATGCTTTGTACATTAGTTGAAGAGAGTTTCCAGATGCCATGACCATTAGAATAATGTGAACAGTAGATACAACCAGAATGGCCTCTTTTGCGAGGTGTTCACAGTACATTCTGGACTCGGCAGCCTTTACAATATGTATATTATTTTGTTAGACATGGGCTGTAGGAAGAGATTTGGACACAGCTCTATCTGCTGTTGATCTCCAGAGCTGATGACATTGCACACATTCCTACTCCAGTGTGTTTATGTGAACAGCAGAGAGCCAACACAAGGAAGTTTTGGGGAAATACACAAGACTTGTTTTTATGTTATTTGAGAATATCAGAACAGATTTTATGTTTTGATAACAAAATAAGATTGACCAGAATGCTTTGCTCATCACGGGTCAGCTGTGCCTTAAAACACTGTCATTAAATCACGTTGTGTCCTGTTAGAATAGCCGTCCATTAGCTTTGCTTTGTCCCATCAGCTTGGTTAGGTTCTATGAGTGAATGGATGGTGTTGGTTGGGCTTTGATGCCAGAGTGTTCGGCGTCTCACTTCTGTCATCACCGTGTGTGGAGCGAACGGAACTTTATCTGAACTGTGAACATTGTAAAGTGCTTTCGATGACCTTGGTCTGTAAAAATGCGCTATATAAATAAAGATTACTTACATGAATAATAAAAAGTTCTCTTAAAAGGTTTACAAGCACTGTAATGGAGTATCCCCACGCTTTCAATATTTTCAGTATGAGATTAAGAAGTTGGACTGAACTCACAGCGTGTTCGAAGTCGTTGGACATCCCCATGCTGAGCTCCACCTCGTCCAGGGGCATCTTCAGGCTCTCACACAGCTCCTGCCGGCGGCTGAGCAGCATCTGGAACACAGTCACAGTCACAGGTCTGCCATGCGCCCGAAGCAGACACTTGCAGCTTTATATTTCAGAACATCACAATCAAAATCAGTGTTTGCCTTCTCTAAAACAATCCATGTTCAAAATAGTGAGGCAGGGGCGATATCAATTATAACCAGGGGTGCACATCATTTTTTCAGTGAGGTACTCAGATGAGTACCAGGACATGGTGTTTGGTACTCATTCCATTTGTCGCATGGTCCTTAATCAGGATTTTATACTTATTTCTTTTTAATGCTAGAGTTTAGATCAACTCAGATAATCCACTCAATCCAAATCAAATAACCCATTAGGCCTGACACAGCTGGTAAAACAGACATGTAAAACCCATGGCCAACCAGAACCACCCTCCAAAACCTGAGGTTTTCCTGAAATTCAACGTCTACTAAATTATTGATATTTCAGCCTCTGGAGCAGATAGAAACATCATTTCAAAGGAATTTGAGAGAGAGAAAGTGGCACTAACTATGTGGAAAAAAATATTTTAAAAATCCACTCTCTGGCCAAAAAGTCAAATAATGACTCACAGGGCTTTTTCTTAAGTAAAAAAAAAAAAACAAGACTGTTTTGGTTTGTTCTGTTTGATTTGGTCACAACATTTTACTTTGGTTCACAAATAACAAGCATTTTCAATGCACGCAAAAATTTAGGTACCTGAGCTTTAATTCAGTGGCTGTTTTGGCTGCGCTTCGTCAGAAGACTTGGGGGAGACTTGGGAGAGGCATGGGGGAGAGACGGGGGAGAGACGGGGGAGAGACGGGGCAGAAACGGGGGAGACGGGCAAGACCCACACGTGCAACCACCTGGGGATGGTCCTGTAGAGTGTGTATGGTTCTGTGTGCGCGTCTATGGTCCGCGCTCGGTACATGACCATGCGCGTTCGGTGAGTTGTCAAAGCAGCCACAGTTTCTCCCGGGGTCAGAACAGAGGATGTTATCGCACCACGCCCCCCTAGGGAGGAGTCCCCCCTATTTGAGAAGGACTGGTCTATGTGAAGTACGCAAAAGCACTTACTAACTCAAGTGATGGTACGCATTTCTAATATTTGCCGCGCATGCGTACCTGCGTACCACTTATGTGCACCCGTGATTATAACCATAGTGATAGTGGACTTAAACTCTAGTTGAGGATTTCTCCACGGCTGCAGTGACTGTATTTACAAAAGGAACACATCCAAGTGAGAGAAAAGCAGCAGCTCTCACCTGGAAGTCGGGGTTGGGTCCCAGGCTCAGGTCGTAGCCGTAGCGGCCGATGGTCATGAGTCCAGTGAAGTGAAGCGCAGTGCAGCGAGAGACGATGTGTTTGACGGTGGACACGGTGTCCTCCGGGGGCAGGCCGTGTTTACCTGAAGACACACAGGACACAGTTATTACTCACTTTCTCTCACACCAGACTGGACTGGGGATGCCTTTACGCCAGAACTCCCTTAAAAACAAGCACCTACAACAGATGAAATGTCCCATGTGTGGATGGTGGGTTTCTTTGTTCACACAGGCTCACTTTTTTGCAGGTTTTTTCTCATGAACCACATTTTTCTCGATTTACATCAAAGGCTCTTGACTTTCCTATTATCAGTCATCCTCATCAGAGCTGAAGTTTAAGTGGCTCTCTGACTCATCTCCCAACCGTGCCTTTTGTGTGTGTATACTGTATGTATTCTGCTGTCTAATGTGCATGTGTAACTAGGATCAGTATCATTAAATGTCAATCTTTCTGTAGAGTGGGTACATGCTTAATTTAATTCAATTACACGTTAACTCATGCTAACAAACTCACTGGGCTGGTGTCTCATATGCTAACACCCATGCTAACACACTCACTGTGCTCTCCGCTAGTGTTGAGCTGCACCATGATGCGCAGTCTCTGAGCACTGCCTCCTCTGATGCGCTCCCATGAACTGTTAACCTTATCCGCCAGTTTCACAGAGTCCACCGTTTCCACCAGGAACAGGTTTGGGACGCCTGCAAATAAAACACGTTTTACTCAGGGGCCACTCACATTTCCTTTTGTGATTTGCATACTGGTATTTGCAGATAGTATGTATTAGCACTCCCTTGTCCCAATTTATGTGCACTTACCTAAGAGTTTGTTCACATTGTTTTTCTGGAGATGTCCGATGAAGTGCCATTTGATGTCTGGACAGGATTCCAAAATCTAAACAAATTAAGTAATATTTGGTCAAAACCAGAGCAAAAACATCACATTTTCAAATCTGGAAAACTTACAAGTGGATCTGAGGCTTTGTCCACCAGTTCATTCACCTGCAAAAAAGGAAAGAAAATACTTCAAAATACAAATGAGTACACAAGGTATGCATTTAAGAAGTGAGAAAAGACCGCCACAGCCCTGCCTATGTCATAACACATCAGACGGATTACTGTGGATGCAGCTAAACACAACTTTTGTCCGATTTTTGTGTGTGCTAATAAGCAATGTTAGTTTAGTGTCTTTAACTCTAGTTTTCCATCCAGTCTCACGCCCTGGTGTCACTCACGTAATTCTCTCCAAAGTTGCGTTGTCCATGTTTGTAGGCCTCCACCACCATCTCCGGAGGTTTGGTTTTACTGACGGCAACAAGGCGCGGACTCACACAGGGCAGAGTCTGAGGACAGAAGCAGAGGACAGAAATTGAACATAGTCCTCTGACATTATAATGTCACCCATATTTTTATGTCACTCACTTAAAAAAAAAAGTTAAAAAATGAATATATATAATAAAAAGGTATGAATGACAGTTCAAATGTATTACGTATTTCCGCAGCTTGTGGTCAAGGTTAGTTACGACCCAAACAACGTTCTTGAAAAGACAATTGTGTAGCATTGCTTAAGGCCTGTAACAAATTGCTCATCTTTATGAATTAGTGGGCTACTTGAGTGGCATCAGCGTTATTTTGGTCTGATTTGTAAAAAATAAAATCAACCCGATCACTAATGATTGAATTGATGAGTATGGGTCTAGTCCAGTCTGTGTATGTGTGTGGCTGATGGTAGTCTGACTGGACAATGGTTCAAAATAGCAGCCTTGCTTCAGTCAGTCTGCTCCTGGGCAGCTGTGGCTACAGTAGGAGTTTGCCACCACTGTGTAATGAGTAAATGGATATCATGTGAAGCAAATGTGCCTAATATAAAACGGATACATAATTAGGATTGAAATCACAATCGTCTGATTATTAGATTTATAGTATACTATTATATCGGTGAGTTACAGAACTCAATAGTCCTTAAGCACACCTTGTCCACACGACTTGTTTGGGAGCAATACGGGGGGCACCGCTTATAATTATTATGCTTCACAAATGTGACAGCTGCAAAGAACGGAATATAATGTATTATCCATAATTATCTTGTATAAGTGGTCCCACGCCTGCTGACAGAGCAGCCCGGAGCCATGCAGCCCTCTCCGGTGCAAAGGTTGAGGTCTGCGGGCTGATGTAACGAGCTGAGCCGCTGTATCCGGGGGTCAGGGGTTTCGGTGTTTGCGGAGGGTAGAGAGGGGCACGACGCTCAGCGTACCCGGCTCGCTCTCACCTTGTGTCGGCGTGCTGCAGCTTGGGAGATCCGCTGGAGCGCGGCCTGGAGCGACTTCCCCACCTCCTCCGACATCACGACCGATCGCAACATGTTGACGTAAGCGGCATACGCGTACAAACAGCAGTGACGCCAGCAAGCTTTCACAATAAGATGTCACACTGCCACTGTGAAGACTTTCACAATAAAAGCACACGCCTTAGCAAAGAACAAATATCGCTTTGAGTATATTTTAATACATGTTTTGCCGACAGATACAAATAAGAGCATGTCCATTTACCTTCAAGAGGGCGTGTCCATAAATGTGACCATACTGGTCAAATTACTGCATATCCTAGTGCAGAAATTGTTTTAAGTATCTGTACATGTTAGCAGCATGAGGGTATGGGAGTGCACTTGGCTTCAGTCTTCCTCTCCGTGTCTGCTTACAGGATTACTTACAGGACATCACCATATCTACCAACATGTGATATATCATATATGTGACCTTTTATTTCAATACGAGTAAAAACAAATATGTTAAAACATATTACACTGGATTCTCTATTAAATCTTACATTCAACTTTTTAAATGTATATAATTAATGACAAACAAAGTTACAAAGAAAGATTTATTCAAGAAAAAGAACAATTCAAATGTACAAACAGAAATCTTTGACAAACTTAAAAACAGAATTGGTCTTCCGAGTTTCGTCTCATACTCGCTCCAGAGCCTCCACCATAATGATACTGTTTCCTCTGATCACCTGAACAGGGACACAGGTTAAGTTAGTACAAAATTAATCACCTTTCTTTAGAGTCTTATTAATTCATTTCATGGTCATTTCTCCCCAGTATTGTAACGAACAGCATTATACACTTTGCACCCAATTTGTTTTCCCCTCGAGATTAAAGAGGGCATTTGGGACTTTTCAATGCATCACTTTGACATCTTCACACAATCCATCCATCCATTTTCTACCCTTTAATCCATTTCTGGGTCAGGGGGGTGGCAATCAGAGATGCCACACATGTCTCATAGCACCAGCCCCTCACTGACCCTCTGCAGGTGGTGAGTCCACAGGAGGACGGCTGCTCTCTGAGTGTGAGCACATGAAGAGGAAGATGAAGGCATCTTCCTCTTCACACAATCAATCTCAATAAAATGAAAGTTGATTTTGCATTGAATGTCCCATTTAATCTGAAAGCATTCCGAGTGAGGGCGGGGACAATGTCAGAAAATTTAAATGAGATAAGTTTTTACCAAGGTTTGCATTTAAACTGTAAAAAAATGATTTGGTTGGGCGATTAGTTTTTTAGATCACAGCTGGCTTTGAGATTTAAATGGATTGACATCTAAAATTATTTGACTTCTTAACACGTTAGGTTATTTGTTAATGTACATGTTTCCACTTTTATTTAGCCGTATAAAGCAGAATAAAACTAATATATTTGTAGACTGGGAGTCCTAAAACTAAAATATCTTGTTAAAAAAATGAATAATCAATTACTACAAACAATATTCTAACTTCTCAGTTTTCGAACTTTGTAACTAATAATTATTACCAATGGCCCTCCGTAGAGCGCTTTTAAATCGCAGCTAAAGACACATTTCTTTGCTTTGGCTTTTTAACATAAGCAATATGGAAACATTTATGATAGTGTCCTCCATTTTAATTTTTATGCTGTATCTTATTTGTGTGTTCTATTTTGTAATATTGTCTGGTAAGCACTTTCTGACAGTCATGTCTGTTTTTTTAAAATGTGCTATATAAATAAACTTGACCTTAACCTATGACCATTTCACAGACAATCTGGTGACCATGGTAAAGCTGTTAGAACCATGTAGAGCAGCGTATTCCCTCACCACCATGCCGATGGTGCTCTGCTGTCCTCCAGGACCCATCTCCACAGAGTCGTCCACCACCAGGTTCATGAAGGGGTCGAAGCCGCGGAGGATCCCCTGCACATGCCTGCCTCCATTCAGCTTCACTGGAAAATAAAGCGGAAACACAAAATATTAAATCTTGAATCCACGCACCCAGGAGCTCTTACATAAACTCAACAACATTGATGGAAGAGCAAGAAATCCCTTCATTGCAAATCAGTTTATTGCCATTTGCAGAAAAACTACATTGGAATACAAACAGGAGACATCGTAGGCACCACCACAGAGCACACGCGCACACACAAATAGCGAGACACAATGCGGCACATTTAAAACTCAAAAAAGCATTGTAATCATTTATCATTAGAAAAGGACAACTTTAGTTACATTTACATCAAGCAGAAAAAGGGATGTCAAGTCAAATTCCTTTACAATTGCGGTTCATTCAGGAAAATATAAATCATGGTAATTTTAAGATGTGCTGCCTGTACGATGTCCATCTATAAAACTCAAAACTAGTTTTCACATGCGGAAATGTTTGTGAAAGAGAGGTTTCTAACAGGTTGACAGACAGGATGTTGTGATCTCATTTGTTGATTTGACCTTTATTAGAATACTTTTGTTGGGGCAGATAAAATTACTACATTTAATTTTAATGCCTCAGTTTTAACACGTGTTTGCATAAAAGCATCAAGAGCTGCTTCGATGAATCACAATTAATCAACAGTATGTTATCTTAATCTGATTAGAAAACATTTGATCTTTTACATACATGTAAGAAAGACCCAGTGAGTCACTATTTGACTCTTGACTTGGGTCTAAGAGCTGGGAAGTGGGAACTAGATATGATAGATATTAGTTCATTGTGTGTGGGTTTAGAGCTAGGTACTCCAGTTTCACATGATCTAACAATAACACACATCAACAAGCCATAGATATAATATACTATTACACTCACATGAAAGCTTCTTGTCCATAAACCTGAAAGAAAAGATACAGTTTAAGTTAGATGCATTGGGAGTGAACTGCTAATGCTAACAGCTCATGCTAACTGTAGCGTAAACGAACTTAACCCATTTGCAAATTGAACACAGATTTAGCCACGTATGAGTCAAGGTATAACGCTATACTCACTTTTTGAGCTCAGGTGGGTGTGCTTTACTCATGGTGCTGGTTTTACGGGCTATAAATGTACAGAAAGCTGAAAGAAACGCGTTCAAAATGCGTCCCTCAACAAGCGGCGGAAGGAAAGCGTGCAGCCGGGGGAGAAGTGACGACAGAGCGGCAGGAGGATGGTGTGGCGCCCCCTGTATGTGGAGAGTGGAACTGTGGCTGTGCTGTCTCGTGAAAGCTGGAGTACCCATGGATCTATTAGTACCTTACTTCTATGTATTAAAATGCATGTCACTAGTTTGGTCCTTTCACAAACGGAAGTGACCACTTCTATATACGATGAACGCTGAGCTCATCAGATATTCAGCATCCATCCATCCATCCATTTTCTTCCCCTTAATCCATTTCTGGGTCTGGGGGTGGCAGTCAGAGCTGCACCCAGTATACACAGCACCAGTCCCTCACTGATCCTCCTGCAGATGGTGAGTCCACAGGAGCATTGATCTCCCAGCAGGGGCTTTAGGCAAAGTGGGGTTGCCCAAGGACACAACGCCAGCAGTCATCAGTGGGAGTTGTGAAGTAGGTCTTGTGGTGGGCTCGAACCCACAACCTTCAGGCCCAAAGTGGCTCTACCAACTGAGCCACTGTCGCCCCATATTCAGCATGTTTGAGGTTAAAAGTGAGGAGCCTTAAAAAAGTTACTACCTTTGACTAGTCTTTGGTAAATAGTTCAAAAACTGATGGGTTAAATCATTTTTGGCCTCAATATATACCATCTGTACTTGTTAAAACAACCAGAATTGTTTTACGGAGTCTGGGATGATAGTACTTGTGTCAGCGGTATAAACAACTGACAGCTCCTTTAATTCCACTGTAGCTGCATTTCCACCACAGTTGACATTGAAAGACCCCACTGTGGGACAAATAAAGGCTTATCTAATCATCCACATTAGATTTTCAAAGGTTTTTCTTTATAGTAAAATGGCATAGTAATGAAAATGAACAACGTAATATTTTGGACCATTCTAGACAACATAATGAAAGCAATTTCCCTGAGATCAGGAACAGATATTCATTGTTCCTCAAATGAAGACAATTTTTTTTAGATAGATAGATATTATTTATTTCAAAACCTGCACAAACATCATCTCAAAAATCAACATAACAGTCAAATATACAGGTGCATGGTTTGAAAAGGAGGTGGATGAAGCAAATGCTTATTGAATTCCAACCCCCTCACACATTCAACACAAAGTACAGTACAAGAACCTTATACATACAGGATCATTCGTAAACAGCTGGAAACTTATACCGTACATAGAATGAACTAATACATGACATGACTACAGAGACAGGACAAAACAAGACAACACACACACACACAACACACCACAGATACACACAACACCTCACAGACACAGGCCCAAACACTCTCTGACCCTACACCCTCACCCCTTTACTTCATGTTGAGGGCATCACTCTCCTTCCTCTTTATATTTGTTTAAAACATTTTTTTTAAACAACTGTTTGAAATGAATTATGCTTGAGCAGTTTTTTAATTCATTCGGCAAGTTATTCCAAAGTTTCACTCCCCGCACTGAGATACACATTGACTTTAGAGTAGTTCTAAATGTAGGTAGATATTTAATTTGGTTTCCTCTAAGTTTGTAACTATGACAATCGTGTCTATCGTGGAATAAGTTTTGAACTTTAGGAGGCAGAGAGTTTTGAGATGCCCTGAACATAGTTTGAGCAGTTTTAAAGTTGATCACATCCAGCAGTTTGAGTTCTTCCAACTCTACAAACAGTGGATTAGAATGATGTCTGTAGTGTACACCAGAGACAATCCTAATGGCCTTTTTCTGTAGGGTAATCAAAGGCTTTAGATGGGATGCATAGCAATTTCCCCAAACTTCAACACAATAATATAGATGTGACATTATAAATGAATGATACAGTAGGAGTCGAGCTTTGGTGTACAGTAAATTACATGTTTTGTTCATCATTCCGACACATTTGGCAACTTTTGTTCTCAGGTAACAAATGTGTGGTTTCCAGGAGATTTTTTCATCAATGATAACACCCAGGAATGTGTTTTGTTGGACTTGTTCTATTGGTGTGTCATCAATAACAATTCTAATAGGTATATTATGTTTACGATTACTAAAGAGCATGATTTTTGTCTTTTTCAGGTTCAGTGACAGTTTGTTAATATTAAACCAGTGTTTTAACTTATTCATTTCCACTGTTATCGAGGCCAAAAGTTGCTCAAGGTTTTCATCGGCATAAATAATGTTGGTATCATCAGCAAAGAGGATGAATTTCATTTTGGTAGACACTTTACATATTTCTTTAAATATGGATGCTCTATTTCATATATATATTATATTATATAATATATATAATGAAATATAGATGCTCTATTTCATATATATATACAGTATGAAATATAGAGGCTCTATTGCTCTATAAGTGTTGGGCGACACAGTGGTGGCACTCTCGGCTCTCAGCAAGAAGGTTCTGGGTTCGAATCCCAGTCGGAACGGGGCCTTTCTGAGTGGAGTTTGCATGTTCTCCCCGTGTCTGCGTAGGTTTCCTCCGGTTTCCCCTACCACTAAAAACATGTGCAATAGTTCAGGGTGAATGGGTGTGAGAGTGTGAATGTGGGACAACAGATGCAAATTAGCCCATGACTACAATCTGGAGTGATGTGTTCATTAACATGTACTGTCCCAACCAAATTAACTTAATATATATATATATAACTTAAAGGATAAAAAAAGGCATTCAAAATAGATGTTAATGGTCAATAGTCCCATTTCACACAACAGAAGATGTTCCAATATATATATATTTTTTTAAATTGGAGCGCATGGATGGGCCACTTATAAAGCATTACAAACTGAGCCGATGAAACGACTAAGTACTGGAGATAAACAACTTGAAGCATGGGGCTACGTCACCGTGCGGGCGGAGGGAGGGCTCACAGGCAGAAGAGCAGACTAGTCTCTGGATCATCTCGTTTGAGTTGAGGTGACATCACCTCTATGAATGACATGGCTATAATCTCACGAGTTCAGATTCAGATTCATTTATTTGCCATTTGCAGTAAAACCACATAGGAAAAACTGTGCAAGACTACCCCAGTGTGCACCAGACGACACACACCAGAGCTCGTGCCACGGCGCCATCTTTACTTAGTTTTGAGTGTTGTATGGTGTATCACTCAAATTATTATCACACATGTGCATAGGATGGAGTGTGAAACATGAAGAGCACAATATGGAACGTTTCAATGTAGAATTCACACATAAAAAGCCTAACTATTAAATCTGCACACACAAAAAACAGCCAGCACCACTCCAGCAAACTCACTTTTAATCAAACAAATGTAAAAATCTTAAGAAGTGAAGCTTCAAAAACATTTCACACAATTATCAGTAGTTTTCAAATCATTGGATGTATAATAAATCCATCAAGTACATTTTTTCATCACGCATTTTAAAATTACAATTGTATTTTGAGGAATGAAAAATATAACTGTCATCACCCCTAACCCAAAGACTACTTTAGCTCACATTTGAGGGTGCACGACAACTGTGTAATGTATTGCATTTGCCAGAAAAGGGCCAACAATGCAAGTCAGATCTTTAATGATACGTTCAAGACCCAATGAGATCAAATTTAAATTTTTTTGACATTGAAGTTTATATATTATATATGTTTAGCCCTTGTCTGGAAATAGTTTGTGATTTTAGTACCATAACATAATTAATATAGACAACATTCAAGTTCAGAGATTTTAAATATTACAAAAAGCCTGTCACAATAATGTGTAGTTTCAATTGATTTTGGACAGCAGCTTGTGATTTTTGGAAGACGTTTTCTCTTTTAACAATCTCAAAACAATTTCTCCCAAACAGTAAAAAAAAAAGAAAAGGATCTGTACCCGTTTTTAGCTTCCACCACACAAAAAACAAACTTCCGTCTTTTTTAAACAAGTTGTCTTCAAATTCACTCTTGAGGATGTCCAATCAATGACTAAAACTCTGTACGTTACACTATATTACAATTATTTTTGGTGAACACTGAACAATGTTGTAAAGCCCTTTGAATCTCATCGTACTAGTTTGGATTTATGTGAAAACCAGAGAAGAGATTATATAAACAAAAATGTAGCTTGAATGTAGTTAGGACATTAGGAAACGAGGTATTCTAATGCAACAGTACATGTTCATTATGATGACAGGCCTTGACATCACTACTTTTCCCTATTTTTTTTTTTTTTTTTTAACCTAAAATCAACTTTTTTCACAAATAATAGCTTCACTAATCCCTTCGTCCTCTACTTTGTTTTTGAGATGTTCCTGACAGTGCGACAAAAAGTTCTCAAGTGCCACAAACCCGCGCTGGCACAGGCCGCAGTGGTACAAGCGCATTTTCTCCGCCCATTGCGAAGACGCGTCCATTTCACACGTGCACACGCTACAAGACCCGCGCACGGTCGCCGTCTGGTGAAGCTCTGCATGGGCGAGCAGTTCAGATAGCTGGGCGAAGACTTCAGGACAGGACGCACACGCAAACTCCTCCTCCTCCTCCAGACTTTCACCGCCCACCTTCTTTTTGACAGCTCTGTCTTTCCATGCCGTGATACGCAGCTTGGGCACGGTTTTCATGTCTACAGAAATGTCTTTCGTCCATGCGTTTTTGCGAAGAGTCAGTTTAATTGGTGCAAGTTTTTTTTCATTGTACGGCGTTTCCAACTTTCCCGCAAGTCGACTTTGTAGTGGTTTAATGTCCTTAGAAGGAGCCGTTTTAACAGTTTTGACATCACCGTTTGCTTTGGGGTGCTGCCTTGAATGTGCCCAAAGAGAAAGATGGTGGAAAAAGACTTTGCTGCAAATTTGACATGTGTATGGCCTAGAATTCGGCTTCCTGTGTCTTTTTACGATTGGCTTCTTCTCGATTGTGGACGGAACCCCTCTGCTGTGTATCTCCTTGCGATGATTGTAAAGTTTTGTGGTGCTATTGAACACCATATCACAGGATCTGCAGCTGAAAACCCCATTTAAGCACTTTTTTGTTTGCCTTTTTGGGCTTTCTTCTCTTTTATCACAGGGCTTGGATGGCGCATGTTGCTGACACGCCGTCTCGTCGCTGAAAACCCTAGAACAGAATTTGCATGAACCTTCGCCTTCCATGTACTGCGAAGAGGAGGAATCGTCGTCAGAAGTGAGACTCTTCTCGGGAGAGTTTGTTTCCAGCTTCTTGATGATGTCGTTTCCAGCTTCTTGATGTGATGGAACCTGCTCTTGTGCGAACGGACTAACGCCTACAATGGTAGGCTGAACACAGGGCAAGTTTTCGGTGGGAATCTCAGTTTTCTGAATTCCTTCATTGCAAGGAGTACTATCGACTCTTTCCATAGAGTCTTCAGTTATTTTAATGTCTACAGGGCTCGGCTGAGCACATGGCACGTTTTCAAATAGATTATGCGTGCTCTTAATGCTGCTCACACTGACCGGCTGAGTGCAATTGAAACTTTCAATGGGACTTTCTGGCACGTTTGTCAATGACGTAGCGTAAATTGGACTGTTGGTTGCTTGAAATGGCACGTGAATGGCACTTTGGCAGCTGTGCATTTGCAAAGTCGATCTGTGAGAAAACTCCTGTAAACAGTGCTGACATCGGTACGGCTTGGGCAGATTATGTTGCAAGTCCTGGTGCGTAAGAAGCTGAGTGGGGTAGGTGAACTGTAGGCTGCAGTCTTGGTAGGGTAGGCTTGGCGGAGCTTGCTGAGGCCTGTAGATTTGATTCAGGCTTGGCCCAAGGTCTACATAGGGGTAGGGGAGATTGAGGGCAGGTTGTGGTGGATTTGGAGTCCTGTAGATTTGGTTCAGGCTTGGGAGGGTTTGTAGTGGCCTGTAAATTTGGTTCAAGCTTGGATTAAGCTCGGCACAGGGGTAGGGAAGGCTTGGGGCAAGTTGCAGTGTTTGCGGTGGCATGTAGAGTTGACTCAGGCCTGGATGTGATTCTACACATGGGTATGGCAGGCTTTGGGCGGGTTGAGGCAGTTGTGGTGGCCTGTAGATTTGGTTCAGGCATGGGGCAGGTTGCGGGGGAGGTGGGAGCCGGTGCGATCGGCTCAGGCCCGTTTTCGACTCAGCACGGGCGATGAAGCTGGCCAGGCGGGTCAGAGTGTCCGCTGGATTTGGCCGCTTGAAGGGCTCAGGACGAGGAGTGGTGGTCCAGCTCACGTCCATCATACTCGGCTGTACTGGGAAGATAGACAAAAGTGTAAGCCCTCTTTTTTCCAGCCAAGGCACATATTAGGGGGAGACAGTTGCAAATTTAAGAGTTTCCCCCATCCCACAAGTGTGTGGAATTAACCAAGCAAATGAAAAGCCATGTTATAAAGATTACTGTGGTGCAGACAACGCATAAAACATATACATAACATTTCCTAATGATGCATAGAATACAGAAAAAAAGAAATAAGAATTTATTTTTGTGTTGTGACAATACTAGCATGAATAAAATGGTTTTAGGACTTTAAATGGGACTGCTCTAAAAATAAGATGAAACTGGCTTGTTCTATTGGCAAATTATATTTAATCAAATTTGCCAATAGAACAAGCTGGTGGTTATACAACTATATACATCTACCAATTGGGGCGACAGTAGCTCAGTTGGTAGAGCATTGGTCTTAAGGCCAGAAGGTCGTGGGTTCAATTCCCACCTCTACACCTTCTCCACCGACTCCCACTGATGACTGCTGTCGTTGTGTCCTTGGGCAAGACACTTAACCCCACTTTGCCCAAAGCCCCCACTGAAAGATCAAGGCTATGCTCACACTCAGAGAGCAGCCGTCCTCCTGTGGACTCACCACCTGCAGAGGGTCAGTGAGGGGCTGGTGCTATGAGACTTGGGTGGCATCTCTGATTGCCACCCCCCTGACCCAGAAATGGATTAAAGGGTAGAAAATGGATGGATGGATGGACATCTACCAAAACTAAGATAAGATAGACTTTATCTCACACTGGAGAAATTTACATGTCACATATAAAACATTACCATTAAAACAATTATTATCTTTGAGAGCAACAATTATATTGTGACCTGAATGATCTTGATTATCGATAAACTGAATGATCCAAATATCTTTGCTCGCAATGAAGGAGCCAGTACACTACACTCACATCAACAGAACCCGCCCCTCACTCATCCTGGGGGACTCGTGGCAGAACTCTGGGGATCAGGGCAACCAAAACCCCTAGTGCCAAACGCAGTAGAGCAGACACATCTTGTCCCCTTAATTGGAGTAATTTGATCCTGTTCAGCTGTTGGTGCACAACAGTAAACACTTTGGTTTAATTACTGAGTTATATTGTCATCTTTTTGTGCACTTTGAACATAAGCCAACTATCAAAAACAATGAACATATCATTATGTAAAATATTTGTAATAAATATCCAAACGAGATGTATTAGAACCCAAGTTATAGGAATTTGCTGTTAGGTTAAAACAAGTGTCAACAGCCTGATAAGCGAGTGTTTGTCCTTGAGTACAATCCCTTCACTGTGACCAGAAAGACATAATATAAACAGACAATGGGCAACGTGACGGAATTAGAATGTCTCTTTTGTCCAGATTGAGTAAGCAAAATGGGTTTATAGGAAACCCCAATAACCCCAGGAAGAAAAGCTACTGTTTTTTTCAGTAGTTAATGGGGAGCTGAATAAAAAACAAAAACTGATTTTACCCCGAGTTACCAGAAAAAGAGGCCAGTTCTACTTGCATATATTCCCAATCCAAAGAGCTCCACAATTTGGGCAAAATATTTTAGAGTTTCAGATTAATAATACAATGTAGGGCAGGGCAAGAAATCGAATTTAGGCAATTAATTGGCTTATGAAAAAAATCGAATTTGGGAAAAATGTGAAAATCGTGAAATCGAATGAAGGATATTGTGAGAGTTCCTTAAGCACATCAATCATACTTGCAATATCAGCACAGTCTGTACAAGACTTTTCTAATACGTATTGGGGGAAACAAATTAAAAATAGTTTTGAAACTTGAATATTGAGCGGAAAGAGTCGGTCTTTGGTGACTTTAATGAAAATTGATTTAAAATTGAAATCGTCCAAAGCAGGAAATATAATCGAGATTTTACTTTTTTGCCATATTGCACAGCCCTAATACAATGTAATTTACAGTATCTGTTTTAGTATGATGCATACATTTAACAACTTGAGAAGGGGAAATTCAAGCAAACATAAGATTGTTTTGTTGTTGTTTGTAATAGCATGTAATAGACTATGGATGAATTAAGTAGTTTATCTTCACTCGAGATTATCTTTTTTTTCCTTAAAGATTTACCAATGGAAGTTGGAACCAGAGAAATAAGCAATTTCCTACAAAGAGAAAAATGTGACTTAATAAGTCTAGTCTGGATCTACAGCCTGTCCAGCCGAGCGAGCGGATCCCTCTCTCAATGTGGGCCTCCCAGAGGTTTCTCACTTTTATTTCTTTGAGTCATTCCTGGCTGACAGAGGACATTCTAAGGACAGCAATGATCCAGGACATTAAAGAACATTGATCAACCCGCTTCCTATGAAACAATATGTTTGTTCTTATTGCATTTCCTATTTGCTTCCCTGATGATTGAGTCCTCTGTTGAGGATTCTACAGCTTTATCCGAGGCTACTTCTGTTGAGATTTAGAGTCTTACAATTTATTTATTTTTAATGGTAAAATAATGACAAATCATTAGTTTTGGGTACATCTTCTGGCTGTTAGAAGTATGTTTTTCCCATGTAATATATGTAACCTGCAAAGCGCGTTGAGTCAACATGTTTGAGCAATTATTATTAAAACATGCCCAAAGTAGGGACTTTTATCTCATCACAAAAAATAAAGAGGAAGACTCGTAGACTGCTTACAATTAGAATATAAACTAAAGTATGATTGTATTTTATGGCTTTGAGCAACTGAAGTTCATGCATACCCAAAAGGGGAAGCTCACATATGAAAACATAAATACGACGACTAAATGCACAAAATAAGGCTTATTTTTCAGTAAAATCCTTAGATATCACGCTGTTCCATTATGATGATCAAACACGTTGAGATTAGACTTTGAAAATGACGAAAACAGTAACTCTTCGCTGAGCTCCCCCACCCCTGTCTGTTGTTTGCTATGTTAGCTCGATGCTCACTATGCTAACTCCCGCAGACTTCACGGTTCATTCTTGCACAAAGTAAACTTACTCGGTCTCTCAGACACGGCTGGGCAGGTCCGCACCCATGCAAGCAAAAGGCACGTGGATCGCAGGGGACAAACAGTGAGTTTATCCGCGCAGATTCACGACAAAAGTGAAACTCAACTTTACGGAGCCGCCATGATTTCAGCTCGCGAGGCACACTTCCGGTTGGTCACTTCCGCTTCAGACGAACGGGAAAACCATGTGGGAAAACAAATAAATAAATGAACGTAATGTGATTATATTTACCTTTACTTGTTTAATCATTTTAATCTTTACTTTCTGGCTTGTTAAAGCACTGTTGATTATTTACTATATACTTGTCTTGACGTTGAGAAATGTGTCCTCTGCATTTGCATCCTTCACAAGGGCCTCAGTCAGAAAAAGGGGACCTATCTCCAGAATGCTGTTGGTCAGAACGACAGCTAAGGCATTGCAGTCGGGGGAAAATGGACATGGGGAGAAGCCAGAGAGAGAATCATGCGCATTTCGACAGAATAAATCCCTGGCGACAAGATCGAACCATAGATCTATAATAGTATCGAACCCACTGTGTTACCCACTCAGCCACCCCACCACCATAAGGAAATAATATATGATAAAAGCTGCTAGAAGAATACAACGAATAGCACAAATAGAACAAAAAATACAAATATTGACAAAAATAATTACACATCTAATATTTATAGCTTGTTTACATCAGCAGTTGTTACTTGTAATCACCATCATTTTGAAAATCAAACTCTTTCAATATGTATCTATTTTGTTGTATTTATATTTCTATGATTACTTTTCATTGGATATGTGGTCCCAAAAATGAAAATACATCATGCATCAAACTTTTTGTAAACAGTCAACAGAATGTTTCCACAAATACCCTCTACTTTTTTAATGGCGTAAATAACTTCTGAGTTAATAAGGCTATCCTCAAGAAACATCACAAGTTAGGTCTATGGAGATATAATCCTATTTACATGAAAGAGCGCAGCAGTGTAATTTATATTGTGGCATGTGGGTGTTTTGGAACAGCAAGACTTTATCCAAATGTAAGTTATTTAAGTTGTTGGCCACTTTTGCTACTTATCTGTCGGTGTACAATAGAGGCCTTTTCATTCCCATAGTATATTCCACAAATCATGATAAACCGGTGTGCAGAACAATCTTTGACTAGTATTCCAATCCTTTTGAGTCAAATAAACGGACACCCACAAACAAATAAAATCAGTTTAATACAAATAAACAAACTTAATAAACAGCGTCTGAACAAAAGCACAAAAAACTACTTAAGGCTCAGTTACATTCAGATGGAATAAACAGCACAAGCTTTTACTCACAGAACCATGTTATATCTGACACCTATTGTACTGTATGCATTTCTATTTATGTTTTAACAATTGACCAACTGCTCCAAACCGCTTATTTCCCCCATGTTTGCATTTATGATTGTCTCATTTTGAAATCACAAATGTAAAAACAAAATCTCACAGTATATTTAGAAAGGGTCACAGTCTTGAAGAATGTATTACTTAAAAGTAGTTTAAGCGGTCTGAATATTTTTGTATCGTGGCCAGCATGTTGAATGGAAGTCAGAATTACAATTTATTGTATTACTGATGCACTGGCAATGAAAAAAATAGTGCAGAGGTAAAAACAAACAAATGTATTGATCTACGCAGTTCAATTATCTGCTGATGCCCTTTCATAACATATCCTTAACATACAGGCCTTTTTTCAAGTTAATCTGAGTGATGATAGAATTAAACAGTGGCATAATATGATTAATATAAATTGTGGACGTTTCACAAAGCTGAGGTCACAACTATTCAATCTCCACAAGGCTCCAGTCTGTGCCAAGAGCCCCTGTCACCACCATCACACACTCATTCATGGTGGATGTCTTGCGTCATGGGGGAACCCAAAGCACCCGGAGGAAACCCACCCGAACACAAGATTATGCAAAGAAAGGCCTGATTGAAAATGGGATTGAACCCATGACTCTTGCTGTGGTTGAATTCAATCTAATATAGTCAAAGTGAGAAAATGATAAATGCTGTCATATTTAAATATTTAATAATCAATTACAACTTCACATCTTGTTATGCTCCAAAGCTAACCCAAGTAAGCCAATCGAGAGCTTCATTCTTAAATGTCATTTCACCTGATCATTATTCCTCTAGAAGGGAAAACACTAATTAAAGGGGACAACATTAACAGACAAAATGTAAAATATTTAGCCTTTATGAGTGGATTTTGGCCATAGAATTATATCTGTATATATAAGAAAATGCTACAAGAGCTTCCCAACAAAAATAAAATGTCTATTTTGTCTTCTTTTGTTGCTGCTGTTGGAAAGTGTTTGGAAAAATCTGACCTACGTTCATAAAAGCAACAGATCATGTCTTGTTGCAACTAAACAATCAACGTACCCTAGAGGCTTATTTGACTTTTGGTACCTTCATATCACATTATAATATAAATGGAGCGTAGGAATGTTGGCATGAAACAACAATACAGACAAATGAAACAGATTTAAATGTGTGCAACAAAGGGCTGCTGTGTGTTCACTGGACGTCAAGTCAAAACACAGACTCTAAAGAGTTCCATACAATTCAATATGCAAAAAGTAAGTTTTACAAGGTACTCATAAAACTGAGACTGGCTCTTGTTTTGGGCAAATATGTGTGTATAAGGTAAACGTTGACTAGTATTCTGCTTTTGTACACTCTCCTTGCTCTACACTGGGCTCTTCCAAAAAAAAGATAGTTTCCCAGTTTCCCATTTTTCTAGACATTTTTAGAAAAGGGGAAGTAATTTTTTGTTTTCCCATTTCAAAACAAGAATCAAACGTCCGCAAAGTCCACAAACCTGAATTCAATTGGCCTGAGTAAGAGAATCAGCTCTCACACTTCTCTTTTGCCAACTAGATGAAATGCAGAATACGTTTTGAATACTGTTGTACTGCACAGTGAATAAATGTGAATTCTGGATTTTGTTAAAAGTCCCTTAAATTGATGCATTAAAATACTTTTCATTTTGCACATTTTTGAAGGAAAGCAGCCTTATATACATGCTTCTATTTGGCCCAATGAAGCGTCTAAATAATTTCAAAAACTGAAGTCCTTTTGGTTGCTACAATATAATAAACTTCTAGTATTATTCTCACTGTACAGATATGTGCTTTTTCCATTCAAATGTTATCCGAGCACTTTTTATACATACATACAGTATATTCAACAGGAAAACTGATTGTACAATGCACCATTTGAAAAGTGAACCAAAATGTCTGCGTCCAGTGAGAAGACTGTGTCTGAGTACAGGTAATTAAACAAAACAATTCTCCTAAAATGTGGTTTTTCACATTAGCACAAAAGATACTCCAGTGTTTTTTTTTCAAGTTCGTACTGAGACTACAGCGGCACATGCACTCACAAACTCATACTAATTGTTGTTATTCATGAACAGTGTTGGACAGGTCAGGAAAATGAATCAGATTCTGCTTCAAAATGTATTCGGATTGGTGGAGTAGTCCAAATGATGATCACACTGATTAAAAAGTGATCGCATTTCCAAATGTCTAAACAAAATAGAATGGTGAAAATGTATAATTGTTATACATAAGCAGCAGGACTTATTTTGTTATAGAAAAAAATTACTTATTAAATTATACTTGAGCAGAAAAAAGGACTTCATAGTTACTTCATAAGTAATCTATTACAGTTGAATGTGGCCCATTATTACTGCGCTGCCGAACAACATTTGTTTGCAGTAATTTGTTACTGCCCAACACTGGTCATAATCAACTGTTTTAGTAGTTCCATACTTCATTCACCATTTCAACAATAATAATGCTGCTGTTTAAGAAGCTTAATTTGAAGAATTATTTGTATTAACTCAAATTTCTGTCTTAATCTAAAATAATTATTTTAACTTCTGTGGTTCTTGAGCGTTGCTTTATTTCATTTTACTTGCGTGTGTGTTTTTGTCTCTGCGTGTGTACAACAATCTGTATTTGTTGCCAGGTTGTGCTTTACCATTTCATAAGAACACTTTCTTACATTGTTCTTGTATAAAACTCTGCCCTGGCTCCAGTGTCAAACATATACAGTCTGTATAACAGGGAGTGGACCACCTTCATGTGACCTCACCCTTAGCATGTACCTTCTATTGAAATAAGCTAATTCGAGCCGATCTGACGAGCTCCATGCGAAGGAATTGAAAATAGTCTCAAAGCAACATGATAGCCAATCAGGAGTGAGGCTATCCCACTCACGCTGCTTCGCAACAAAGAGCTAGCTGAAGCAGGCTTTGTGGAAAGAAGGCACCTGATTGGTTAGTTATTATTGTTCACATCTTAATTTACAAATACAGTCCGACATAAAAAGGATCATCTAGAGTCTGAAACCCAAACATTTGAAGCCCAGAATGGCGAGTGTGACACAAGCAGGTACGAAGGAAGAGGGGTTTTCTATGAAAGTGCCTGGAGCCAGAGAGGGAGCAAAACTCTCACCCCCACGACCACTTCCTTTTATGGCTTAAGCGGATTCCATGTCGCACTGCCCATCACTACTGCAAGATCCGAGTCAAGTCTGTGGAGTTTATCTGAAGCAGAACCAGGTCCTGATCAGGACTATGGTACATTTTGAGTTGGAATGGACTCCAGACCTGCTCCCCTCGTCTGTGCGGGACACGAACACTGGGTGGATGAACCTTCTCATCTCTTGTAGTGGCTCGGAGCGTCTGCAAACATGTACTTCAGTCTGTACGCCTCAGCCAATAAGAGCCCCACTTCCTCGTTGCCCCAGTGGATTGTGGGAAGGTTCTGTAGCAGCATTAGAAGACCCTGGAGCAAGAATGTTAAACAAAACATTCAGTGGATTAAAAAAACTTAAACATATGTGCCAGCAACTGTCTGTCTAAAGTTGAATAATGAACTTGTTCCTGGTGTATTTGACCGTTTCAAATATTTGGCGTCAATTCACCTTGCCCACATACGATGGGAAACACTCTAAAATGGAGATGTTTTATGTGCTGATTAAGAACATAAGAACAAGAGCTTTGTTTAAAAATAATACCTTGTTTGACAAGACATAAGCAAAGTAAAATGTTGTGAGCGAATCGAACCGCAACATTCAGTCATTCGATTAGAATAGATATTAGTTTTCACACACTAGATGGAAAGAGCCCTAGACTGAGAGCTATTTGTCACTTTTCCGTCTGAAAAATCTGATCAAAAGATGTGATAGAGGCCGAAAAAAAACATGCATGACCATTGCACTTTAGATTTTAGATGTTATGCTTATTTTGTTTTAAGCATTATTATTATAAAAGGATCATGTTTTAATATAAAAGCATAAAACACCCATCTTAAACATTTCACCATTAAAAAGTCAACTTTTTTAAACTCATAAACTGCATAAATATGTTTCTTATAGTGCTCTCTACATCTCCTGGTAATTTTTTGACATTTTAGTGCAAATTAGATAAAATCTCACTTTTGAGCCTTAAACCGTCTGTGTGGCGCCCTCTCTACCTTTTACTTTTACTTTGACGGCATCAAGCTTAGACAGCAATAGGATGATAATTTAGTGGACAAAACCCCCATAATTCAGCTGGTGCTGTTTGTATATAGGTGCCCTTAATAGTCCAGCAAGTACTGTAATTTGGGAATAGCAATACATTTTGCTACGATTTACAATTATTTACATAATTTAATGTTATTTCAAAGTTAGATGTTCCAACATTAAATCTCCGGGTGGTCTTAGAGAACGTACCTGGAAGTCAGCAATGGACAGGATCTCTTTGCGCCATTTGATGAGAAATGCGGCACAGACATAAAGATGGAAATGGGAGAAGCCCTCAGACTCTGCCTGCACACATCCAAACAGACAATCCCTTCACTGTTTGTTGCATTACACGTTTGCCCACATGGCCCAATTTGAATTTGTTATGAACTAAAACTATGGATTGAGTCATTTGATTTCTATCTTTTTTTACTAAACTCAAAGCAATCCTAAAGACAACTCAGAAATACAACTTCAAAGAACATAGATTGTATGGTAACTTGAGCACTATCCTCTTCCCTTTCCTACTATGTCATCATTATGACTGTAGTCTGTTCATTACTATTCACCCACTGTCCCTGAACCCAGCCTCCATCATCTGCAGGACTGGCCGGACTTGCACCAGCCTCCCCGCCTGGGAGCCTCCTCAGTCCTGTACCCAAGAGCCTCAGTCCTCGTTCTACAGCCTGAGTAATGGTTCAATAGCCTGGCCATCTGAGGGAGTGGATTCTCCTCTCATTGTGGGGATCTTCAAGATTTTTCCCTTCCTCCCCCACATTATATATTGTTTTGTGTTGTTCCTTGCCGGTGGACATCCGCTAACTCTGGACCAATGGCTCCTATGTGGTTGCTAATTTTGCATTTCCAGTGTTCGAACAGTTTCATTCTCTGATTGAATGTTAACCAATTAAATTCAATTTATTCTTGTATAGCCCAGAATTACAAAACTGTTGAATTTGCCAACACAGATCAGAGAATCAAACTGTTCAAAAACAAGAAACGCGGTGATAAAAACACAGAACAATTGGTCCATTAGGAGGCAGATGACCAATGTCCATAAATATTGATAAATGTTGAATGTCAAACTGTCCTGGATCATCACCACTGTCCTTTGACCCTCCTGCATCGGCAAGGAAATACTCCCTGTGAGAGCGAGAGGGATCCGCTACCACGGCCAGACGGGTTATAGATCTGAGGCTGTAGAACGAGGATTCCACAGTATAGGAGCTTGGTAGCTCGATGTTCAGCAGCCTGTTTAGGAACCACCAGAAGTAAGCACAGAGCTCAGCTTGGTTGATATGACACTAACGTGTCTTGGAGGTAGGATGGTGCCATACCACTTAAAGCCTTGTATGCAGTGTTGGGTAAGTTACTTTGAAAAAGTAATTAGCTATAGTTACTAGTTACTTCTCCCAAAAAGTAATTGAGTTACTGAGTTCTCCACTATAAAAAGTAACTAGTTACCAGTAAAAGTAACTATTGCGTTACTGTTTCATTCCGAGCTTTAGCTGGTTGTAATTAGGATCACTTCTAAGTATATTAATTGTTGCAACAACGCCACCCTATTTTACTATTAGTATAAGTATTATATTTTAGTATAGGGAACTGTCCTGCAAGGCACACAGATAAGACAGGCCAAGGTGCCATTTAAATTACATTGCATTTATTTTTATCCATTGATCAAACAAAACGCATTAAAAACCTTGCAATTGAAAGAGACCATTTTAAAATAATTAGTTCCCACATACACACACGTTCAGCAGCCCTCGCGCCTGACAGACCAAAACGAGGGAAAATACAGTGCACAGAGCACGGCCGCTACAGCCGCTGGAATAATGTGAACGGAGCAATCGCTCGCTGCCCACGCAAAGCTCGCACTCCACGACAATGTTTTTATCTTTTTGACTGATATAGTTAGAATAGTGTGCATATCTCCACCGGTAGAATGAATTCCTCTCCTCTGCCTCTGCCATGTTGCTTTACAAACAAACTCGCTCATGTGCTCAACGTGACGAAAGTACGCTGCAGTAGAGCAGTTTTCTCGGCACAACTCGGCAGAACACCGGTGTCGCCGGTAACGAAGTATTTAGGTAGTAACTGTAATATAATGAAACGTGTTTTCACAATAACCCGTTACACTACTACGTTACTCAAATTGTAATTTTGTTACAATAATGCGTTACTTAAGTAACTTATAAGTTATCCTAAATTAAAACCAGCTAAAGCTCGGTACCACGACAAACGAAAAAGTAACGCAATAGTTACTTTTACTGGTAACTAGTTACTTTTATAGTGGAGTAACTCAGTCACTCAATTACTTTTTGGGAGAAGTAACTAGTAACTATAACACTGCTTGTATGTTGAAAGAAGGATTTTAAGACTTTTTAAAGTTTTAGCCAAACAAAAATAAATTGAATGGAATGGAAATGAAGCCTGGACAGAGCAAAGCAGCATTCTTGAGCGTGACCTGGTATGTGTCCCAGAGGCGGATGGTGCAGCGCAGGGGCAGCTCTCTCATCAGCAGGTTGTTCATCCAGCGGAAGGCGAACTGTAAATACTCCACCTCGTACCGCCTGAAGTGCACGTGGACGTCCTCTGAGCACACAAGACAACATTTATGATGACGAGGAATAACGAAAGTGACCAAGATGCAATCAGTACGCACCGTCAATTCTGCCGATCAGCTCTTCCAGCGCCTTCACTTTGTTCTGAATCCCTGGCTGAGCAAAGGTGTAATTATCCTGGAAGATACAAGAATCATTCATTCAAAAAATGTCTTATCATTTAGAGAAGTTATAACAGCAGATAGATGAGCTGTTTTAACTGGACACAACTGAAGAAAAAGACCTGTGACTGGTCCCAAATCCATGCAAAAATGTTTTCCAGGCTGTTGTGCAGTTTGAAACAATTTGAGCACACACAGCAGAATGGGGATAACTAACTAATGTAAAGAATTATTTCCAATCTCACCTGGATCCCATCCAGTAACTTGCTCATGCACCAGAAGCTGTCAGCCTCAATGTTTCTCTGAGTTTCAACAGGAAGCGCCGCAACGTCAAAGTTCTCCATGTCGTCCTCTAAAATCACAGCAACACACATTTATACATGAGGTATAAGACACTAAGCGCATTGTTCAGATTTTTGGTCCGCGCGATAAAGAATACAAATATATACAACTAGTTTTTACATAGAAATGACTGTGACAGGTGGTAAAATCATGCTTTTCTAGCACTAGACGTTTTAAGATTTGTTGTTAGAATATTTTGTATATTTACATATTTTAGCTCCACAAATATTCAAGTGGAGTCACAACGCCGCAAGATGGCGCCGTGACATGCTCTGCCAAAGCAATTTCCAAGTGGTGACTTTTGTTACTTACGTGGCAATAAAAAAAGATTTTGATTCCGATTTAAATATTGGTATAATTGAAAGCATACAGTACATGTGAATACGTTAAAATTAATTAGGAGATACAAATTGTATAGAGCACAAAAATGACCTGATTCTAAGTCCACTTAATAAAACACCTCAGGTCAAAAAACGAAAGAAATATAAAAATTGTAAAACACAAAACAACAACTGTTTCAGAGCTACTTAGGACTTGCTGCCATTTCCAGCATATTCAAAAATCTACTTCTACACCCGAATAGGCCTTTTCCCTTTACTCCAATCCTAATGACTCAGGAAGTTTCTTTGAAAATTACCTCAACACTCATCAAATATGCTAATAAAAGAAACACACTATTTTTTTTCAATAACTCCTATCACCAACTCCTAACTTACCAACCTGGCCTTTGTAGGACTTTTAGTATCTTGTTCAAGACACCTCATATAAAAAGACCTATGCTTTCCATTTCTTTATCTCAAAGCGTGACATTATCTGGATTCATAAACCACAAATAGAAGTTTTATGTAGATTGTCATTTGTTGTAAAATGCACATTGCCAGGCTGGATGGATGTAGTGCTTGAAGCAGCTGCAGTCTCACCCACAAACTCTGAGAGGAAGACCACGAAGAAGGGCGTGACGAGGTCGTTGATGCCCTGCACGTAGCCAGAGGCCGGGTGTCGGATGGCCCAGATGAATAGGATCCTCTCAAACACCTACACACACACACACATATTATGGCTCATCTATTTAATGTTTGCAGCCCTCTAAACCAGTCGTTCTTAACATGGGGGTACTTGAAATGATTCACAATTCTTATTAACCTACAATTCTGGAGAGCAGTTTTAATGACAGACTTGTACATCCTTGCTGTGTGAGGGAGAATTCCACAAGTCTTTGCTTTCCGCTGCTGTCAGTCTGTACAACAACAATGAGGACTAACAAACACAGCCGACCTGACCTCACATGTCAGAATGTACAATATAGAACCACAATCACCTTACAGAGTCACTTTGTACAACTATAGATTACTTACAAGAGTATATGGAGCATTTTATTCTTGATCATTATTTAGGGGTTTTTGTACTTGAGCAAGATAGAGATTTTTATTTCATACGGTTTCTTTTTAAGCTAGAGTTACAGATTTTATTTTAGCATTATTAATTTATTTTGTGCTGTGTGCTCCCCATTCCTACAGTCTCTAAAATTACCCCACAGTGGGATGAATAAAGGATCTCTTAATTAATCAAACATTGATAGTAAGCAGTATGATTATGGGCTACCAGGGCATGCAATTCTCTCAGGAAATGACAAGCCTAAGGTTTAGGAACCTAACAAGGTTTAGCTTCGGTTCAGTCGTAGCATGCACTCATTTTGTTTCAGAAACACTTTCTATAACACATGTCTAAAAGTTGTGGCCCCAGACTAAAATAAGTTTAACACCCCTGGGGTATGAAAGACTTTTTGCCCTAAACAACTTATGCCCCGTGTATGCTGGTCAAGAGTACAGGGCAACTCCTCAATCCGAGTCTGTGCCAAATCAGGGTCAAAAGTTAATGACGTTTGGAGGGTTTTTTGCCAATTACCAAAAATAACCTGATTTTTTGTGTCATTTACAAACCAATTCAATTCAATTTATCTTTGTATTGCCCTAAATCTTAACTCATTGTGTCCCATTGACGCACAAATACGTCAAAGCAAATAGTAACGTCGTGTGCCATTGACGCATTAATCCGTCAAATGCCTTTTTCGCTATTTTCACGTTCCCAGATGTCTATTGTATCTAATATGTATGGGGATGACTTGAGACCATATTTTATCGAGCCAGCAGGTGGCAGCATTGCTCTCTGAATGGTTTGAAAACATGTAGGTGCACATGTTGTGCCTCTTTTTTCTCAACTTTCTGGTGATTTCTGGTGATTTCAGTAAAACTTCCCTCTACTCAACGGAGGATTACAGGGGAACAAAAAAAGCTATAAACAAAATTCTTTTTGCTGAGGAAAGTAGACAGTCCATTCTTTTAGAATCTGGTGTCGGATTTCAGATAGTCATAGTACACAATATTCTGTGGGTCTTGAAAAATCAGTAAAAATCATCATAAATGGCTGGCACTGTGGGAGTACCTGATCTGAAATAGGCTGGCATTCAATGAGTTTTAACAGCAGTCAGAAACTTACAAAGTTGTCGCTTCAACGACAGCAGATCAGAGAATCAAACAATTTAAACACAGTAAATGCAATAATAACTAACTGAAGCAATTGGTGCATATGGAGTGGGGTGTCCAGAAAAGTTAATAAATATGGATTTTTAACTTTATAAATGATGAGCAGTCGTCATAGGATCAATTGAAAAGTATTACTGACTGATTGCGGATTGGCTGCGACAGAGATTCATGTTCGTTCTAGAATAGGATTTCTTTTCAAACGAGCAGCCATGAAAGAAGTTAATCACATAACTTAAAGAAGCTGAAGTGGCAAGATCATTTCCCTTTAATCAGCATTATGTTTAGGCTGACAGTTTGAGTTCCAGCAGTTCCCATAGTGACTGAGAAGTGTCAACGAGATGTGAAGTTGTGAACCAACACAACACAACTGCTTTTTTGACAGTCTCTCTTAAAGTACACAGATCTACACAGAGCCTTCTGATAAACTAATATTATACAATTAAATTTTTTGGATACAGGGATTTTGTCTAATTTAAATACGTCTACTGTTTGGTCTGCCCACCCACAATAGATGTGTCGGTGTTAAACGTGGGTTGAGCACTGAAGGCTGACTGCAGGAATCACTGGAGATGACACTTTGGGGAAAGAGAAGGACAAGGGAATACGGAGAACAAAGAGAACATTTGAATCCCAGTTTACATCATGGTATTAACCAGTGGGAGCAGAATTTGACTTCCTGGAGTCACATATCCGTCTTATCTTTTGAAGGGGCCACAAAAATGACTGCCATGAGGAAGAGACTTTCTGCACTTCCTCTTTCACTCATCTGAAATTGCAGCTTCTTCCTCCAAGAAACAAAAATGTGTCTAACAAGAGATATGCATCCACAGCGAGTGCAAGGTTATAAATGACTGGGAGTGGAGATTGTGTGAAAGTTGATACTGTTGACCTTTTATTGATAGTCCCGCCGAGAATTTCAGAATTGGGTCAACACATGATGTGACATAAAACAGGCTCCAAAGAAGTAAAATCTAACCCAAACATAAATATTTAGGTAAATATTCATCTTGAAATTGTATAATAAAATACATGTATTATAATTATTTATACCTTACTTTGCTTAGTAGATTATAATGGTGCCTTTAGTGCTTAGTGTAAATGTGTTCAGGATCTAGAATTCCATTTCAGTATTTAGGGGTAATAGAAAACAAAAAACTTGCCTCCTGTACGGCCGGCTGCTGGAACAGAGGGATCAGAGGGTTGGTTCTGGGGATGTCGATGTTGATCTAATGACACAAGTATAAGGATACGTTTTTAAGTATGAGCAATCTTCTTTCAGTCCCAGGTAGGGCTGATAGATACAGTATATTGTCCAGTCAAAGCGCAGAAGCCTGCTGTAGGGTTAGTGAGTGTTTTGGCCCTGTGTCTTGTCTGTGTGCATGAGAGCATGTGTTTGTGTCTTGTCTCATGCCATTAGTATTACTATGTAGGGCATTCGTGTTTTTATGATGTAACATAAACTTTTAAATCTATGTCTCTGTGAATAATTGTTTGTAAATCTTTAGAATAAATGTATTGCTGTCATTAGTTCATGATTAATACGACTTCAAAGACTTTATGAGCATTTTGTTTACGGTGTTACGGAATTCAATTTTTATAAAAGATTTTTGTGCTGTGTTACTTTGTGTTTTAGAATAGATAAGTGAAAAATTGAGTACCCATCACCACACACCCATCTAGTGGTATGGGAAATTACATCATGCTATATTCAGACCTAAATCTAACATGACGCAGTCAAGCTTAATTAAATATGACAGGAGAATTTTGAAGGCAACATACTTTGGTCACACTTTTAGTCATGGAGTTGCAAAAGGAGAACCTGTACCTGTCTGTATGTGTCTCTGTGCGGCTCGTCACTTCTGGAGTCGTAATACTGTTCGATGAATCCAAAGTATTCCTCACGTTTCCTCTGTAAAACGTGCTCACGCCGCTCCCTGTTGGCTGGGAGGTAGCCCTGCACATTCAATGTGATGAGTTTACAAGGGTCTTCTCACAACTCAATGGTAAAGCTAGAGAGTTACCCCGAAGAGTTACCCCGAACAGTTACCCCGAACAGTTACCCCGAATAGTTACCCCGAACAGTTACCCCGAGATTAGACACATTAGCGAGAATTAGCATGAGGTCATGTTAGCGCAGCCCCTCTGGTTTGTTGGATGATGATCTGATCAATAATTGATCAAAATTACATTGTTAGGCAAAAGCAGCAGCTAAGGGGGCCCCACACCAAACCAGTTAAGTACCCTTTGTGATTCTAATGTCCAGCCAGGACATAGAACATAGAATAGCACTAAAATAGTTCTTTAGACTGATAAAACAAAAACTATTTTTGTGTCGGCATTATTATTATATAAAAAAAAAAAGTTAACTAATACATGAACAAAACATAAAAATGCTCAACAAGAAATAAGGTAAATAAAACAATGAAAGAATAAAAAAAAAAAAATCAAATTCTGGCTTTATATTTAAGCTCCAATGGATTAAGACATATGTTTGGCAGTTATATTGAAGTGCGATGAAAATATGAATAAAAGATATTCCATTTAAGTACATCTTATTGTATAAAATCATTAGTTCTTAGATAAACTTTTTTCCAACACTTTAAAAAAAGACATTTGTAGAAAACAATTTGAGCACTCACAGAGAGCAGTCTCCAGGTGATGGGCCGGACCTCTCGTGGAATCCCTGACCAGCTGTGCTTCCGGAGCTCATCTGACAATAACACACAATATTTACACACAAGCAGCGAGGAGCAGCCTCTGTTCAAGCAGCGGCACGTTTTAGAGACGTCACAGACATAAGGACATGTTATACACTAAAAGAGAGGGGCACATGCGTGATCAGGAAACAGTTACAAGTGAACAGATGGAAGGAGGTATGTGAGAAACACAGACACAAGGAGAGCTGCTTGGTGCATTCACTCTTCGGTCATAATGATTATGACATCTATTTGGAGAGTGTACATTTGAGAGCAGATGTTTTAGACATATCTTTGGATGAGATTATCTAGCCTCAGAGGAGGTGCAGTTGGTCTTTGTTCAGGAAGACAAAAATAAGACAGTTAACATTTATTCTGATATTTGTATAAGACCTGTACCTTTGTGTTCCCAAACACATGTGCTGTACCTGTTCAGATAGCAAGGCTGGTTTATTTGTACAACCCAATTTGTACAACTGTTTGAAATTGACATTGTTGAAGTGACACTTGGACCACTTACAATGCATCACAAACACAAAGACCTGGTCCTGGAGTAACTTAATTAAATGGAATCCCCTTCGTACCCAGGTCTGTGTTGTGGTCACACAGCAGCGTTCGGAACCTCTCCAGGCGGCTCTTCTCACGCACAGTCATGGGAGGAGCTCCAGATGAGTTCTGGTCTGATATACGAGCCACCAGAGGGATGATGGGACGAGAGGGGAGGGACGGAGGCCTCTGCTCTGAGCCCATGTCTGGAAGGAAGGACGTAATGAACAATGGCTTGTGTATATGCAGCTAAACTCAACAGCTTATTTTCTACTTAGGCTCCATAATCTGTTATCTGTCATGATTACAGCTGATTACCTGAGTCCTGGAGGTGGCTGTCACTGCTGGACTGGACCATGGTCCCATTGTGGACAGATCTCTCACCACACAGGGGGCTCTGCTCTGGGGGCAGTGACAGGGGCAGGGGATGGTCTACGGAGACTGAGGTCTGAAGAAAAAATAGTCGGGACTTTAAACAGGACAAAATAGCTTTTGACCATGTCACTTGTCATTTACACACTTACCGTTATTTTAATGTATCTTTATTTCACTAGAGAGAAGTTTGAATGTATACAATGGGAGAACACCTCTGGCTTCTCTGACTAGCAGCCCCAAGTTATTAAACTACTGCTGCTGGGGCCCTGGAGCACAGTGTCAGGAGTAAGTAGAGGTGCAACGGTTCATCACTGATCCGTGATCCGTTCGGTTCAACGTCTTCGGTTCGATACAGACGTAATCCGCGGTTTGATTTAGGAAAAAAAAAAGTTGTGCGCACGTTGTTCAGTCCACACACAGCGCGGTCATTGCGAGCTGAGGAACGGAGATGCTTGAAAGCCCCGCGTCATTTAAATCCCCAGTATGAGAGCATTTTGGCTTCACTGTAACTACACTGATAATTAATATTTGACAAAACTGTCACGATGTGTAAGCACTGTGGCACAAGAAAGACATGAGTGAAAAAAGCGTCTCAACGACCGCTTATTGCCGCGGCATTTAAGCAGCTCCTTTACGCACAGTCAGACCGGGCTGAAGTCAACTCTCCCGCGCATCCTCAGCTGCGCTCACGACTGACGTTTGGACGTCCCGCGGAACCTATAATAGATCCATGAGCGGAACGGAGAACTATGTTAATAAACGCTCACTGCAGACTGGGACATGAGAAGTCTGGCGCTGCAGACACGCCCCTTCTACGACAGTCACACAGTCACACAGCGCAGGTACTGACACAAGCAGCGGAGGAATGGAAGACAAAGGCCCAGTACTAGCGACAGTAGCTCAGTTGGTAGAGCGTTGGCCTTTGAGCCTGAAGGTTGTGGGTTCAAGCCCACCATAAGACCTACTTCACGACTTCCACTGATGACTGCTGTCGTTGTGTCCTTGGGCAAGACACTTAACCCCACTTTGCCCGAAGCCCCCACTGAAAGATCTCAGCTCCTGTGGACTCACCACCTGCAGGAGGATCAGTGAGGGGCGGGTGCTCTGTGAACTGGGTGCAGCTCTGACTGCCACCCCCCGACCCAGAAATGGATTAAGGGGAACAAAATGGATAGGATGGATGGCCCAGTACTAATATCCCAGTCACAATTGATAATGCCAAAAATTAAATAAATGCAGTGAATGAGGCTGGACTGGGCACTGAATGGACCGCCTCCTTGGGAGAATCAGGATGGTAGTTTAATATATGAGGGTAAATATCCTCATAAAGTGCCTTCTTATGTTGCACTTCTTCTTGTGTTGTTTTTCATTAATTATGTTAAATAGACATAATTGGATGGATGGAATATGCCTTCCATCCATCCATCCATTACCTTCCCCTTATCCATTTCTAGGTCAGGGGGGGCAGTCAGAGCAGGTGCCGAGTCCACATGAGCTGTGTTTATTAAAAAGACAAGACTTTTTTGTTGAAAAATGAACCGAACCGTGGCCTCTGAACCGAGGTACGAACCGAACCGTGATTTTTTCAAACCGTTGCACCCCTAGGAGTAAGGCATCTTCAACCTCCACCAACCCTTCACACACACACTAGACTCATTCTAGGGCATGTGAGGAAAGTTTTTTCCTGAGTCACCAACAATAGTCAGACACTTTGCAGCTGCCCCACTGTGGCACCTGGTGTTCCTAGAGGTCTCTCATCACAGTGCAGGCTCTGCCCTGCTTAAGCCTCGTTTATACGGAGGCGGAGCGCAGACGTTGCAAAGCAAGTAACAGAAACTACCAGGCTCGTGCAGCGTTTAGATGACTGCGGAAAGCAATGTAGTTCTAGAACCTGGCCAGTAATGGGCAGTGGAAATTTACAACACGACTCATGCGACGCCCAGCAGCATATTAACTTTTTCAACAACATCCTCCAACACAAAGACGTGAAAGAATGCACCAACATCATTCTGCATTTTGTTTGGACGAACAAAGGAGTAGAATTGTTCTCCGTGTCGCGCTCAAAGCACACGTAGCATTAGTAGTGTACCCGCCGCCATTGTTTTAGTTGTTTATGTTTGTTCTCGGCAACTGCGCATGTCCAAATGTACGTGCAGGAAGTGGAGGTCATAGCAGGCAAAGAAATCCCACCTTGTCATTCATGCGGCTTTGAAACAGCCACCTGCTGAGCAGCATATCTGTTCTGTTCCACTCTGTAGGCTGGTTCTCAATGCTTACGTTTTCAACCCCCCGGAACACCGCCTTAATGTAAACGGAAGGCCAGACCGATAACAAACTCTAATGTTTTATTGTCGCAGCGTCTCTGTATAAACGGGGCCTTAGCATCAGAGGTCTGATAGAATCTGGCTTTTACATGCAGGTGTTATGTCTTCTTGACTAAGTCAAGCTACAGAGATGTAATGAATGGTAAAATGATTGTAAAAAGTGCTGAGAATTTGTCAGCAAAGATCTGTCTGACCTGGACATGCGTGAGTGCCTCCTCGTCCTCCTCCTCGTCCTCGATGTCCCAGGCATCGTTTGTGCTTCGGGCAAACTCATGGAAACTGGAGGCCTTCTTGGATCTCACGTTGTTCAGGTTCAGCTTAGTCTCTTTCAAATATCTGTGGAGGTCACAGAGGATCTTACTGAGACACCAATAATTGGGCTGCTGTGGGATGATCCAACATAAAAATTAAAACAAAAAGTATTAACATAAATTTTATAAAGATCACGATCAGGTAACATTATAGATGAACCCCTGTGTGTTCCTTTGTGACTTGATAATATGCCTCTATCGGACATTCTTCAGCCAACAGAATAGACCACTCACATGACTTAACAGCACTGGAAATGTGAATGAATTTGACTGAATTCATTCACAAAGGAACTAAAAAGGAACTGGTGGGAGGAACACACAGAGTTTATAATGGAGCAAAATAACAACAATATGTAACAGAAATAACAAGCATTAATCAAATGGGGAGAACACAAATATTTCACCTATAACTAAAGAGACAATCGTTTCTTCATGCAGCAAATTCATATGCGGCACAGGACAAAGATGCATAAATAAACAAAAATAAATGAGTATTTAGAAATTATTCAAAGCATGGAGGAGTGGTCGTTGGTTGGACTCACGTGCGTCTGAGCTTTGGGTCGAGAGGTGGGTGCTGCGCGCCGTAAACTGGTTTTACACTGCGCAAACCAACATTTATTTAGACATATGCACAAGGGACAGAAAGGCATTGTTCCCAAAAGGCATTTGGACACCTCCCCAAGTGCCGCTGGGACACACGTGAGGGCTGTGCTGAATATGGCGAGCTCAGAAAACTAAAGATACCAAAAGGAGCATAGAAACATACCCAGTAATCTAGGGCTGCAATTAATAATTCTTCTGATTATCGATTAGTTATTTTGATACCAAAAGAGGTCAGAGTCAATATGGGATTTTTGACCAAAACAAAACTCAAGTGCTGCCCTTAGAGATCATAGAAATGACTCGTTACACATTGGGTTATTTGATTAAAAATACGTCAGTCTTCAGTTTAATCTAATCAATCTAGAACTATCTGAGTCATAAAACCTCTTCTCAGCATGTCTTTGTTCAAGAACACGTACAAAAATGATGACTTGATTTATAAATAGTCATCATTTGACATTGACAACCATCTCATTATTGATTAGTTGTTATTAATTAATTGACTGAGAACTGATTATTTGTTGGAATCACTAAAAAACAACATTCCCAAATACACATTTGCCTGGCTGTAATTAAAAACTACTTTGATACCAGGCAGGCATAAAGGTATACTTTTTTGGTCTAAACTCACAAACATCATTGCGAGATGCGAGTTACAAATTAGTTGAGAAGATACAAATGAAACAAGTGTCTGATTCCTTACTACATAATGATACTAAGTGGAAGTGATACTGAACAAAAGCTAGAATTGAATGAACAAAATTAAGACTTTGGGCATGTTTCACTTCAGGCTTTAGAACCCAATGCAATTGTGCAGAGTTTACACAGAGCGCCTCAAAGTGTGGTCAGTGTTTGAATATGGCCTGCGACCTTGTCTGGTTTCACTTACACTCTGTCTATGTTATCAGCAGTGAAGCAGAGCTCCAGCCGGCTCATAGCGACCGCTCTTAAATGACAAAGCAATTTCCACAATATGTCTCTTTTACAGGACATTTCTGTTGAATATTTTACATCGGGACAAGCACAATACTTGTGAAAAGAGCGTCCTATGTATATTCTGTAATAATCCTGATGATTGGTTAACAGAACAACCTTGACACCTTTCTGTGTTCCTCTGCGGTATGTGGTGTTATCAGAGTCCAGCTCAGATCTTAAGCTCTTCCTGTTTGTTTGTGTTTCCACTGCTGCTCTGCCCTCCACAGTTTAACCACAGCAGCAGAGACACGCCCTGTTCACAAGCTACCTACCGTGAGAGTCAAACCCATCAAGAGAAAATGTATACAAAAATAGATATGTTTAGTAATATTTGTCTGCAACCATCAAAGCCACTGTCGAATAGGGCTAAAATCATATTACATCATGACAAATGGACTTCATGGTAATATTATTTTGACTATATGAATTATAAATGATAAAAAAATGCAGCTAACCTCATAGTATAGACAATTGGATTATTTTTACTGCTGATTAAAGTTGTTCTTATTCAATTAGGTGTCCTGAACACAGATACATATCACACAGAAAAGCTGGAGTGAAGCAACTAAAAGACCTTTTAAAATGTTAATTTTAAAGGCGTTTTAAACTTACGTCTTTCAGCACATTTATGTGTTGCTGTCTGTATAGGTAACAATTATTCAATTACTAAAATAATCAGCTATTTTTAAAGAAAGCCATTTAATCAGTATAGCCCAGGGTGAAGAATTGTTTGCCACTCCCCTCCCCAGCTGTTTCACAGATGAAGACAAAGGAACGTTATATTTTTACAACAGAATTCTCAGCATGTGTAAAAGCTGCTATGTTGAGCTGCAAAATATAAACAAATGTCATATTTCTTGTAAGTAAGTAATCTTTAATTATACAGAGCCTTTCACAAACCAGAGTCACAAAGCGCTATACAATTGTTGTGTAGACATACTTGTGTGCAAATGTAAATTTAACCTACAATTCCATTCCATGTTTTATGTATTGTGAACATAATATTAGTGCAAAAACTAGTATTAGTATTAGTAGAAAAACATTTATTAGGTTTTACTGGGATAAACACTTAATATTTCTATCACAAGGTGTTCAGCTGTTGTGGATTTTCAAAATTAATGTATTAAATCATGTTTTGATGTTGAAAATGGTTATACAAAGAACAATTTAACATGTAGAGTCAGAATGTTTAGAGTAATCACAAGTCAAGAGAAATGAGCAAGAATAGGTCAGGCCTGTGGGCCAATATCAGTGTCTTCCAGCCAATATAGACATACTGTTCCTTGTGGTGAAGCTCTAGACTCCAGCTGTTTACTTTATTTGTATATATACTGACATTTGTTTTTGATTGTCACAAAATTATGTTATTAGTGCTAATAGAGCTGGTGAAATGTTTCATTCAGCCAACTTCAGCTCCATCACAGCTAAATATAAAGTTCGGGAATCAGAACATCCAAAATTCTGTAAAAACTGTTTCACAATCCAGGTTGTAGGGACCTGGACAAGTCAGGTGAACAAATAGGTTTAGAAACCCATTAAAAAAAGACTATATAAGATTACGCAAACACAAATTCATATTAGAGTGAATTGAGTATGAAAAGGAAAACCTCGACATTATGATTACATTGAACATAACATATCTTCTTTGCATTAGTCTTTTATTGTTTTTTCTGTTACTTAGGTCAAAATTAGGATGCTTACTCTAAGCATATGTTCTGTTGTCACGTTATCTCGGTAGCTAAGCAGTTTCCACTTCAAACGTTGCTTGACAGAATGACAACAATTGTAATAAGTAATCCATTTAGATCTTAGATTACTCCTGTGTCTCATTTAAACCCACTGGACTTGTAAAGCCACTATTTCAACCCGAGATTTCGCACTGTGACAATCACGTTACTTAAAAATATAATTTAAGAACAGTATGCCATTTTAAACATAAAGGTATTAGTTGTACCAGGGAGATAAAAAGTATATTTGAACACTCACCTTCCTGGAACCTTTACATTTCTCCTCCAAAAATTGACCCGGTTTTCAGTGGCCATTCTCAGAAACCACAACCCCAGTGAGTCCTACACACATCCAGGCGAGTTACACCGCCAAAACATGGGAGAAAGGCTTCGGTAATCCACCCGGGACACACGGATCCTCTATGTGTTATTATCCAGTCGACACTCATGGGTTTATGCAGCGGGAGAAGTGTTTTATTTCGCTAACTTTGGCCTGAAATGTGAGGATGATGTGGGGAAGAAGCCGTGCGAGCCGCCATCTTGGTGTGGTCAAAGCAGTGGCTGATTGGTCTGTGCGCGGAACAGGTGCAGTGAAGCTAGCCAATCCAAAACACAGGATAATGAGATGCGTTGGAATAAAATAAACAAGAAAATAAATATGTACTTATATACATATAAAAGCTACATGTTGTAGCGTACATGGGTTGTATATACACATGGGGTTGCGTTTTAATCACATTCAAAAAGCTAATTAGGGTAAGCTTATAAACTGGTTAGCTAAATGTAGCTAACGTTTCCATAACGTCTGGATAAACGTTATTGATATATACGTTACTATAAATATATACAGTCTATGGGATAAACTTGTGTTTGTGGTTTAAAACCATAATAGATCCATGTTTAAAACCAAGATATTCAACTGTTGTTTCCTTTTCGAACTTTTAACTCTAAGCCGTGTATCTAAATAGAAAACGTTAGGTTAGTTGTAGGCTTTTACAAAACAATTAAGAGCACTTAATAATCAAAAATACACTATTTGTATTTCAAAATAATTTAAAAATAAGAGCAGAAAAAACCCTCACACAGCTGTTAACCTTTTTTCAAACATGAATTGAAAATTTCTTGGTCACACATTTTAAGAAAGACTGTTCCAGATTTTAGCTGCATGATTCTGAAGAGCTAACCCCTCCTTGTGTTCCTCAAAGTCCAGCAGAAGGCCGGTCCCTGTGCCCCTCAGAATCCTAGCAGGATGCCAGTCCTTTTGTTCCAGAATCACAGTTGGAGGCTTGTCCCTTTGCTCCTCAAATGCCCAGCAGGAGGCCGGTCCCTGTGCTTGGAAAATGATGTAAACAATTCGGGCGTTCTGCTCTCCCAAAATTCCATCCACTGAGCGGCGCTGTGATCAAAAAATGACACCGTTTGTTGCCCAGTTCACTTCCGGTTGATTTCATACAATGGCGAATATGGCTCACGAAAACAACAAGCGATTGACAGTGCCTGAATTGCGTGAAAGGTTGAAGCGAAAGGGTATTTGCAGTGTGGGAAAACGAAAGGAGGAATTGTTGTTGCTAGTTCAACGAGCGGATGGTGTTTATGAAGATTTAGAAGAAGATGACAGCGAGCAGAGTGAACGAAAACGGCTGTGTGTGCGAGTGACAGATGGTAACAATGAGAATGAAGTTCAGCTAAGAGGGAAGAATGTGAATTGGACGGATGATTTGCGCGATATGCCACTAGTTAGAGACGGGAATGTATTTGCATACAGAAAATGACGAAAACACTCAACCATTTAGAGAAAATGCGCCGGGCAGAGAGAACCGGAAGTTGCGAAGGCAAGTGTTACCCATAATGCAACGCAAAATTCAGTCGCTCCCCCGCCCATCGGATGGAATTTTGGGAGAGCAGAACGCCCGAATTACGCAGGATACTTTCTCGTGTCAACTGCTTATACGATCAAAAAATGTAAAATCCTAACTACTATTTGATTGTTTTCAAAACTTGTATATTTTGACTAATATAAACTCAATATTTTTCTCCAAATATTACTTTCCTTTTTTTTTCTACTGCTGCTTTGCATTCGTCCACTGGAGGGCAGACTTCACTTGTGCAAATAGAAGGAAAACCAGTTCATCCACTTTCAGTTGAGATGCAGTGGTGGAAAAACATCAAACAAAGGAGCAAAATATCACAAACAAATAAAGTCACGTCATCATACGTCATCATTTCACATTTAGACTTGTAGCTTTGGAATACTTTTGGCACTTACTTAATAGTGTGTGTGTGTGTGTGTGTGTGACTAGAATGCAATTAAGTATTCTGTGTCAAAGGTATAGGAGGAGTTTTAAATAATGAAATTGTCCATATATTTTAAAAATGAATCTATAATGTTGTGGATGCTGTCAAAGAGGCCATTATATTTTTAATCTCTAGACTTTCTCTTTGTAACTTGATGTTATTATCTTATTAGTGGTAGGAAGTAGGTTAGTGCATTTGTTTTTTTTTTTAAAATCAAATAATGACAGTAACTAAACTCGGAACTAGGTACATATAAAGGTTAAGACACTTTATTTTCCTCACAAAGACATTTGTTGCATTTGACCTATTTTTCACTATGGCAACCCTGTCAGAATTCCCGGGACCCATTGCCCTTAATATTTGATGCTCGGCTTAATCAAGTCTAAACAAGTCAGCAACCGCCTCTGATTTTCCCTTGGGATTAATATTATAATTCCTGCTCAATTTTGCAGTCGGACAAGTTCCACTGTATATATTCCAAAACGTTTCTCTAAGAAATCTTGTATATTATTTTCAGCAGTCCCAGTATTGTTTCCTGAATGTCCCATGTTGATGGCGTTCTATTCAAATGAATTCAAATGCAGGTGAGTGACTCCAGTGTGTCTGTGTTGGTTTAGGGAAATGAAATCAGTGCAGCAGCTCGAGCCCAACGAATTCAACGGAACATGGACTCTACAGGTAAGCACTCACTATCATACTTTTTATTGTAGGAGTGGGCAAAAAAGCAGACAAGCTGATTCGAGTGGAGGAGATGTGGAGCAAGGATTATTTATACGGGTCGCAGTCTAAATGTAAACACCAGGAAACCCAAAGGTCGGCTCAACTTTTATCCCTGTAATATTACTATGTGAGAAACCAGTAAAACATACATTTATCTGGCTTCCTTGTTTGAATAGTAATTCTTCTGGTACCCCTCCATTGTTTGCTTTTCTTTGACACTGGTCTGAAAGAAAAGAAATATTTCAGAACAGTGTCAAAGAAGAGCTAACAGTGGATGGGTAGCAGAAGAACCACTCCACCAAATGACTATTCAAACAAAGAAGCCACGGGATATATACTTATGAAGGCATTGTGGCCGAATGAATAAATTAATGATACCTGCAACTTGAAAGTGCCATGCTTTCTTTTAACTGTTCCTTGCTGTGTGTGATGGAAAGGTTCCTCAAGTCTTTCCTACCTGCTACTGTCAGACTGCACAAGGAATAATGACAACTGAAGAACACTGCCGACCTGATCTCACATGTTCAATAAGAAATCACAACAATGTTAGAAAGTGCAATATGGGACCACATGTGTCCACTGTCACTTTTAGCCCATAACCTCATTCTGCTAACATGTACAGTAGTGTCTCATTCTGCAAACATGTACAGTAGTGTCTCATGCTGCTAACATGTACAGTAGTGTCTCATGCTGCTAACATGTACAGTAGTATCTCATGCTGCTAACATGTACAGTAGTATCTCCTGCTGCTAACATGTACAGTTGTATATCATGCTGCTAACATGTACAGTAGTATCTCCTGCTGCTAACATGTACAGTAGTATCTCATGCTGCTAACATGTACAGTAATGTCTCATGCTGCCTACATGTACAGTAGTATCTCCTGCTGCTAACATGTACAGTAGTATCTCATGCTGCTAAAATGTACAGTAATGTCTCATTCTGCAAACATGTACAGTAGTATATCATGCTGCTAACATGTACAGTAGTATCTCATGCTGCTAACATGTACAGTAGTATCTCATGCTGCTAACATGTACAGTTTTATATCATGCTGCTAACATGTACAGTAGTATCTCATGCTGCTAACATGTACAGAAGTATCTCATGCCGCAAATATGTACAGTAGTATCTCATGCTGCTAACATGTACAGTAATGTCTCATCCTGCTAACATGTACAGTAGTATATCATGCTGCTAACATGTACAGTAATGTCTCATCCTGCTAACATGTACAGTAGTATATCATGCTGCTAACATGTACAGTAGTATCTCATGCTGCTAACATGTACAGTAGTATCTCATGCTGCAAGTGGTCAAGGAATGCCATCTGAGGAAAAAGTCAGAAAACGAGATGGGCATGGCACTTGTGAAGCTGAAGAAGGACATGGCGGCCAAAGCTTCACAGGCCAAGTGTCCAAGAGTATAAGAGACTTCAATGCTGTATAAACAATTTTAAGTTAAGATTAAGATTAGGATTAAGAATAAGTAATAACAATATTTCAAGTTTTTAAGAAAAACAAATGTCTGAATCCACTGAATGATTAAAAAAAAAACTTGAAAAAATGAAACTAGTTACTCAAGCATTTTAATGATTCCAGAGTCTGATGTGTATTTTGTTCATACTTTTACATTTGTAGTGTTATATAATGCATTATTCAAACAATGATGAGTTATGGATATGTTGTGAATAGGAGTAGTAAACGACTGGTGCACATAAGCCTCCGACTCCCAGCACTAATGTTTTTATGTCACAGTGTAACTCTCCCCATCTGGATGACACTCTGTGATCTTCTTTGCAGTGTGTAGAAGTTTAACGAACAAATGCTTGCCAGGAGGAGCATGAAGAATTGGCCTTTTGCAGACACAGGTAAGACTTCTTTTGTCGTGATCTAGTAATGCAGTGACTTGTAAACATGATTTACTCTATGGCGTGAAAGTCAAATGATGTACCAACATTTTTCTAAATTGTGTTATGTGCTCAAAGTGTTCTGTAATTTGTGATGCAATGTGGGACGAATGAAGGACCTCTTAATCGTTGGAATATAGTCATACCCTCTCTGACTCTCACTTGTCCTATGCACTTTAAACCTTGAAATGTGTGAGCATTTGAAACAGAATCTATGCAGCCGGACTGTTTGAGTGAAATATTACTGTCAATGCTTTGTGTTTTTTTCTGTGTGCTGTTGCATTTCGTTATTTACCTGTATGTCTACTTTTTTCCCCCACATTGACCCAAAGCTAGGTTTTGTAATGTTTGTTTTGTAAACCCAGGCACAATATGCCTCCTTGGGCTGACA